CCCCTCTGTACCACAGCCAAACCGATGAACGAATGGGTTCAACTGCCCCCCGAAAAAATAGCAGACAGATCATCGGAAGAAGTGGATTTGTTGTTTCTATTCTCCTTTCTTATTCCAATTGGGAGCTCATATAGCCCCGGCTGCCGTGGTTCCAGCAGATTATTAATGTCCCAAGCGTGCTACTCTTTACCACCCTTGATGGAGACAAAAATGAATAAAAAAACGTTAATATATTACACTACCGTCTATTCGTTTCCTTCGTGGGCCATGCATGCAAGCCCAAATCACTTTAAGTAGCTTATTGATCCTGTACGACTCGGATTGTGGCCCCTGACTCGGTGGCAAGAAGGCAGTTTTTGACATTTGACACAAAGTAAATGCACACTACCAACACCAAGTCGAAGATGCCAAAAAGAGTGTTATGTCTTTTTATCCATGGAGATGGACACGGCAAGGGATGCTTGGCCGATCAGCGGCTTGTCGTCACCTCGTTCCACAGGGCTTGTTCCAGACTTTGGAAGAAGGACAGGCTACGTAATATGTGTCCGTTGGCAAATGCCCTCGATGTCGGCGTTTCATGGCTTGACCGTGGGGGTTTTCCAAGAGCAGGGAACAGATGGGTATATGAGAGTCCACTAAAGAGAGTGAGAGGTTGTGTCTATATATATTTCTTATTTCACAGGTATTCCCGCAAGGCCTCTTCGGTCCACTCCCACAACCGCTTAGCCAATGCTGCATCCTGGGATGCCTTGTCCAGTTTGGTAGAGAGCACCCCAACCGGCTCATAGAACTGGCCATTCAGCAATGTGTCTTTGGCGACTGTCGAAGCCCAGAGCTGGTTATAGGCACCTTCTTCCGGCTTCATTAATTGGCCCAAGTTCGTGACCCAGACGAAGGCGCGGTTAAAGCACCCTAGGCTCTCGACCAGCTCGGTATTCACGACTCCAGGCGTGACGGAGAGACTGGTTATGGCTGGGAACCGACGTGCAAGCTCACGCGCGTATAGTACGTTTGCTAACTTGCTCTGGCCGTAACGGATCCATCCGCCAAAGGCGCTATACTCCTGCTTCGTGCGTACCGCGTCGAAGACGATTCCTCCACCCGGGTGCATCTTGAACCCCAGTGAGGTAAGCAGGACGATACGCACGTCTGCTGTTTCTGCCGTAGCCTGGAGGAGTGGTAGCAGCTTGCGGATCAGTAGCGCGTGTCCGAGATGGTTTGTGCCAAATTGGATCTCGTATCCATCCGCCGTTAGCCCTGGTGGTGTGGCCATGATGCCTGCGCTGCACATCAGAACATCCAGGCGGGACTCCTGGACCACAAACGTCTCTGCTGCCTGCTTCACTGAGGCCAAGGAGGCCAGGTTGCAGGGAAGGAAGGTGACTGGCGTCTTGCTGCCGGCTTGTCGTATCTGCTGGATGACCGTATCAGCGCTGGCGGCCTTCCTACCGCTGATATAGATGTGCGCTGGCGATTTTTGCGCCAGTCGCCGTGCGCTTTCGGCCCCGAGACCTCTTGTGCCTAGCAGGGGATAAAACGAAGACAGGCATTAGCTCATGGTCCATTGCCATGTACAAGAACCAAGTGGAGGTATCGGGGCTTTTAGGTTGGTTAGTGATGTAGGAGTACTCACCGCCAGTAATTAGAATTACCTTCCCGGACAAATCGGGCATACTCTCTAGGTTGTAGGTAATTGTCGGCATGATGTTTGAGATTCAGTGATATAACTAGATTGGTGTTGATGATGATGATTGACTACGTCTATTAGAAAGGAGGAAATCCAATACTTAAGGACTCCATTCTCCGTAGCCTGGAAAAGAGTCCGTCCTTGAGAAATTGGTGCAGGTGGACGAATAGTTGGCCCGGATGTAGGAAGAATAAAGGAGGCAACCGGAGCGGAGCAATACTAGAATTAGTCAATTTATCAGTTATGCCTTGTTACGGACCCCACGAAGTTGGGAGGCCGCAGGTTACATGTGAAGAGAGCCATAACATCATTAACAAGTGAAAGGAATAATAATAATATCATGCAAGGCATGGGGCAACATAATATCTTCTCAAAGGAGTGAGTTGAGAAAGTGGTAAGCTGCAATTCGCAAGGATGGGTGACAGGGGGAACATATGTAACAATCTTTTCGATGGCAAAATGCAAGGCTGTAATCTGAGAGCATATATATATATATACTATATATATACAAATACACAGTGTACTAAGGGAAAACATCATTAAGCTCATTAGTGTCTAGCCTCTGGAATTCAGGGCCCACAGCTCAACATAGACTAGGCTTGTAAACTTGGCCCGTTGATGTCTATCTTCCAACTAGGCGTTTTTCAATAGTCCGGAAGATAAAGTAGGTGATGGCAGTAAATGTGGTGTTCAAGATAAGGCCGACATCTCCGGCTGGGTTGCCAAACATGGCGGCGATAGGTCCAATATACCATGTTGTGTTCATTCCCGGTATAGCGCCAGCGCCATAGGACACAGCCATCGATCCCACGGCGGCCAGCCCCCATGGCAGCCTGTCCTTGTCATCCCACGCCGTTAAATCATAACCATCATGCCTCCTAAACCATTGATCTTCGATGAACACTATAACGGAATAACCAGCCGTCAGGTATCCTAACATGCTGCCTAGGTTCCCGACCAGTTCGACAATATGGTCTTTGCCGAGAAGAGACAGAACGGTGATGAGGACGGCAATGAGTAAACTCCAAATGAACCGCGGAATATAGCGAAAGCGTTGGCCTAACACCTGGATTGACAAGCCACAGGAGTAGTAGTTCGCGATCAGACCCCCAAGAACGGTGAACAGGAGCATCACAACCGTGAACTTTGACCATCCTGCAGGTTGCGATATTTCTTGTACCACTCCACCCAAACCGTGTGCAATATATGCCTCCGAAAACCGGCCAGTTGACTTGATAGCCACAAGTCCAAGGCAAGTTCCAACAATGGATACGAAAGCAGAGGAGGTAGAAAAGCCTGCGAGAGTCAACAGCATGAGTTTCCAAGAAGGGATCGTTTTTGGGTAGTGACAGTAGTAATCGGCAATTGCGGTGGCCCAGCCAGATGTGCCAGCAGCGGTGAAGGAGAGGTATGATAAAAAGGTGGCTGCAAACCCTTCTCGGTGAGGGTTGAAGTGAATCATCTCAGGCGTCATATGAGGAACGGTTTGTCCAAGCAGGACACAAAACAGGACGAATGCGAGCAGCCAAGAGTAGCTTTCGAATTTGTGAATTAAGGAGAACCCGAAGAATGAAATGAAGAGCGATAGAGCGGAAACGATGTATATGCCGACGCTGGTCGATATCTTGTAATCTGCTGCTGCTGGCAACAACTGACCACAGACGGTGGTACTGATGACGGCGTACCCGATGCTTAGAATAATGTTCATGACGGAGATTAACTTGGCACCTCGATATCCAAATGCATATCTACAGGATGCCATGGCGCGCAAGCCGAGCTACGATCCAGGTCAGTCAATGATAAATGTCGATGGGGGTAGGGGTTCCGATCCGGGACCACTCACTTTTGAACCCATTACACCACACCATGCCACTAGGACTGCCCCTATGATGGTGCCGAAGACGGTAGCAATGACAGACTCCTGTAGAGAGAGCCCCCATTGAGCCCCTAGAATACCTATGGGTAGACCGCCGGGGTTACAAAACATGCTCCACCACATAAGGAAAGTATTTCTAAGCGGCGGCGGCTCTTTGTCTTCCTCCTTCACCCGCTCAATCCCTCGAGTCTCAATGTTCAATTTCTGACCCAGCCATAGCTCGAATTGGCGTAGAGAGCGCTCGAACTTGAGAGTCTTTATATCCGGGGTCTCACTTGAAGAATCATCAGACTGGACCGGATCCCCATCATGGACTTCAGGCTTTTGATCCAACGACCCTGAGTTTTCGAGGTCAACATGGAATCCATTGTTGCTCTCTTCCTTCACTTCGGGATAGCCTGAAGGAGCCATTGTGGTGTCGGTGGTAAGTATAGGTCACAATTCAATGGTTGAAGAAGGCCGGGTGAGAGTCTTCGTGCAGAACCAAATCCAGGGAAAATATTCGGTATATATACAACAACATAACTTACGCACTGTTGCACACCATGGACGAATTACCAATCCATGTTGCCGTGACTGCTTCGTCTTCGTCTTCTAGTGGCATTGTAATGCAAGGTAACCCTCGCCTTACAGGGAAATGGGAGCATAGAGGTATCCAATGAGCATTTCAACTAGCATCGCGTAAAAACATCGTTCAAATTTCTGACGATAATTGCAGCGCCATGTTCCATACTTTTGAGTATGATGGACAGTCTTGAGTAACATGGAGTGCATGTTAGTGATGATCGGTTGGGATATAAATGTAAAGAAGAAATTTAGACCAATGGTTGCATATAGAAGAAGAGTCTCAAAATTAAGCCAACCACTAAAATTCTTGGGGCTGCGGAAGGACAGCAACCCACGAGAGAGCCGAAACTAAGCTTAGTGCGTTTTCCACTTTCTGATATCGTCCTGATCGTGAGACGGTGAGTGATTGAGCGTTCTGATGCAGTTATAGAACCGGTACATTATACACAGTGCGACATTGCTTTGTATCCACACCGAAAAGCTTGTCTAGAAGACATAAAAATGTAAAGGCTGTGTCTGATTCGAATGTCGCGCCACAACCACCTTGCAAAACGAAAGAAACTAACAAAAAAAGAAAAGTCCAGCTGAAAATCAGGTCTCCATGCAAGGCAGCGAAACTTCACAGGCAAGGCACCACCGGGTTGACCTGAAAGTAGAGTTGCTTTGCCCCTTGTCGTTGTGAGCTGTGAGAAAAACTATTATTATCCCCGTGAAATGGCCAAAAATCGGGCAAGCCAGCTGGAGTCGCTTTCATAGTTAAGCGTACCAGACTCTCACAAGGCGCTGGCTATCCCTGGCGGAGTATTTTCGTACTCGAGAGACATCACATATGAGGCGGTGCGACTTCTGGCTGGCTGGAAGCCAGCTCAACATATTTCTGCCTGGTAAAAAGATATCTTCCGAGGTTGCAAATCCTATGGCATATCCTTTTGCTCGATTTATTCAACCCAAGAAAGAGAAAGAAGCCATCGCGGGTTTCCTATCATGTTTTTATATCAGAGTCGTGAACGCTGCAAAAAAAGAAAAACTTGGAGGTGTTGCGATAGGAGGTTCCCGATTAGGCTTAGCACCTGCTTACCACATCAAAATGCTCATGTTGAATGGTGATGCTTAGTCATCAGCTTGATTACTATACCACGTGATATATTTAATGGAGCGAAGAATATATTCAACGCAGGCACTCAAGAGGGCATGTCACGTAGTAAACTGACTAAGCATCGCCATTCAACATGAGCATTTTGATGTGGTAAGATGACTAAGACAGACGCCAAGCCACTAGTTATGCAAGGTTGAAAGTATCCAATAAAATGCTCAGAATTCAGCCAATCACGTAATTTATAGCAGACCCACAAATACGCACTTTTGACCCTTTTTATATATCCACTTTTTTGAATACATACTATGTAGTAGACTTCGCTTCGCTCCGTCAATTACTCCTTTATTCTATAAGTACCCAATGCGGGAAAGTACAAATCGTGTAACAAAAGCGGTGAGCTGGCGAAGGACGGACAAGTTGTACTATGTAGAGGAAGGACTTGGAGTTTATAGATTTGCGAAACTGAGTCGTTTATCTTTTTCCGAAGTTGACAGTTCCATCAATACCTAGGTAACTACTAGCTCACGCGATAATCGAATCGCGGGTAGTGCCCCAGTGAAGGCACTTGCTTTTAGTTTCCATCCCGGTTTTTCAACCGCTGGGGCGCATTTGAGATTTTGCAAACGTTAGATGCTAACTCATCCCAAGTAGACGCAGCCTGCCCTGTCTCCCCATCGCCCAACCATATGCCCAAAGGTAGTGCCACGTCCCTCCAAGTAAAGCGTAGAACTCCAACTTGGGAGCCCGTTTGGTAATGTTGACTTTTAAAGTCAACTATTTAAGGGTGAAACCACGGTTACAGCCTTTCTTCCTAAATGAGCCTTGCGCGGAAAGCATGCCACACTACGGAGGTCTCCACCAAAAGCCTTCAATATGCAAAATTTCCTAGCTGTTATATATACAACTGCGTTACAGCTCACTTATTGACTAGTAAAAGTGCTGGCCAGTGTAAATTAATAGCTCTTTAACTAGCGTCCTAAATTTGAAATTATCTTAGGCATTATTCGGCCCCTAAGTGATATTATCTAAGAATCAAATGGACGCTTGTATAGGCATTACAGCCATAAAATACAGAGGGTATTGAAGACTTATGGTAGAGACCTCCGTACAATACAATTACTTGGATCGTTTTGACAAAGGCACTGGCACGCTCCGTGGATAATGTTCTTTGAAGTTTGAACAGCTGCTAATGGACTCGGATTTTGTCATACGTAGTCATCTAAGTTAGCTCTCGATAAGAGAAAAGACACACACGATCCTACCGTTGCCAGGGCATGCGATATAGCCGCCAGATTCTTGATCTAGACAATTTGATGTAGGTTGATGAATACGGGCGGATTTTCTGGCGATGGCGCAGGCATCAACTTGACAAACAAATCACAGATATAGCTATACTACTATTGGCCGCTCCCTGCTTTATCCACAAAGCACAGAGAGTATCTTGATCTGTGGGGGCCCCGCCCCTTCCGTGCGGCCCGGAAGTTTCCTACGAACATGGTTTCGCTGTCTTGCAGCGAATCAGACAAATGACCGAATAAGACGAGTGAATACATAATATGAAGCGAAAAGTGAGTATAATATGAGTGAGTGAATAAGATGGGTAAATGTAGTAGTAACATGGAAAGTAAAGGCGTTCATAGCGATACTAGCTTGAGCCCGAGACTGAGCGTAATCCGAGATACAGTCATTATCAGGCGTTTACCAGACCTCAGTAACGGCGTTCACAATGTTATAAACCGGCGAGCCGAATTCTAGCTTCTGTCCTCCCAAGTAGACTCCTAACTCCTCTGGGCATTTACTTTTTTTTGGATGACTAACACAGGTGTGTATGCAAATAACACAGACACGTCGAAAGGTGTGATCCTTCGCGCCCCATTCCGTGGTAATATTCAACTCAGTATCCTCGTCCATGCCGTCTGGTATCGGCATTCCGTCTGGGAAAATAATAGTGCTTCGTTTATCTCGAAACTCAAGCTCGGTCCAACCCGCCTCGTCCATTTTGGTGTTCAGCTTTAATCCCAGTTTGCGCTGCAGGCCACGCTCGATGACAATCTTACTGAACTCGGCAAGAAACGAATCGTACCTGGACAGGTCGGGAACTTGAGCGTTTGTGTATTCGTATGCTTGAAATGATCCAGTTTCGTCAACATAATAGTGGATGGGGCGTAGTTGGGAGGATTGTTCTGCGAGCTTCAATGGTCCTAGGGAGTAAACGGCGCCATAGGATGGGACTGTGACCTCCTTGATGGCCATGACCTCGCCGTCGTTGGCGTCAAAATGTTTGTGGATCAGTCGGACCGAGACGGTTGATGGAACATTGTGCTTAGTGAGAAGGACGCGAAGCTCATTTAGGTCGTCAGAATGGTCCTGAGAAACAGTTGCCACTTCACTTATACGTGGGAGAGAATTGTAGGTAGCCGATGAGACGAAGGAGTTCTTGAGTGAGACGGCCATTTTGTGAGTGAACAAGCTTACTTATTCTCAAGTTCATAAACTTCCTAACTTTTTTGATCGTTTACCACCCAGTTTATATACCATGGGCGCAATTCTACGAGAAAGGACTCAAATACATTCTTCTCTATTATTTTCCGCTCTGTCTTGTCTTGGTTGACCTCTTCTTTCCTTTCATTGGCGTCACGTTCCTTGATCCAAAGGTTCCATTTGGCTGTTGTTCTTCTCCGCAGCATCCCGCTTTCTGCATGTCCATCATAAGACTGGTCTGCTGCTCAGCCTGGTCGGTTTGCGTTCAATTTCAATTTAACTAGCCAGCAGTCGTTACATTCTCCCTTTCTCTACCCCTGCAACTTAAGTTTTTGTCAGATATGGGTCACTCATAGCATTTATAGTGCCTTGGCACAAAGATTTTTTCGCTCAGAATTTCCCGCGTCTTCTCTCACCTTTAGGAGATGGTAGGTTGTTGTCAAGGCCCCACCCAGGCAGCTGTCTCCAACCCCCACCCACCAATTTGTACTTAATAAACATTCAGCTGTTCGAGCAAGGCCCTGTATATTAACCTCTCTCGAAAGAACAGCGCAGACCGTCCCTCACAGAGCTTTTCCAGGACTTTGTCGCTGACATGGCACCAGATTCCACCCACCTGGCTCAGGAAGAAACCCATGATAAATCTTATGAAACTGTTCTCAAAGACATCAACGGCACCATTTATAACAATGTCCAAGGATTCCACGAGAAGTATTTTCAGAAAAAACCTTGGTCGTCAAAGGCCGAACGCGTCGCCTGGACAGCGAGCCGGGGGCAGGGCAATGAGCGACAGACACAATTCCCTTCAACTCCAACCGGAAAATCATTTTTAGAATGGTTCTCGGAGCTCAAGTCGAAATCCTTTGGCGGCCGAAGCACATTCTATACATCTTGGGACCAGCCCCCTCACGACCAGAATCTACCGAGTGTTTTCCTGGTCCCCACTGGCCTCTCCAAGACCAGTAATGAATATAGCTGGGCCGATTTTCTGGTCGTTGCAGAAGTTAGTCGAGATGCGAGCTCATATAGACAATACTTTCTGCGACTCTGTGAGCACGCTCAGAAGGTATTCAAGAGCCAGCCAACGCGCCGGTTTGTCCATAGCTTTTACGTCCATGGTTCAACGGCAGAGTTGTGGGTGTTTGATCGGTCGGGGCCATATGGCTGCGAGGCATTCGACATTCGCAAAGAACTAGATCGCTTCATCATAGTCACGGCCAGCTACACTGAAATGAGCGATGAGGAGCTAGGAATAAACACTTTCATCAAAAAAGACGAGCAGCGTCAATACGTTATGGTCAAGGGCGAGAATAAGGCAGACATGGAAAGAATCTACTTGGAAGATCAGCCAATTGCCTTCGCACCTGATATTGTTAGCTCTGGAACGGCTGCTTATCGTGCGAAGAGGATCGAATCAAATGAATGGGAATTTGTGGTCAAATTCACGTGGAGGTCGGATCACGGCCTGCGAGAAGTTGATATGTTGAGATTTATCAAAGAAAGGAACGTTTGGGGTGTGGTGCAGCTATTCGGGCACGTAGATCTTGATAGCATTGATAGACTACGTCGAGGGCTGGAGTTCAGTTCGCCACGGATGGTTCCACCCAAAGTATCCAAGTCTTCAGATAAAACACAGTCTCCGGCCGACACCAGCAACCTTGCAGTGGGAGATCATGTTCAAAGCGTTATCGATAAATGCGCTGCTGAAGCAAAATTAGCTGGTCTGGATGACAAAAAAGACTCGACATTCGTGAATCGTGTATTCTCCTGTATAGTTGTCCACCCCCCCGGTCGGGCAGTCGATAAATTCAAGTCGATACCGGAGTTCTTGGGGGCATTTAGCGATATTATCAAGGGCCTTCGATCACTTTACCAAGATGGAAGAATACTCCACCAGGATGTTTCGAAAGGCAATCTCATGATCACGGACGTCCATAAAAGAGGTGATCCTAGGGGATTCTTGATCGATCTGGAGGCAGCAAAGTTGTTAGATGATACTGATGCAAAGGAGGAAATCACTGGAACGAAGTTGTTCATGGCTATTGGAGTCCTGAAAGCTAAACCGCACACCTACCGTCATGATCTCGAGTCTCTTTTCTACTGCCTGCTGTGGATCGCGAGTACTCACGGTCTTGAAGGTTTGCCAAAGGATAGCCTCTTTTACAGGTGGGTCCACGGAAGTTTCGACGACTGTGCACAAGAAAAGAGCAATGACATGGGCGAGAGCGAATTCGATCACATCGTGTCAGGGTTTACTTCAGAGTTCAAGGGCCTTGCACTACTCGCTCGGGAGCTTCGAAACATCATGTTTCCAAACCAAGATGAATTACTTTTCAAGGGGTCGAACAACGTTTCTGAAAGCCCAGACATAGTTTACAACCAAATGATTAATGCGTTTGAAAGAACAATAGAAGCTTATGAGCAGTACTCTCAGGCGACGAAGTTGGCGTGATGGTTATAGAACGGTCTCATGTTGTTTTCGTATAATGTTTGATTCAAGTTAATGGAATGATGTCACTCGTCAGAAACGCCATACTGTCATTTTATTAAAAGTTTCTCATGGGCCTTGGGGTATTAGCCTTTTAGGTCTAACATACTTAGCTGTACGGAGCATACTTTGCTTGCATCGTATGACTCTGGAAATTATAACTATTTGAATATTGATACGCTTGTAATATCGGAATTGATATAAATATTGATCTCCATAGAGTAACCGGTACATGGCATACTAAAATCATTTTCGATACGTGTACTTTTGGAGGCCTATTTTATGTGCTTGACAAATTGGATGATTGAATAAACGCTCAAAAAGACATAGTGGTTGCCAGTCGCAGAGGACAGCACTGCCAGAGATTTTTTCCTGAGAATTATATCTGGGTTCTAGTATAAGAAAAGACCCTAAACTCCGCCTTTAGATTGTCCGAGTAACCGTTCAAAAACTACAGACGCTATTTCCAAAATTTTCGAGCGATGATAGTTTATCTATTAAATATATGATGGATGACTATGTCAAATATGAGCGAGAGCAGCGAATGATGATTGGTTGAATGAGTTTGAACGTGTACAAGGGTGTAAATGTACGTATATTGCCCGCAAAAATCCTCAAGACGGGAAAATCAGTTACGCCATATAAAAACATATGGCATGTGGAGCATGTTGTTATTCCTACATTCGAAGTATGGGTGAAGGATTGGGAAGTTCGCATGTTGGATGAGAGAGGAGAAATACCATGGTCAGCAAAGGTTTTAATAACCCTTATAGCGTAATGACGGCAGCCCATCTTGGTCTATTTACGGTCGCGTTTTACGAAATCTAGGAATTTATCGGTCTTTCTTTGGTGCTAAATGGTATGTAAATAATATCGTAATTGATATGGTGTTTAATAATGTGAAATTATCGTCAAAATGTTGGCCCATTGGCCTGTTTTTGGATTTTTTTTTGGACTTGTCGCTTTATAGCTACTCGCTTCTGGTAGCCTAGTATGGTCATAACTTGTTAAACCCATGGCCATAGAAAAGCTCATAACGAGCAATGAGGGCATCAATTTATGGGTAGATCACCATCATTCTCATTCGCCGTCCCCGTAACGGAGCCTGCAAACTGGCTGCCTTCGCCTGGGACCTGAAACGGGGCTCCGTACGTAGAGGCGATTATACCTTAGCAAGGCCCGAGGTAGATACTTGTGGGTATTTGGGCGACGAGATAGAAGAATCATAGTATCATGATTGGAAGACACCTCTGGATCGCATCAGTGGCCTAGAGCCACCAGTGCTATAAACAGATAGCCCGTGGGGTATAAATGTCTTTGGCAAGCGCAAAGGATCGTTGTTGCGATCAGGGACTGGCACTATCTTCTTTGTCGCCTTCACCCTCTTCTTTCTCGCCCTCCTCTTCACTCTCTTCGTCAAGTTCTTCAAGCTCATCCTGCAAGGGGCTGACCCTTTCTTCAAGCATATCCAAGTCTTCCAGCATAGTCCTTGCTGGTATCTTCCATAAACTGGTTCCGCACACTCGGTCTTTTGTGAGCAAGTCATCAACAAACTGATCCATATGTGTCAACAAGAAGCCTTCCTTCGTGCGTCTCTTTAGCTTTCTATAATCCATCAAAAGCGGCTCCAGAGTTTTATATATCTCTACCGGCTCAAAAGTAAGTCGCACATAAAATGCTGCTAGGGCGCGCAGATATTTAAAGTCACCCGTAGCTTTTAATATTGCCGCATCGGCTTTGTCCTGTGCATCGTCCGGATCGTCATCTGCGCCTGGATTATTCCCCCCATCACCAGAATTTTCCTCTTTATCCGCTTCTGGGTCGTGGAAATTCAAATATTCTAGTATCACATCTCTCTCTGGCGCGAGTTGTAGAAGCTTGAACGCGAGGCAAAGAAAAGGGGTTGGCTTCTGCCCAACTCCATATGTTCCACCGATATACGTTAATTCAACCGCTCTGTCGCAAAGGGTTGCCGCATTTAATCCGAAACACTGTTCTTTCCAATAGTAAGAGTCTGTTATTCGGTCACGCACTGCTTTTTCGAAGAGAGTCGCTGGGTTTACGCCGCGGATCAGTGGGCCTGAATAGCCACGGGTATCGAGAAGAGCGCTGGCATCTGCGCGGTGATGAGACATGACTCAACTCAATGTCCCGCAAAGGATCGATTAACGTGTTTTTAGAGGAGGGTAAGGAGCCGAAAAGTCCCCCCGGGAATAATATGCTGATGGGTACCAGTTTTGGTGAGAAATTGAAGCTTGAAAGTATTTTCTCTTCAGGCATCAAATTAAAGTTGGTGGCTTATCGATAAGCTCCGTTGCCCTTCCAACCGCCATCAGCCCGTTTGATGATGATGATGATGGAACTTGGCTCCAAAGTTCTGCGCGGAGCAAAGGACATAATGGTTTGATGACTCTCTTACTTATACATATCCAAGTAATATTTATACTGTTGCTGGTCTCTTCGTTTCCCCCTCTCCAATGATGTGTTTACATACATGCTCTACGTACACATAAACAACTGTTTGCATCATGGTATTACTTAGTTCTTCTACTGTTGGAGTCGCATTATCATCATCGATAATCGGTTTCTTTACCCTTATCCTCTTTTTATCCGGCTATGTCTTGCAGCAGCAGTCGGTCAGGCATATCCGGGTCGCATTACAGCGGTCACCGTCTGCAAACCCCAAAATCCAACCAGCCTATCCTTCCGAGCCGATATGGGACGACAACAAGCGCCCTTCAGAGAAAACAGCGAAATTAAATGAAAAGAAAAAAGGAAATATTTTGGGGAGACGAACAAAATTTAGTCAAGGGAACCAATCTCCCCTGGGCGAGCTAGTTGAGGAAGATGTTGAAAATGAGCAAAAAATAGAGAAAGCGAAGCATGCATATCTTCATATTTTGACGAAACCAATCGCCTCCGATATCTGCTCTACCGTCCTCTTCTTTGAGCACCTTGCGTCAAATAGCTCTCAAACCACCGAGCAGATTCTTCTTTATCCAAAATCATGGGACACTAGCTCTCCAACCAAAAGTGTCTCATCTGCCCTCACTATTCTTAAAAAATCAAGCGCCAGGCTCAATGCTGTTGTCAAGGGAATTGATACATCAGATATCCGACCCGGAGCGCTATCAGAAACCCAGATGATGAAAAAGGCTTCAGCCAAGCTAGTTGAATATGAGAGGGTTCTTTTCTTGCGCTCTCCTGGTCATCTTGTCAACATTGACAAATTAGAACAGATGATTACCTCCGATATTGGTGAGATAATGAAAGTGGGGTCCTCTAAAATGATCCCTTCTACTTGGATTTCAACGCATCTCTCTATTACGCAGCGCCAGTTACCGCCAGCCTTGCTAGTGGCCAGCGAACCATCTGCCTTTTCATCCCCCACAGGCAGCAAGGCACCCCCAAAGCCGCACATCCTAAACTCCGAAACAATGCAACAAATGAACTTTGTCATGGAGTCATCTGAGTCACCCGGAAGGCACCCAGGCCCAGCCTACGTTTACTTTGAGAGCGGTATGGTGCACCGAGGCGGAAGCGCAGACATGCATTACAGTGAATGGAAAAAACAAGTCCAATCAGTGTGCGATGGTGTGAACCTTGGTCTTTAGTTTTATTTTCTAATATAGAAGCTTGTTATGTGTTGTTGGTTTTATATCCACTGGTTCCAGACAAGGTTAAAAGGGAAATTGGTGTATTTCATACTATACTTATCATGTCTTTGATGGGGATTTACGGAATGGATGGAATGGGGAGGCTTCCTGACTGGCATTTTCCTGAATATGTTTATATACGGCTACACAAAGGAGTATTTTAAACGATAATGACTTAAATAATCTTTTTCACATTACGAAAAATGGTCAAATTGATTACCAACAGGTTTATAATGCCTGGACATTAGAAAATAGATAGACTGTAGAGGGCTGCGTAGTAGATTTACATGCCCATTCTAATACATTGAATTCCCTACTCTTTTAAATCATGTGTTTCCCAGAAAAAAGAAGAAAAGAGAGAGAGAGAAAGCGAAAATGAGTCCTCTGCATCAAACAGAGGAGGAACGCCATCCGCCAACCAGACCCTATAGACCCAATTAGACGAGGAAAAGGATATCGTAATATTGTAGCAAGAAGCCAACTTTTGGCCACTGGTAAATAGTAAAGAATGCTAGATGAGAAAAGAGTAAGATGGTGATAAAATGTAAGGTGATATATGACGGTGCTAAAGTTGGGCAAGAACGGCAACACCTAGCATATGCCCTGATTAAGATTGTAAGGCAGATATCTCATATCCTAGGAGAACTTCCGTTGTCGAGCCTTCCCATCCCCGGTTGCCACCAGTGGATATTAGGTACTTGCAAGCACTATCCATGTAAAGCTGAGAAATGGTACCTGTACGGTGGCCAGGGATAATGAGAAAAGGAACTGATGATCTAGAGGTTTGTTCTTCCCTCAAGTCGTATAAACGTAGAATATCGTGCGAGGCACTGTTAGTTTTGGGACAAATTAGCAATCTATGAAAATAACTGATGTATGCCCGGGTTCGTATGAAAGGAGGGCATAGGAAAGGGTTGAAAACAGTTGAAAATAAAAATCATACCAGATGAGATGTCGGCCGTTGGGCATTATTTTAAGGGATGATACCGCACCACTTCCATGTGGAAATTTAAAGGTGCGCTGCGGGTCTCGAAGACCTTTGTGTAGACTGTATTCTTCAACAGTGCCGTTTCGCCTACCAGCATAAATATAGTTGCCATCGGGAGACCAGCACGCACTCATACACCAAGGGGGGCAATTTCGTGATGTAATGCGAGCAATTGGATCAGATTGCCTACGGTCCCACACCCGAATGGTACCATCTATAGAAGCGGATAAGAAAGTGTTATTGGCATTCCCAGAGGATTCCATATCATTGGTCATTATGCTTGTCTCTAAGGCAGCCGTTAAAGACTCCAGATCTTCTGCATGTGGAAGACCACTCATCATCGAGTCGGATATTCCATTTACTTGTGAATCCTGTGGCTCATTGGCGGATTGAAGTTGGCCTGCGCTTGAATCTGGGATAGTTTCTGTTTGAGACTCCGAATTTGAGGCTATGCCATTTGGCATGGCGCTAGGGCCGCTGTCTTCTGCTTCCTTTCGTGATGTCGGTTGCTTTTGTTTTATTCCATTTGCCAGTGCTTGAGAGAACTCGTCGTCTTCCGCTGCAAATGCACCACCGGATGGCGCATCTGCATCCCCACCGCCTTCTGCATCCCCAAAAAGTGAGTCTGCTTCAAAAAGGGAATCGGCCGGTGACCCCGCTTGCTGATCGGTAGATTGACCGTCCTTATGATTACTTCCGCCGTTTACAAAGCTTTGGTTGACAGAAGCGGCAGCACGGTTATTTGACGAATATGTTCCATTGGTTAGCGGCCGTTCCACAATCTCCCGTGGGACAGGAAGGCTCGATTCAGGGCGGAATTCAATAGCGGAAACCTGTCCGATGCCTGATCCAAAGGTGCGCTTCACTTTACCGGTGTCGAGATCCCACTCTAAGGCTTTCTTATCCCAGCTCCCGGACAAAAGTGACCTTTCATCTTGGGTAAGGGATAAAACTGATACAGCCGAGGTATGTTGCTTAAGCACCGCGATCTCTTTGCCTTCATCATGGCGAACAGACTGTAGTCGTATAAAACCTGATTCCAAGCCCGAAAGGAGCCATAAACCTTCGGCTTGGGCGGCAAGTGAGTACACCGGCGACATGCTGGCGCCGTCCAAATTTTCCCAGTAGTTCACCAAGACGCCCGCCTTGACAACGCTGTCAACAAAAGGATGACGCTGAGCAACCGTAAGCATGAGCTTACTATTTATAGAGTCAACCCAATTGAACCTTCGTACGTATCCGTCGGAGCCGCCAGTAAACACCCAGCGCATATCGGCAGTCGACGTGACAGCATTGATAGAGGTACTGTGAGGGGCAGCTGTTGTAGGGACAATATCGTAGGTTGCAGCTGTTAGTGCTTCGGGGCGGATCTGCGGCCGGTACATGAAGGGTTGATCCGGGACCGGATCAATAGTAGGTGCTGTTATTATGACTTCGGGGTTTTGTGTGTTTCTCGCCTGGCTCTCCGAGTCCACAACGCTGGAGTTGGAAGGGGAATTAGGCTCGGGCTCAGGTTCAGGCTCAACATCAACATCCATTTCATCCATATCCTGCATGGTGTCATCCACACCGCCGTCTGAGCTACCATCTTGTGATCCTATTAATGGGTTTGATATATCTTGGTCAGCGCAATTGTCTCTTTTTTATATGAGGCAGGGTAACCGTGGGGGAAGTTGGCAGTAAGTCGCACTTACCGACCAGGTCGCGGTCATCGTCATCTTCCAGAATTGAAGGCATCTTCGCTGTACTTGAGCGGATTTCTCTTTAACAACACTGTATGTAAAGGGCCGACAGGTGGTGGGTTACTGATTCGGAGTGGTATTGGACTAGGGATGCGCCAGTTACAGACTGTAGAACGGAATTTGCATGGCAGGCTTCGGTGAGTGAAGAACTCATTGTCTTCCAGAGGCTACATGGACCCGCAGAGACAGCAGAGAAGACGAAACGTTGAAACTCCTAATAGTCGCATGAGGAACTCCAAAGTTCGCCTTTTTCCCTCCCTTTTTATGAATCGCGCAAGAAAGTAAGCGTGAGGGTAGCCGCGATTAGACGCTGGAAGCGCCTAATGCGGCTTTGGAAAAACGCTAATCCGACTACTCTTTTTTTTTTATCTCGACTTCTTCTTTCGAGCTGGTTACAAGACAAAAACAGACCAGCCATCCTGATGTCTTTTACTGACCTATGTTATCTCACTAGTGTCTCTTTTCAACTGGCTAGAAATAGCTTTATGAGAGCCTATCGACTTAATCTATAATATTGGTACCCTATGGGACCAAGTGTTTGCCACAGACATGGTATATTTGCAAAGACAAACTGTACTAACCATGTCTCGCTCTATTATCAACCTGCTAGGCTATGGATGCAATATCCCGCCGCCCGATCATATTATGCGATGTTTCTTTGCCTGAGACAAAGAAAGATATGGCTTAAGTCACTCTCATATTAACAGAAAGTTTTCCCACCAATGCTTTAATATCAAACACTGCTCTTACCAGTGCTTGCTCTCCTCCTCTTTTCCCCCCTCTACCTTTCCGCCTTCCTTCCGGCACTTTCTTCTCAGAGTATTGTGTTAGGTGATCTATGTCCATGGCAGTTGCCTCGGTACCTAAGTACAACATCTCTAGCGCTCCTCCTCTCACATTTTAATAATTCTATTGCTTCTCTCCTGACCTTTCTTTGTGTTTCTTAACTGTCCTGTCTTTATCGGTATTCATTCCTTCTACGCTCTCTTTGTTGAGCTGTTGCTTCTTTTGCCCAGGGAATTTTTTACTTGAACTTCATTTTAGGAGTTCACCAGGTTTATTTCTCCCTCTCGTATCGCTCCTTCAAATTTTTGAGCCATTTGAAGAGTTTTATTGTTTCGTTTTTCTCTTGATCTCAGCCACGAGAACCACCTAAGCCGAGTTACGATGCGAGGTCGAGGTTATCAGCGAGTCCGAGGTCGAGGAAGGCCGCCTCTTTCTCACTCGTTTATCGAGATTCAGCCAACAGTTCAGATTGATAAGGAGGTTAGAGAATATTTTACAAAGGCAATTCACTCTGGTACACCTGGGACTTGGTCTGCTAAGCCTGAGCTACCCCCTCCCGAAGAGGTATTGGGGCTTGATGATGGCGAAGTGATTTCACTTAGCGTGAATCAGATTCAGGGCCCCTGGCCATCAAAAGAAGACTATCTTAAAACTCATTACGAACTACTCCGTGAGGATGCGGTTGCCCCATTGCGAGATGCTGTTGCATATTTTCGTCACGATCCGAAGATGTCAGACTCATCCCAATGCTGTGTTTATGAAAAGGTACTCAATATATTTTACTAGCCAGGCCAAAGACAATAAATGAATATGACCACGTGAATACTGATTGCCGTCTTACCTAGGTTCACATCGTCGGAGTGACTTTCGCACAAACTGGAATCGCAGCTAGAGTCCAATTTTCAACTTTCAGGGCAGGCAAAAAGATAGTATGGGAATACTCAAAGCGCCTAATGACTGGAAATATTGTTGCATTATCTCCAGCAAGTGACTCATTCCGAAGCAAATGTATTGTCGCAACTGTTGCTGCGAGACCACTAGACGGCCTTAAGGCATCCCCGCCTGAGATAGATATTTTCTTTGCACGCCCTGAAGACGCAGAATTTGATTATCAACAGGAGTGGGTCATGGTTGAAGGCCGAGTTGGGTACTTTGAAGCTGCTAGACATACCTTAAGCGCTCTACAGAAACTGTCGAATGAGAGGTAAGTAGTAAGATTATAAATCATGACCATCTACCGAAGCTGACAGTTATATAGCTTCCCACTCTCAGAATATATCTGTGATCTCAAACCCACGATTGGGGCACCGCAATATCTACAAGAAAATCCATTGGTCAAGATGACCAGTGTACTGCCTGATCAACAGGGTCATCAGAAGATTGATCTAAGTAAAGAGTGGCCGACACATCCTAGCACTCTCGACCCTTCGCAGTGGAAAGCTCTCCATCAGATAATGACAAAGAGATTATCAATTGTCCAAGGTCCCCCAGGTACAGGAAAAACTCATGTCTCTGTTGTTGCAGTAAAGGTGATGTTAGATAACATTCGGCACGGTGACCCACCTATAGTTATCGCAGCACAGACAAACCATGCCCTGGATCAACTTCTTCGCCATATTTCAAGATTTGAGCAGAGATACGTTCGTCTTGGTGGCAGGAGCGCAGATCCAGATATTAGGACGCGTACCGTGTTCGAATTACGGAAAAAGAACAACTTTCCATCCGCTATTGGAGGAAGCCTTGGTCCTGCGAGGAAGGAGTTGCGTGAACTTACCGACCAAGTTGTTGAGTTGCTCTCTCCATTCCGCACAGAACATTCCCATTCCCCCCTACAACCATCACTTTTTTTGAATTTGGGGATTATCTCTATAACTCAGCATAATTCACTCATTAAAGGTGCCACAGGATGGGTACGAGCCGGTGACCGGACCGATCCAATGTCAGTGTGGCTTGGTGACGCTCTAACAAAATTTGAATTGGTTTACGAACAAGAAAATTTTGGGTTTGTTGAAGAAGAAATTGATCTCGAATATGAGCAGCTGAAGGAACTCGAGGCAGAGCACGGGCTTGATGACGACGATTATGAGATCCTGAAAGGCCAATATCTCGGTATGAGGGAGTTATTCACGACTCGAGGGCACCGATCCTATCCTGAAAAATCCATTGAAGGCAGCTATCTGAAGTATGATGACATGTGGAAGATTCCTAGTGCTGCACGCGCTGCAACTTACTCACTGCTACAGAGACGTGCAAAGGACATCGTGCGCAGCAAATTTCGTCGCATTCTCGAGAGGTACAATGTGGCGTGCAGAAATGCAAAGATAGGGAAATGGGAAAGAGATTCACTAATTCTTCGGGAGGCACGAATTATTGGCATGACTACTACAGGCCTAAGCAAATATCGAGCTCTTGTCTCTAGTCTTCGACCAAAAATTATACTGATTGAAGAAGCAGCAGAAGTTCTGGAGGCTCCTGTCACCGCAGCATGCTTGGAGTCACTGCAACACCTTATCTTAGTCGGCGATCACCAGCAGCTCCGGGGCAGCTGTTCCATGCAAGAACTTGAGGGAGACCCATACTACCTCAGTATCTCAATGTTCGAAAGACTCGTTCGAAACTCAATTCCATTCAAGCGCCTGACCAGCCAAAGACGTATGATTCCAGAAATCCGACGAATCCTCTCCCCAATTTATAACGACCTGCATGACCATTCTAGCGTCCTGGAACGACCGGATATACCTGGCATGGGTGGAATCAATTCCTACTTCTTCACGCATGTATGGGCCGAATCTTTTGATAACCTATCTTCGAAATACAACCAGAAGGAGGCAAGAATGGTTGTCGGTTTTTATGTATATCTGCATATGAACGGCGTTCCTGTTAAGGACATTACGATCTTAACGTTCTACAACGGGCAACGCAAGTACATTCTCAAGGCATTGAAAGATAACCCACTTTTTCATGGACAGTATACAAAAGTGGTCACAGTCGATTCATACCAGGGAGAAGAGAATGAGATTGTGCTCTTATCCCTAGTGAGGAGCAATGAAGGCGACAATATAGGCTTTCTTGCAAATGAAAATCGCGTCTGTGTTGCATTATCTCGTGCCAGACGTGGGTTTTATATATTCGGAAATGCAGAATCTCTTGCAATATCCAACGGATTGTGGTGGCAAGTGGCACAAATAATGAAAAATGCGCCAAAGCGTTTAGGATATTTTTTGCCCCTGATGTGCAAAAAACACATGGCCAAGACGCTGATAAGCAGTATGGTTCCGTGACAATTAATTAATTTGGTTCATTTTTACTGATATTTCTCAATAGATCCGGAAGCATGGTCGAACATTGACGGCGGATGCTCGCAACGATGCGGAGAGAAGCTTTCATGTGGACATACGTGCCCTCTTCTTTGCCATGCGTACGGACACTACCTAACTTTCAAAAACACTCAGAATTACTCACTGACCTCACTACAGCATCTCCCATTCCAGACTTCAATGCCAAGTGAAATGCGATCGCATGCTCCCATGTGGGCACAAGTGTACCGAGCTGTGCTTTCGTAGTTGCAGCTGTATCTGTGCGGTGGCTACGCGGCAAGTCCTTACAAGTCTACCGAGAAATCGCTCTATTGTTCCCCGAGAAGCCGAATTCCTTCCTCCTGGCAATACTGAAGAGCGCGCTTTGCTCGCCAAACGATACCAAGCATTTGCAACCGGCGGTGCCCAGAAAGAAGACGCTCGGCTCGCAAAAGAAGCAGAAAATTTAGCGTTACAAGAACGTTTGCAACAGATGGATGAAGAAGCATGCATTGATTTGTTTGGAGAGCGAAAGTCTCAAAACTTTCCTCGAGAAGACAAGGAGGAAAAATCCGAAGTTATCTCCGACGGGAAAGGTGGTGTTCGGATGAAATACACCCAGTTTTATTCCAACTCCCTCGCCGCGTCCAAGAATAACAACGAGGGAAAGAAAACGTCTAGCTTACTCGATTAGGATGGTATGTCTGCGACGGCTGTGTACTGTCAATGCAAGTCATCTAGTGAAGACGGACATCTCATTCCTAGCTGTGACAATATACCCATAGTCTTTCAAGGTACAGAGGATAGCCACATGTTAACATTCGCCAGGCAGGTCAGTGGTGCTTAGTACTTTCTTTGGTTGGTCACATAGAATAGAATAGCTAGCTGGTAGGAAAAAATTAAAGAGAAAATGAAAATACAATTTAAATCTCTTTGCACTATGTAACTAAGCAACGTGTTGTTGGAATGATTAAAGGGTCTTACTCACCTAACCAATCCACAGCTTCTCCAATGGTACCACTGTAGGTAAGTGGAAAGGTTTTAGACGCAATGAAAGTTATAAGAATAAGGGAAAAATACAAATTTCTTCATTTTTGTTGGGTGCCAAAACAAACAGGGGAAATCTTCTTAGGCTAGCTAAGGAAGAGCCTGCCAATCCGAAGCGGCTCTAAGAATCATCCACTAATCTGTGTTGTTCCCAGGCCTTCTTTGCAGCTTCCAACAAAACCTCCATGTTTCCGCTGTTTTCACACATACTCCTGAAAATTCCTCCTTCTTTGTTAATCAGCTGCCAGGGCCCATCGTACTCCTTTACCTCACCATGATCAAGAACAAGAACCCTATCATAGTCGATGATTGTTTGGAGGCGATGTGCTATTGTCAATATCGTGTTGTTACCCCTTAATTCGCGAAGGGTGTCTTGGATCTTGGAATCGGTAGCATAGTCGATTGAGGCTGTTGCTTCATCCATTAGAAGAACCTTTGGAGATTTGAGCAAGGCTCTGGCTAGACAGAGGAGTTGTCGTTGACCTTGGGAAAGGTTGGATCCGGACTCGGTGATGGCTGATTCGAGATTCAAGAAAATATTTTTGTTATCCTGCAGATGGGCCGCGCTGACATCTGTATCGGCTGTGCTGCCGTTTGCAGTTCCAACTAGGGTGTTGGAATCTTGAGGGGTGTTAGGCACAGTATCTTCTTCAAGTAGTAACGGAGCTGATTCAGCGTTTGACTCGGGAATTGTATTGCTATGTGGCCGTTCTGCTTCCTCGGAATTGGTCATGGCTGGGCCGAGGAGATGGACTTGGCGTAGGGCCGTGAAGATCTCTTCATCTGTGAACAAACCGAATGGGTCAAGGTTTGTTCTAATCGTTCCTGTGAAAAGGGTGGGGTCTTGTGGCACAATCGTGATGTTTTGTCTAAGATCCTGCAGACCGATCAATCCAATATCAACATCATCAATTAGAATCTTTCCGGTTTCCGCCTCAAGACCTCGGAATAGAGCTAGCGCTAGGGAGCTCTTCCCTGCACCGGTCCTACCGACAATACCAACACGTTCACCAGGTTGAATGTCGAAGCTCACGCCCTTCAATACTCGGTCTAGGTCAGGGCGATATCTGGTGGAATAATCAACAAACCTGACGGCACCCTTACTTGGCCAGATTCTAGCCGGTTTAGTTTCTGGGATCAATGCCGGTGCCTCCTGTTCCACTTTCATGTATTCCTCCACACGCTCAACCGAGTTCATATTTTGCTCGTTTTCGGAATAAAGCCTGACTAACCAAAGGATGTTTTCGGAGAACGTAATAGCATATGTCATTGCCAAACCTGCTGCTCCAGCATCGACAGTATTAGCGCTTAGAATAAGGAAGGCAGCTGCGAAGAATGAGACTAGGGCACCGATTATGTCGACTCTGAAGGCAAGCCATCGGTTAGCGGCCCATAGGTAGATATAAGGCCTGTTGTAAGTGTTGATTAGGCCATGATTGTCCAAAATAAAGCGAGCGCCGTCGCCGTAGGCTCGGATAGTGACGACTCCGTTCAGGGTTTCGCCGAATTGCTGGTACAGCGGGCTTCGCTGGATGGATTCCAAACGTTTGAGGTCACGGGATGTATTTATATAGAAGGCTCCGAGGGCAATGTACATTACGGTGATGAAGACACCGGCGATTAAGAATTTTGGAGTGATAACGGAGATAAGGATAACAATCATAGCAATTGCGGCTGCGCAGTGTATAACGCCGATAGCAGTAGCTGCAACGTCTTGGTCAATAGACTGAATATCCTTCGAGAATCGATTCATGATACGACCCAAGGGAGTTGAATCAAAGAACTTGAACTTGGCCCGCATCACAGCTCGGAGTAACCATGCATGGACTTTTCTCGATGCGTGAATGGAGCCCCAGAAGAAAATCCACTCCCTGATGAAAGTAATGAAAATGTACATGATGGTGAGGACAAGGTATATCCAGAGGTAGTAGGATTCGTTAATATCGGCATATTTCCTGCGCATGGCGGAAAATTGAGGCTCCTTGGGCGTTTGAGAGATAAACGACATGGCTGCTGTGTTTCCAAAATTCAAACTAGGTACGTCGAATGCGGTAGCTCCAGTGCTTTGGGTGCTGTTCCTGATCTCATACGCATTGGCCCACTGCCTAATCCAGACATTTGGCGCCAAAGATGCGAGCTGGTGGAGAAGGAAGAAGAACATTGCTAAGACCCAGAAGTACCATGGTCCCATAGCACGAAGGTACATGTAGATAGTCGACATTGGAACACTTCCAGTAACTTTCAGCTCTTCATTGGTAGGCGGTGAAGCTGCTGTGGCTTTCTTCTTCTTTAGAGCTCTTACGCCTCCATTGGTGGCAGAGGCAGCATTCTTTGCCTGGTCGGCTACAGTCTCTTCAAGATTTGAGGGCACACGAGACGCTAGCTCGGAAGGACCATGAGATCCTGATCGGAGGATATCATCCTCAATAGCTCCGGCATCAATCAAGTCTTTAGGTGAGCCTTGAGCTGTAACACGTCCGTTGTTTAGTATGACAGCATATTCGGCCTGGGGTAAGACGAGCGAAACATTGTGAGTGACCAGGATACATGTGCGGTTCATCATGAGCGGACCAAGTATGGCGTTGTTGAAAATGTGCTTGGCCGTGTGTGAGTCGACAGCGCTGAGGCAGTCGTCGAGAAGTAAGTGACGAGCACTGCTGTACATGGCTCGGGCCAGAGAGATTCGCTGCTTCTGACCTCCTGAAAGACTGATGCCCTTCTCGCCTACAAGAGTTTGATCTCCGGCATCCAAGATTTCAAGGTCACGTTCCAACGAGCAAGCTTTGATAACGGCTTGGTATCGATTTTCATCAAAGGATGATGCAAAGATGATATTCTCCTTGATCGTATTGTTGACAAGCCAAGCTTCTTGGGCGCAGTACGCAACACTTTCCGTCAGAGAGGTCATTGGGTTGGGACGAAGGTCAGCTCGATCACTGGTTGCTCCAGGCAAAGACACAGAGCCCTTGATCAAGCTCATCTCTCCCAGTAATGCCATGAGCAAGGAAGTTTTTCCGGATCCAGTTGGGCCAGCGATGATATTTAGCTTTCCAAGCTGGAAATTCACGTTGACGTCTATCAATCGGAAGGCTGGGGCAGTGCTACTCAACACGCTGCTAGGATTCATCTTGCCAGTTCCCCAGGACAACGTGGCGTTCTCCAAACAGATTTTCGGCTCCTTAGTGCTGCAATCCTTCAGTTGATGGTATTTTTCGGTCTCTTCCTCACTCAGGAATTCTTCAACTCGATCAATGGATACCTTTGCTTCGAGGACGTGTGCTGCCATGTCAGCCAGTCGGTCCAGAGGAACACGGAGTAGCGAGAACATAGACAAGGCAGGGAACGCAATTGATGGGATCAACTTCTTGTTCTCCACATATGTGAAGATGTAGAACGTGCAGAGTGTGGTGATAAGTGGTGTGCCGTAGAATAGAGTAACAGCCCAGGCCCAGAGCAAGTAACGGGAGCGGATGTGACGTAGCTCGGCCTGTCTCTTTTCGTTTATGATGCCCTCAAAGCGATGTTCCCAGGCGAAGTATTTGATGATTCGAATATTTTGTAACACCTCATTTGTGGCATGGATACGAGCATCAGTGGCGGCAAGTATCTTGTACTGAATAGCTCGGAATCTGCTAGCAATATAAACGTTTAATGGAGCGATTAAGATCGTCATTGCAACTCCAGCCAGAGAGCTGACACCCAGGACCTGATAGAGGAAGTATACGGCTACGATAAGCTGGGTAGGAACACTGGCCCAGAGGAAGTGCAGATAAGCGCAGATATCGCTGACCTTGAACGAGTCAATGGCCATCAAGTTGATAATCTTCCCCAAGTTGGCCTGACCATCGGACCCCTTCTTGGGTGCATCTTCACCCTCGCCCTTTGATTTCTTGGAAGCCTTTGGCTGGTCCTTACTCTCATCCTCGCCCTTGGCGGCACTTCCAACAAATGCACCGGCCTTGCGTCTGAGAGCTTTGGCGTAAAGCTCACCGACGATAATGGCTCTAAGCTTGACACTGAGTTCTCTTCCAAGCCATAGAGACTGGCCGTCTCCGACTGCCTGGACGGCTCCACAGACAAACATGAGCACGACATAGAGCCATGCAGCACTTACGGGCGTCTCATCGGGGTTTTCAACATACTCCAGTATAAACTTGAGGAGCCAGGTGGGGAGGAAGGTGAAGAGACTGGCTAAGATTGCCCAGAGACCCTGGATGAGCAGGTCGGGGGTAAAGTACCCTACCAGGTTCCAGGCCATGGTACAGGCCTTCTTATACTGTCTGAAGCTGGCCAGGACCGCGGTTGCGTGGCCGTCTGGCTTCAGGTTCCAGACATCTTTGATTTCCAGGGAGTTCTTATATCCCATGGCGATGAAGGAGTCCATCCACGAGAAGCTGGCCAGGGAGAAAAGACTGGCAAATTGGTCCTTGGGAGGAGTCATGCCGTCTTCGTGTTGGACGAGGACGGTCTCTCCGCCCTTTCGGGTGGTAAGGGCGATCAGCAGCAAGATAGTCGACAGCCCAAAATCCGTGGCCAAGAAGGGCATATTGGAATCCTGCGGCCTGTGGATGAGGATCGAACGGAACGGTAACACAATGAAGAGCCATTGTAGTGAGTACAGAGAGGCAGTATGGTTCCAAAGTTTTGGTAGTGACGGGCACCTGGATGGCGAAGAGGCGAGTCTCCCAACGGCGAGGGCCAGGATATATATCCATGAAGCCAGACGAACGATAAGGGAGGTCTGAGCAGGTATACGAATGCCCACGGCAGCTATGCCGATACCGTTCGTGACCACCTGGCCGACCAAGGCGAGTATCTCGATCGTGTTGACCAGCGTCTTCCCACGCGGCTTATCGGGCTCAATCAGGACATCTGCCGTGCGACTGATGACTTTGTTGAGCATCAAGTCACTCTCTTCGTCTCCGTCATCTCTGTAGGCTCCATCGTCGGCTCCATTGGCATGTACATCCACGATATCAGACGGGGCTTGTTTGTACTGCCTCCTCCGGTACTCGGCAATCCGGTAAAGCAGAGCGTGTGCAATGACCAGAACCAGCGAGATGGCACAGGAAGCTATAGGGAGAATGAACCCGAGGTACCTACAGAGAGTCAATTATGATTTATCCTCGAGGACGTGTACTGGACAGGAAAAGCAAGGTGGGAAAAAAGAAAGGAAAAATAGAGGCCCAGCAAGGATTTTTTGCTCACCTGTGCTGGAAGCATTGTGACAGGTCGTCAACGTCCCAGACGGGGCGTCCACCGCAGTCTTCCATGGCGAGGTCACCCTTTTCTTCTTCTTCCTCTTCTTCTCCTTGGGCGTGGTGCTCTCTCCTGTCTGCTGTCTCTGTTGGATGTGTAATAAGTGCTATATTAGCGAAGGGTGTTGGCTTGTTATCAGATGGAGCATGTCAGACAAGCCCGGGAAGCTCTCTTAGCCAATGAACGACGACTCTGTAGAGGACACCAAGACAGCCACAGACATTATCGGCCTCTCTCTCCCCTTCTCGCCGTCTTGTCGCCTTCTTCCCTCTGTCTTGCTGCGTACTGTGTATGTGGTTGTCTCAGGTGTCGCGTCTATGGGGTGTTGGGGTGCCAGATGTTGATGGGAGGGCGGAAAACCTGGACGGCAACCATGACAGGCGACTTAACTTATAAAGAATCCAGCTTATCTATACGAGCAAAGCCTTTGCCAGGGGGGGGGAACTCGTCCTGAGTCACGGAGAAGACATCTTTCTCGTCGCGGTCGCGCACGGCGCCGAACAAATGCCTGAAAGTGGTCTCCGAACGGTTTCTACAGCGACAGATCCTTCTCCACCCTCGCGTTGCATCTACACATAAAACTAAACTATTATTGCTGCATGTCAAGGGCGAAGAACAGGGGGGAAGAGTTCTCGTGATGCTTGTTGCCGTATTTCGCGGTGGGGGTGAAGAGTCGGGTTTACATAGATATTTCGCTCTTGATACGGCGAAGTGCTGTACATTTATGGAGTATCAAGATGGATCTTTAGCCCACTAGGGGATTAATTCCTTTTCCTCTGTCCGTACTACGGATACTCTCGACCGTCGAGCTCGATGTTTGAAGTATGGAAACACATAAAAAGACTTCGTACTTCTGACTCAACGCGGCAGCCTCGTATTTTTTTACACATATAAAGTGTCTCTGGAAGGGTTCAGGCTTGTTGATCGTGCATATGAGACGCCTTACTGTTGACATAAGATGTTCATCTTCCGAGCTCACCGCTTGATTCTTCTTCTTCTTCTTCTTTTACTTTTATTCTTTGCTTCTTTTTCGTCTTTTCTTTTTATATGCTTACTAAGCTGGAATAACCTTACCCCGAGCGGCGATGGCGGGTATTAGATAAGCACAAGTTTAACTTCTTATCAGATCGGATTTTAAGCTTTGTATTATGCATTAACAAGTTGAAAGAGCTAGCTAGGCTGTTTATATGGGTAAATATAATTACATTATATTACTGTTTAGCAGCCGCCAGGCACTCTGCTGCTACCGACTCTCTTTTCGGGGTTGTAGGCAGCACCCACGCCGAGCCCACGCTTAGCAAATGCCTTCCACAGCTCACACCTGTTGGCGCCCTTGGTGAGGTTCATGTCAGCGTCGATGATGGCATCACGCGCTTGGACAAAATTTGGGAGGCAAGGTTGGCTGGGGAGAGAGATGTTAGCATTGACCGAAAGTAAGAGTGGAGGAGGGGAATAACTAACAGGGCCATTCCGTCAAGGACGAGTTTCATGGCGAGATTGCGGCCGTCGGTCGGGACGCCATCCTTAAAAGTAGGCTTGATTTTGTTGACGTTTCCCATACCGTGCCTCTCGATCAGATTCCAGAGAACCTCGTTAAGTATCGTACACCAGATAGTGCCGATAGCATGGACGGATTCCAACCCATCCGCATCAACATACATGAGAGGGTTCGTGTGCAGATCGGTAGAATAGGGATACTTGCGGATACCACCCTGCCGGCCTGAAGCCCACTCACCTATTGTGTAGTTTTTATTACGGGTATCTCTCTCCTTTAGGTGGACGACAGTCGCGAAGAAATCACTCCAGCCCTCGCCCATGCCACCGGATTCAAGACTGGACAAGCATCGGGAGTTAGCTGGGCCGCCGGTGAGTCGGTTGGAGACTAATCGGGGTATGTGTTAGATATACGCATCTTTAATTTTATTGCTTGATGTTAGGCGGACTCACCTCCGTGGGTATATTCGTGAATAACGATGCCAGCCTCAAAGGAACCATCGCGGTATGGCGTGGAAGTATCCCAAACATACATTCTCATGCGACCAGGCTGCCCATCTGGAGGAGTAGCAAAGTTGGCATTATTCACGCCAGAACCATCCTGAGTGTTAAGGATGGTAAAGTCATTGCCCTTACCACCCTTGCCCCAGTTGTTGACCTGGAAGTTCCCTGCCTTCTCGTTGAAGCCGAGGATGTAGAGTAGGTCGTGGTAGACGTTGCCGGTGTAGAATAGCTGGGTGATAGAAGCATCTCTATACGACGCTGGGGGAGTCATGGACTGGGTGTATGGGTATCTGAAGATCAATAATGGGTTCGTTGGGCGGTGGTTGTCTTCGTATTCCCAACCGCCGCTTGGGTTGTCTTGTGCGATGGCATTATTGCCGCGGGTAGTCGTGTGCCAACCACGGCCATCAATGTGCCAATTCCTAGACCCGGTCTTGAACCACGGAAAATAGAGGTGGGCGCGTTCTCCATCAGTAGGGTCATTGACACCCCAGGGGCTGGCATCCAGTTAGCCTGTATTCCTATTGTAAATGATGGGAAACTAGGGAACATACTAGACTTGATACTCGGCGGATGCAACATAATCAACGACACCATGGACTTGATCATTCTTCTTGGCATCAACATATGTGAGGAGCCAGTTATCACCGACATCGGTTTCAACTCTCCAGGTGAGATGCAGGCCACCGTCCTTCTGGAGATAAACAAGCTGGGCCGTAGGGTCGGTGAGTGCACCCGTTGTGCCCTTGAACATATATGTCGAATTACCTTCAATTGGGGTGGTCTTAACTTCACCGACAGCAGCTGTGACGGGAATGTTCAAGGTGTTTATAGCTCCAATCAGAGCATTGACTGGATCTGAGAAGTCACGCTTGGCCACAGGGTTGGCCTTGGGAATCTCCCCTTCGTAAAAGGAGCTTCCATATGAGAAGACCTTGCCATCACGACCAACCTATGGATATACCCTTAGTAAGCCAGTTATTATCTTTAATATGCTCCACTTACATTAACGTTGAAATCAGTGTTGTCAATATCAATCCCGTACACGGTCTGACGGAAGTGGACATGGCCAATCCCGCTATCACCAATATAGTGATCATCAATAAGGCGGAAGCTGGCATATGGAAGGGTCGCTTTCAGCAGGCTTGTGGCAACAGTAACATAATCTTCAGAACTAAGGTTACTAGCACTGTGGTCACCACCACTATAGCTTGAGCCTGTAATATTGTCCCCGCCATACTCAGCAACATCCTCGCTCTTGTTATAGAGGGATAGCTGGGGGAGGAAGTAGGCGCTGGTATCAATATGCCGGTGGGTTACGTTAACAGAGTTGGGTGGCTCGGCAGGGTGGCCGAGCACATTCGAGGGCAGAGCCAACAGCCCTGCAAGCAAAAGTCCGTGCATGATGTCTGCTTGGCTGGTAATGAAGGGGGTGATGGAGAGAATTGAAGGCAAGCTGCTGATTCTCTAGACTTTTCTCGAGGCTCGCCATGATGCCTTTATATAGAGACACTATTCCCCCTGTTCGTCATAGAGTAGCAGCCATCACCCCCTCCAAATGTCACCTTCAAAGACCTCTACAGGGGACCATGAAGTATAACCATCCAAATAGATGCATTGCCAATGAGTTTCCCTAATACCCAACTCCGAGCGTGGGGCTCGTAGCCATATTCTCCCCTGTTCATTTTGTGCTGTAGGAATCACGATAGCCCATATGATAGTGCAGAATGATGTTTTTAGTTGCCGGTTTTGCACCCATCATAGCAACCTGCCAAGGAAGAATCAATGGGTATCACATATAAGAAGTTGATACAGGGCGTGAAGCAAGTATTCCATCGAGCTCATTCTTGATTCTAGAAGTTTTGTTCTCCTGTTTCCCGGTTGAGGTGCCCGAACGGGATCTCAAGATCTGGCCTGGGAGCCAAGGTGCATGTGTACATATACATAGTACAAATGATTCATGATTATGGGGTAAAGGCCATTGGAAAAATTTTCAATCGTTGTCCGTTAGGGCGCGAGAACGGCGTTTGAATTGATATTTCCCCCTGTAACTTTTTTACTTTGGCCCTCAGGGATGTTCTTGTTCAACCATACAGGGGGAGAAAGCCCTTTTAATACGACCTCAGACACGATGTTTCATGGCAGTTCTAGAATGAAAATGGAAATATTTGCCATCTTCGGTCTCATTGCTTTCATCTTCTTCTGCGTTCTCCTTCTCTTGGATGCTGTAAGCTCTCGCGTGCAGGCATTCCTCCTCGATGCACCCCGGAAACAATTCACATACTCACATGCATAGTTATAAGCAGCCAACTGCTAGCGCCGGTGTCTTATATGTTTGATAAAAAAAGCCCACAGTCCCTTATTTTGAGCACTTTCTAGCCAATGCGTACATATTTCCGGCCTACCAAGACGCTTCAAGGGCTGGTTGAGAACCTTGCTCCGATCTCTGTCGAGTGGTACCATTGCAACGTGGCAACCGTTAGCTATGATGGGTAATGAGGCGGATACTTATCTGCCCACTGGAGAGGAAAGAAAATATCTCCAGGTCGGAAATTTGTTTAGACTTGTCTGGCTCAGGAGAGGAACAGGTCATGGTCCAGGAACTCCCCGGTCGAGCGGACACTTTTATTTTCACCATATTTTACATGCATTTTCGCCGCAGCTTCGTAGTGGACGTGGAGTTGATTGCGTGATGGTAGAATATTTCCCGTTGATAACCACACCGCACGAGAGAAGCGAACTTACGGGGTATTATGTATGGGGCCCTTGGGCCATGAAGCTGAGATAAACTTGCGGGAGATGTACGTGTATATATGACCCAGACTATACGGTTCTGGATTGCTATTCCAAGCATTATCTTGGGAGAAATCATCAAGTGATGGGCTTTTTGGCTTTTAATATCTGCGAGCCACCAACATCGCAAGGGGGTTTTGCGGGCATTGACCTATAGGGATAGCACGTTCTTGCGCATCTTCCTCGCTTCGGATGGTAGTCTAAAAGTATCATCCTGGTCAATAATTCTCCGCAGGCGTCGAAAACCCTTCGGGGGGACAGGCTATGAACAATACTTATATTTATACTCCGCCCTCCCACTTGGTTATGCCGGGACCTCTTGACATTAGGACTTATGCTTGTATAGCGGCTATATGGGCTTGTCAGTTGAGGAGAAGAAGCCATGTCTGACAATAGAGTGAGATATATCTGAGAGATATGTTGCTTACGGCGTCTGAGCTAGCGAAATGATTGCACCTCATGCCTCTGTTCACGATGGGCCCAGAATAGAGCATGCAGGCATGATAGTCTCTTGCAGGTAAGAGTTTTTTTAGTTCTAGGCACAGCATTCATGCAAGTAATTGATCATATGCCTGTCCCCGTAAAAAGATAACTGCATCCTCTGAAATAGTCGTTAATAAGGCTCCGTGTTAAATAATTAATGGTAGGGAGCATTCCGTTTGCTTGCTGATTGGTATGTTTCCCCCCGGATCCTGCAACTAAAGCAGTTGTCCATATCACTTGGCGATATTTTTCCGGGGAAAATATAATATCATAGACAATAAATGGCCGTGGCCGTCTTTCAGTCTTTTTCCCTCTCTAAGCCTTCACGATCTTCCCAAAAGTGTACCATAGCTGGGTATCATCCCCCCCGCTGGATAGGACTCGGGGACTCCGTCACCTGTTTAACATGGCAGATTCATCTATATGTGTATTTACTTATACACAATGACCCGTTATCGAGGGGCAAGATACACTGTGGAGTTTCGATGACTGACTTCAGATGTTCTTGATGTCTTCTTGCTATTGAAAGTCGTGTTAGCCTTCTCGTGGCTGATTCCATATGGTGGCAAAACTCCTTCCATCAACATACATAGTATTCAGCATAATCATCCAGCTAAAAGGTATTATCCGGTAGTCCCCCCCGTGGCATCATGTCTGTTTGAGAAAGCTGATGGTCATGGTATAAATCCGGTCATAATTATCACCGGCAGTGGTTCCTAACTATGGTTCGGCACCTTCATCCGAGCACATCAAGATCGCTGTTATGGCGAGCTGAAGGATGGACATCGCCTCTATCATCTGCATTTTCTGTATCTTTAACCGGCCAGACGTCATCTTCTTCTATCTTGTGTTGTTCGGCGACAGGACAACAAACTTGTAAGATTAAGTGCTGGTCATGTGGGTCGTTCGGCCCTTCGAAGCCAACGAACGTCACGGTGTAACTAATTAGTTGCCTATTTCATATAAAAAGCGCTTTGAAAGGGGCGAGTCAAACCCTCACGCGCCCCAACACATAAAAAAGCAAAAGACGAAGAGAAGAGAAGAGAGGAGAAGAGAAGCGGAATCTTCACTTCTCTTTGCCAGATTTCGTTTCTTTGATCTGGCCATCTTGGTCCAACCAGCCGTAACCATCTCCTTCCGGGCAAAAACCATTCGACATAGGGCTGCTTGTCGCTCACTGTGTCAGCCATGGCCGAACGCATATTGATGAACGAGTACAAGTCCTTGGTTAAGGAGAAATGGCTAAACATCGAGGTTTGCTTGTTCCCACTTCCGTCGCCTGGAGTGCTGCCGATTTGCTAACCAAGTGCATCACAGTTAAACGACGACGACATCTTCAACTGGAACATCGCCCTGATCGTCCTGAACCCAGACTCACTTTACCACGGCGGCTACTTCAAAGGGAAAATCACTTTTCCTCAAAACTACCCATATTCACCTCCACGTAAGGGCTTCACGGTGCTGCCACGCGATCAAAAAAAATCTATACAAAGAGACCTAAAACTGAACTAACATTTGTCTTATTCTGAGCACAGAATTCAGATTCACTCCTTCTCTCTGGCACCCAAATATTTACGACAACGGCTACGTATGCATCTCCATCCTACACAAGCCCGGCGAGGATGAAATGTCTGGAGAACTCGCCTCTGAACGCTGGTCACCCGCCCAACGTGTTGAATCCGTCCTGATTTCAATCATATCCCTCCTCGATGACGCAGAAGTGAGCTCGCCCGCCAACGTCGAGGCCGGTGTACAGCTCCGTAGTAACCCGGGGGCTTACAAGAAGCGAGTCAAGGCCGAAGTTGAGAGATCGATCAAGGATATCCCAGAGGGATTCGAAATGCCTACTTCCCACGAAGCTACTATTGCACCACCTGCGAAGCCAGTCGAGAGAGATGAGGACTTTTGGGTTGATAGTGGGGATGAGGATTCCTTCGAGGAGATGTTTGGTGGGAGCGACTCGGAGGGCGAGCTTGACGACCAGGATACTGGAAGCGAGCCAGAGGCTGGCTCACCATTGTGATGGGTGCCACTTCGGAGTAGAGAGGACTTTCACTCTTGTTTCCTCCTTTATTTCTCTCTCTTTTCTTTTCTACTTGCCTGGTGCATCGGTTATAGGACCATGGGTGCAATATATGGCTGTCTTAACACATTTAGCAAGCGGAGTTTATGGCCGGCGTTCCATTCAAACATGGCTAGAGGGCTAGACCTTTTTTTTTTCAAGTTTCCTTGCCTCCTTTGTTAATAGCAAATTAGAATATATGTTCTTCATTATACTACCGTGCTCATCTTTATTTCCTTAACAATTATATCATATATATAATATTATCTGCAAATAGTTCTACATGCCTTTTTAGTGTCATAAAGAAAATTTTTCATCGGCTATTTACATCATGATATTCAACCTTATTTTTTTTTAACGCCACTAAAAATACACCAGCTCGTTTATTAGGAAATTGTTTCTTTCCCTTTGAACATATCTTCTCTGCATGACAGTAAGCGTCTCCCTTCATCCTTTCCAGCCTAGGGCCTAGCACCAATGTTACGTATAATGATATTAGAGTCAATAGAACTCCGTAATGTCGGGCCAAAAATACGTGATCCCTGCCATGCGCAACAAGATAACCTCCCGTCCTGCGCATATCACATTGTACCCGAAAAACTGTTTGAACTCAGAGAAATACAGTTATTTTTGGCGATTATCGTCCAATTCTATCGACTCATCATTCTGACCCAACCGGAACAGAAGATGCTCCACGGATGCCTTTAGATCCAGCAGGGTGTTCGATAAGATTCGTCGGTGCTTTGGGACGCTTAACGCATGTGACAAAGATCTAATGGCCCTGTCCTATATTATACTACATTACCAAGCTTATCCATTGGGATTCGAAAAACGAGATATTCTGTCGCAATAATCTCGATTTGCTTCCTAGCGGAATGGAAGATAAAATCTAGCTTAATAAGTCTTATCTGGTTTTCCTACAAGTTCGGCGAGGCGTCGAAAGTTTCGAGTTTGAGGGGTATTACAAAATTTAATCGCTCATCTACCTTGCCCCGTACACGCCAGAAATTAGGGCTTATCTTCTAGCAAAGTACCCATACGGACCTGATTCATTTCTTTACTCGAAGGGGTACTTTGTACTCGAGAGGAGGTTTAATTCGACGTGGGCGGTGATAATACTGGAGAAGGATAAGAACTAGGATGAAAAACTTGATATTCGTCCTGTAGGGCAGCGTGGTGTCAATAACATACTAGAGGAGCCCAGAAGAAAAGCTTTGTAGGCCTCGCAGGGTGGAGATCATATGTACCATTTTTTTTACAGTGGCGGCTGCTCAGGTGCCTTTTCTTGTTTTAATTTGAAGACTTTTTACTTGGTTTTGTACTCAAAACACAGGTTACTAGTAGCCAATAATATTTCTCACGCGCTTACCGTTTTGGATGCATTTTACATATCTATATCTCAAGTGGACTGGAATGTAAATCAAGGTAACTTGGTCTTCGTGTGATTTGCATAGGGTGAAATGCAGAGTATGGCGAGCCCCACTTATTTTATACTAAGCTTTTCAGGAACAACCTAAAATAAGCGCCTCGCAGCCCGAGCATTCAATCCAATCTCTGAAGATAACTCCATGTCCGTAAGTACGTCTATTCGATATGATCACTTTTCTGGATTATCTAACTATGTAATTCAAGTATACTCTTTTATTTAACAGAATACTCTGAAGGCTCAAATTAACGCAAAAATTATATTTAGACCCTTCAGCTTACACCATTTTTTCGCTGGAAATAGCCTCTGTGTAATAAAAAGTATCAGATGAGCGTTTCTATTATATTTACTTAAGATAGTTGGTCTTCTTAAAGTACGTTTTATGCTGGGGAGTACTGCATTTGCTCAACTGAAGCGGGAACAGAAGAGCAGAAGAGAGTGCTGACTAATCGAGATTTATACACATAAACTTCCAAGGTTGCCACACTACCTTTCCTAATACGGTAAAGGCGGCTTATGCAGGAAGATGTAACTGTATTACGGAATACTACTTAACTCAGCCAATAAAATTGTGTATCAGAGAATATAACCGTAACCGTCAAGTTGTCAGGAAACTTCATCATGTGATCATCGTGGCGGTTTTCGCCGATGAATATATTATGGCGTAACTTGATCTATCAAAGCACTACCAGTTGCTCTCATCAACTTTGCAGGCAGCTTTATACCGTGGGATAGCTACTGTCCTTTATTTGACACTGTTTATTGCTAGCATCTCCCAGTCAAAGCCTTAACTTCGGCGAAAATGGCGTCAAATGCTCGATATACTCAGGCCCCCCAGCGGGATTCCATGGATGCGCAGCACTACCCTCATGCCCCTCCATCTTATCAGGATGCCTCTGGCCCCTCAAGTGGAATTTACGGAACCCAAAGAACTGAAGATGATAATGTTCCGGATGACTTTAAGGTAAGCCTCGTCTGTTCCGGCGATATCATGCTGCCTAACAGGTTATGACGTTGCCTAATTTGGCACTTTACCTATAGCTAACGGATCGGGACATATAGTATGGAGGCTCTGTTGCCGAAGCAGCTATGCCTATTCGAATGCAGTTTATCCGCAAAGTGTACTCCATTCTGTAAGTTGTATCTTAACCTACTTGGCATTTAAGCAGTCACTTACAACCTTCTTCCTATACCAGGACCGTCCAGCTCATCCTTACTACCGCCCTGAGCTCCGTTTCCTTCTTCAACACTCGCTATAAATCTTGGGTCCAGTCGCATTCATGGCTAATGATCGGATCGCTCATCGGAGCTATCGTCTTTATGCTGCTCACCTACTGGAAACGCAAGAGTTACCCTACCAACCTTCTATTCCTCAGCGGCTTCACTCTCCTTGAGGGATATGCCATCAGCGTCATCACTTCGTTTTATGATTCCAAGATTGTTATGCAGGCACTTATCCTTACCATGGGCTTGTTTATTGGCCTGACTTTGTTCGCCTGCCAGACCAAGTATGATTTTACTGGGTGGATGCCATATCTCTTTGGTGGACTTTGGTTCTTGGTCATCTTCGGCTTTGTGGCGGCTTTCTTTCCTATGGGTAAGACTATGGACCTAGTGTATGGAGCTGTTGGAGCGTTGATATTCAGCGGGTACATTCTTGTGGACACTCAGCTTGTGATGCGACACTATCACGTCGAGGAGGAGATCGCCGCCGCTATCTCCCTCTACCTTGACATCATCAACTTGTTCTTGTCTATCCTGAGGATCCTGAACAACCAGAGCAATAACTAGGGTGTTATTGGCAAGGAGAGAAAGATGGTAAAGCTCTACTGTCTTGATAATTAGCTTTCCTTTTTTTTTTTCGAGATTGATTTCTGTTTCTGATAATATTTAGCGTCACTGTATTCATTCCCTACTTTACCTACACCCGCCATCTGAGGGTGTTAATATTACTTGTTTATCGTTCTGGATTGATCACTAAATGCAGCATGTTATATATGTGTACCCCATAGCCTCGAAATCTCCGCCATAGTCTGTAAAATGCGGTATAAAAGCAACACTTGTAATACTTATATTTATGTATTAATATTGATGTTTGTGTTTTATCCTATATACAGCAATAAATAAAGCGTTATAGCATCCCACACTATACCATAGCCAGTCACCACTGAACCATAAAGGATGTACCCTATAAAATGGGCAATAGGCAAGGCGTCCTTCACTTATTGGAAGCAAGCTGTAGTCACTCAAAGGGGGTATAGAAGAAAAAGGTAGAAAAAAAGGTAAAATAAAAGAGAGAAGAGAACTTATCCAAGAGTAATGTAAAAGGAGTGTCGTGTTAGGTGTTACATGCTCTAATATTGGATTGAGGTTCGAGGAAAACATCGAATCATAAGCTAGCGGAACAGTACAGGGTGGCGACTGTTGGTGCAGTGTGATCAAGCTGTTCTGCCTATCAGGGGCCGGCTGAAATATAATGGCGTCACAGGTGACCAAGAAGGAGACGTGAGCTGCGGTAATTATAAGATCATATGTCCTGCGGCGTTAAGGGTAGGGCGATGGATGCTTTAAGTTGATAGAAATTAATCGCTGGTCCATGGCAGTCTGGATGTCTTAACCCTTAATGTCTGATGCTAAAAAGAAGGTGTTTGTGACCAGGCATACGACCATGACCACGACTCCGTATACTACGAGGCCCAAACTCAGCTTTCGAAGAAGCCCTCGACGCCATTGGCTGGTAGACCGGGACATGAATCGAGCATAGGACCGTCCAAGAAGGCTCTGGGCTGCATCGCCCGAAGCCGGATCTATTCCATCTGCGTTTTCCTCTGCTGCAAGTTCATCATCTTCTTTCATCAGGCGCTGGTGTGCGGCGGACTCGGGAGATGAAATCTTGTAGTAAAACAGCCCTGGAAGGATGAAACTGATGCTTGTGCTTCCAGTAGCACCGACATATGCCAGTACAGCTTCAAGAGATGAAACGGTCATGGCAACTATGTAACTCAGTACGATAACCACGGTTGTGATAATCGCAAAGCGCATATCGCTCATCCCTTCGTTTGGTGGGCTGGTTCTTGGTATGAGAGGGTTTCGATTGGGAGAATGAGTCCCAGATGGCTTATACCTGTTTGGCCGCCATTTCAAGACTGCGTCTATGGATGCTCTGCAGGGATGAATTTGCAGAGGGTAGGAAAATATGACAAGGATGACGATGGCGGCACGCGCAATGGTCGATGCTAATGATGGTGCGTACATTCCGACAATATTCCCGCCAATGGTATCACCGAAGGAAAGATACCCAGTTACACCGACGAGTACGTAGGTTGCTGCGGCGCTGCCGATCGACGTTACGATAACGCTTGTTGTTCTATAATGGCTATCATTGGCGATCTCATTGAGGATCGAGAACATCTGCAGATGGATAAGAACGTGCATTAGATGTGGCACAGCTCTAGAAACGAACGAGTGCGTCAACCTACATTTTGGTGGCAAGTGTAAGCAAACACTATCACTGGGAAAACACTCAAGGCCGAAATCAGTCCCTGCCATTCAATTAGATGGATAGGGCCACGGTTTGCCATGGTATCTCCCTTGATAAAATGGGCGACAACCAAAATGACAAGGTATCCAATCGAGATCAAGGCGATAATGCTGGTATATTTCAACGAGTCTAGTCTTCGTAGGAATGAAAGCGGAATAACAATCAACCTGCAGAGATCCCCCAACCAAGTCAGTAAATTGGCTTTCCCGCATATATGTCGTAAAGAGAGGGAGAGGTCTCACATAAATGCCGTAACCCAAAAATGACGGTCGTATAGGAAATCAACTCCGGAAGTACCACCAACGAACCCCTCAATAACACCGGGCATCAAATCGCCGATAATGATGAGATAGCTGACACCGACACCAAAACATTTGATTGCAATTGCCGCATCGAAGATGACCGCCGCGTTCGGATAGGTGATTTGAGAGAGGGCGAAGAAGGAGGATGTGCCTCTCTCCAGATACCGTGCGCATCTCGTCTGTAAGTAGAGGCCGAACGCTGATGTCAGACCGGCCCAAAGAACAACTGTTATACCCAGAAACATTCCCATGCGAGATATCGCGTGTGGCATTGCCAAAGCTCCTGCACCAACGACTTTGTAGAGATATAAGCCGGTATTCCAACAGATCCTTTCCTTTGGGTGAAAAACTCACTCGTGTTGACCAAGTTTATGACACTGCTTGTCCATCCTGCCTGTCCAACCACCCCAGCGTCCTTTCTATTAGTCCACTGTCGCCTATACGGCTGCATTAGTCATTATGGCCATCGACATCAGCTGCAGAGCCGAGAATTCGTGATATCACCGGAACGGAGCGTAATACCTGCGACTTCGACCACTTCCTAAGACGCCAGAACCACCGGTTCCAGTATCATCGTCCATAGCTGTGTATGTATATATGCGGATTGGGTCGTAGACAACGCGATATCGATCTTTAAATATGTTTGGGTCTAAGTGCGGGTTTCAAGACATGTCTTTTGCGTCCGGCAACAAAACCGGGGCGATTGCGGAGAGGATTGCGGAGGACGGGAGAGCGGCAGGAATATATCAAAGAAAAGAAAGACAAAACTCCAACGTTAGAAAAAGCCGTCCCAGTCGTTAGCCATGCAAGGAGTTATATGTATTATAATAATAGGTTGGCCGGGATTGCGGTCAAACTGCGCTTGGGAGTAATAATGATAAAAAAGAAAGGAAGAAAAAAAAAGCCCCTTTGGATCTTTTCATTAAAAAGGCACACGACAGCTTATGTAATCTGGAGTCTTCTGACGCCGGTTCCCTCGAAGGGTCAGCCTTTGGTTATTTACATCAACCAACTAATAAGAATAATTTGGTACGCCCTGCGGATGGGGATACAACATCGAGGAGGCGACAGGGGAAAAAAAACAAGCAGAGATAGTCAGCCGACACCCTCAATCTAGAGGTTGGATGATGCAGGCTTCCCCCAGGATCCGGACTGCACCGCGGCCAGAAACCCGTCGTCTACCTGGGTCAAGTCTCCAACAGCGTTTCCTGGCCTTCCCAGCGGCCCTGGGTCATTGAACATGGCCACCCTTCGCACTGACTTGGACACTTCGACGATGGTGCCGCCTTTGATCTTGATGGGGGCATCTCCTTCAGTCGGGATGCCCAGACTCGACTCGCTGATTTCATCCTGCTGAACCAAGGCAAGCATCACAGTTGCCACCTGCTTGGGCGTAACCCATTCGCTGTTACTCTCGTCGACCATGCGCAGCTTGTCTGGGTTGTCGGTCCAGAGTGGTGTCTTGATCAGGCCCGGGGCCACTGCCGTGACCCGTATTCCGATCTTGTCTAATTTCGAGAGTGAACGAACAAACCCGTTGATGGCATGTTTTGATGCTGCGTAGATGGGAGCGCTAAAAGTAGACAACTGGCCGGCCACGCTAGAGGTGTGGACTATCGATTTCGGCCCTTTGGCGCTGGCAAACTTGGATACGGCTAGCTGGGTGGTGCGGATCGGATGGACGATGTTGATGTCGACCTGGGCGTATCGTGAACCAGACAGGGAATCTCGACTCTCGACCGATCCGGGGGGGTACCAGAAGCTGGAAAATGTCTAACAGCAGCAGCAGACACTGTTAGTTAACATCGATAACAACTAGAACCGGAAGAGGGACGGATTACTGGCTCGAAAACACCTGCTCCAGGGCAGACCACGTCTACGTCTCCAAATTCTTTCTCTGCCACGTCGAACATCCGCTCGAGCTGCAGCCAATCGGTCACGTCTGTCCTCTGGAAAACAGCTCGAGGCGTTGATGCTGAATACTTATCAACCAGCTCCTGTGCCTCTGGCCGTAATGCAAGGTCTGCAAACACACAGTTGCAGCCATTCTCCAACAGTAACCTGGCAAAGCACAGGTTAATTCCTTCGCATATACATCAGTCCCGGGCTCTAATAAACAGTCGTACAAGTCCACTCACCAGATCCGGCACCAGTGACGATTGCCGTCTTGCCTTTGACAGGTCTCTCCATTCTTCCTTGTTCTACTCAGAGATCTTGGATGCGGACGGGGTAAAAATCCACCGAAGATATAGGCCAGCCCTATATATGTATATATATGTACGTACAGCCATCTTACTGGCTTGTGATACAGCCCACGTCGATGTCCAGTCTCGAGAATAGCTGTTTCTATCGCAGCCTTTCTGGCTGGGGGGTAGGCCTGTAGACCTTCTATAGTCTCCGCGGCGTATTAGATCCCTACCTCTTCTCTCCCTATAGCTCTTCTCTAATACTCTCTCTCATCGACAGGCACATATAATAGCTAATTACTCCTAAAGACGAATGACTAAGAAAGCGTGCCAAGAACTATCAACTCCAACAAGACGCAAGCAAGATAAAAACATACAAGCAAATAGACAGCTTCAATTGAACACTTTCCCACCACACACCGCTGTCAGATGCCAGTGGTAAGGAGGTGATACAATGCGACTCGGTGCAGCTCACCTGCTGTGGGCGTCAATCGTTCCTACGGCGCTGGCTATACTCGCAGACGAGGCTTATCACATCGACTATCACCATGCTCTCCTAGGAACCCCCGTCGCAGACAACACCTTCTTCCACCGATCGAGTCCCTCCTCGGTAGCTTCGCTACTCTATACGCACTCAGAAAAGAACATTCTCGGAGCCGTTAATCCAAAAGATGGCTCAGTTGTATGGAGACAAAACATTTCAGACTATTTCCCGCAAACATCCAACCAAGCTTTCCTGCGTGCGGCGGATAACGACGATACAGTGTTGAGTGCGTTTGGGAGCAGTGTTTCCGCATGGGATGCAATAGATGGACGGTTTCGGTGGATTCAGCAGTTTTTGGATGGGCCGGTTAAAGATCTTGAGCTGGGGCCTGACAGCCCAGTGGAAAGACATGACGTTTTGGTGGTCTCCGGCGATAAGAAAGGGGTTTTAAGGCGGTTGGATATTGATTCTGGCAACGTAATATGGGAGTACAGAGATGAGAGGTATGCTTTCGGTTGATTCTTTGCTCTAGTTCCAGAGCTGATTTCCCAACCTCTAGTGATGATGTTCCATTCCAAGTGTCTGTGGCATCTAAGTCTACTGGCTACTATGTGGCCTTGCAGCCTTCTCGATCTGGATATAAAATCAAGGTCACCACTCTGGATTTAGCTAAAGGAAGGGCTGGGGACCAGTATATACTGAACTCCGAAACGGAAGTATCCGGTCCCGAATCTATCCTCATTGTTGGCGGAAACCCGGCAGCGCCTTTGATTGCCTGGACGGACAAGCAGAATACCGTCCTCAAACTTAATGTACTGGGATCTAAAAATATTGAATCGGTCAAGATTGACAATGAGGAGGTTCGCAATATTCAAATCCACACATCCCCAAGCTCGAGCAGCCCCACGCACTTCCTTGTGGAATATTGTACAGAGTCGGCTTCATGGGCTGAAGTATACCATATCAACCGCAGCACTGCGAGCATATCTAAAGCCTATAATCTTCCAAAGGTTCGAGGAAAGTCAGCCATAACCGCTGGTACTAGCGTCAGCAACGATGACCTTTATTTCACTCGCATCACTCCAGCCGAGGTTATCATATACTCGTCCGCTTCCGATAAGGCTTTAGGGAAATGGAAGCCTAGCCAAGTGTTATCGGGGAACTACCAGCATGCAATCTCTGAGGTTGTTGCGCTTGAATCAGGCGTCTCCGTTCGATTTGCTCAAGTCGATGAGTCAGGAGATTGGTCCTTGGTGCTGAATGGACAGCTACAATGGACCAGACCAGAGTCACTTACTGAAACCGTTGCTGTGGCATGGTCTGATCTGAATAATGGTGTAACCCTGGCTCGCGAGCTTGAAGTAGAAGGCCACCAGAGCGTACCAATGGCTTATGCTCATCGGTTAATTCGGCATCTCAAGGGTATACAGCAACACCTCCCCGACTGGCTGATGGAGAGTCCTATAAGAGTCTTGACCAGCTTCATGCCAAGTGATATCAACGACCTTCTCCAATTTGGCTTTGGACAGCATGTTATTCTTGCAACTCGAACCGGACGAGTTGCAGCGCTTGACTCGGGGCGTCAGGGGAAAGTGATGTGGAACATCAAGGCAGTAGAAAACGACGCCGACTGGGGTGTGAAAGCAATAGCTGCTGAACTGGGGCTCGCAACTGTCTATGTGGACGACGGTAGCTCTCTCCAGGTCAACATCACCACTGGTGAGATCACAAACCGTTCCCCGCCAACACAGAAAGTTGCATCGATAGCGTTTATTCCAGACGGTTCCTCGGACATCAAGGTTGGCGTGGAAGAAAACGGCGTGCCCATCAACTCTGCTTACGCTAATGGAATTGATAAATTCCTAGTCACTCGAAGTGGTGACAAGAAGATTCTAGGCTGGAATACCAGCAAATCCAAAGCTCCAATGTGGGAGTTTACAGTTCCGGGGGACCAGAAGATCATACACGCCACTGCACGACCAGCTCATGATCCTGTTGCTTCTATAGGTAAAGTATTAGGCAACAGATCTGTTCTCTACAAGTACCTAAACACAAACCTTGCTCTCATCACGGCAACTGGCGATTCTACCGTGGATTTCTACCTACTTGACGGTGTCTCCGGCCAGATCCTACATACGGCGAGATATACCGACGTCGATACTACCCAGCCCATCTCCTCGGTTATTTCCGAGAACTGGTTCGCCTACTCGTTCTGGTCCGATACTAGTGAGAAATCGGATGCAAAGGGCTACCAGCTCATTGTTTCTGAGTTGTACGAGTCGTCTATCCCCAATGATCGTGGTGTTCTCGGTGACGCTGCAAACTACTCAAGCATCAGCAACTTTACCATGCCACATGTCATATCGCAGGCATACATGATCCCCGAAGCCATCTCTAACATGGCGGTCACCCAAACCCGACAGGGAATATCAATCAGACAGCTACTCTGCACCCTTCCGGCGTCGCGCAGCATTGTCGGAATCCCACGGCCTATCCTTGATCCACGTCGTCCTATTGGCCGTGATCCCACTTCACAAGAAGCAGCGGAAGGCTTAATGAAGTATAATCCGAACCTCGAATTTGACCCCAAATGGTACCTTACACATTCCCGGGATGTGATCGGTATCAAGCAGATCGAATCCAACCCAACATTACTTGAAAGCACAACCCTCATATTCTCCTATGGATTTGATATTTTTGGAACTCGTCTTGCGCCAAGCCAACCCTTTGACATTCTCGACAAGGGGTTCTCGAAGATCCAGCTCTTGCTCACTGTTGTTGCATTGATGGCCGGTGTCAGCGCCCTGGCTCCTCTGGTAAGCCTCCAAGAAAGACGTACTAGCTTTGTTGATATATAAACATACTGACGCTTATTTCTATAGGCTCGAAGTAAGCAAGTGAATCTCCTGTGGAAGTCATCCTAAGTGAAAAGGCGTCTTTGGTTAGAGGAGGTACATTTTACTGCATATCAAAGTTATTAATGTCATGACAACTATGTTAATTCTATGATTAAAAAATATTACGCTTGCTTGCAATATATCCCTTGCATCTTCAGGTCTTGCCGCCTCCGCGGTAGAAGGGAAAGGTGAACAATTCATTCGTATATTTCTCAGCTGAAATGACTGGCTTTCCATGCTACACCTACCGAAACTCCCAAACCAATAAAGACAAGAGTAAAAGAGGGTGGTATAATTCACATAAACGATAAATTTGCCCCCCCCCTCACAGAAACAGGAGGGCAGGGAAAAAAAGAAACGGATAAGGCTAATATTACAGGGTAAAAATAACAAGGGGAAACTGTAGAAAGTCAACGAATGGCTATAGATCGGATTCGCAATCATTCCCCCCTTCTGCGTTGGATCGTTACCATCTAGCTTCATTTGCCTCTTGTGCAGCCTTGTCTGAGAAGGTGCTCCAGGGTAGAGGAACGGTAGTGGCCTCATTGTCATATCGTGTCCCTGTAAATTTACAGTCTGGCCCCATGGCCGGGAAGCCGCCTTCTCCTTTGAACTGTATTGCCTTGCCATCGAGGAACTCTATGGTTCCTAGATCCATGCTTCCGTCGTATATTTCACTTCCAGTGGTGTCCCGGCCTCGCCATTTGAAGTAAAGCCGCAGAGCACCATCATTAGGGGCACTCCTGATCTTCTTTGGAGGGGGTTCGTCACATTCTGCATCTTCATCAGATTCATGGTCTGTGAATACTAGGTTAGTATCGAGCACCAGGTTTGATTTTATCGATTTAATAGACATATGGATAAAAACAGACCAGAGCCATGTTCCACTTTACTTTGGAAAGCATCCAGTGCTTCCTCAGTCGCAGCAAGCAGCATAGTACCTTCGACTATGCCTAGGGTAAAAGATGCGATCAGGCCGCAAGGGTCCGTATCAGAGGTAGATATCGACATATCCATAGATTCAGCTTTGTCAGGCCATTCTTCACTGACGATAGGACATTCAATGGCGTAAGATCCCACGAACTTCTGGAGGGGGTTCGCTGGGGGTCTTCCTCTCCCTCTCCCTGGCGTCCCTTTTACTGCACCATTGCTTCTTGCAGCAGTTACATCGTCTTTCCTTGGTCGTCCTCTTGGTGGTGCAGGCGCATTTTCCGCGTCACCCGTGACATATTCAGCTTTGCGAGGCCTCCCCCTCTTCCTCACTTGGTCTGTAGGAGCTGGAGAAGTAGCTTCAGTCTTGGGTTTCGTCTGTGCAGCTATGCCGTTCTTTGGTGGCCGTCCTCTCTTCCGGGGTTGGCCGTCAGCGTCCAAGACGACGGTCTTGGGTGTCACCGGCCCTCCATTCTTTGGTGGCCGTCCTCTCTTCCTAGGCTGGCCTTCAGCATTCAATACGACGGTTTTGGGCGTTGCTGGGCCTCCAGCCTTTGGTGGTCGCCCGCGTCCTCGCGCCGGTGCGGTTGCTGCGTCGTCAGCCATCGCGCACCGTGTAAATTGGGCTCTAAGGACAAGGACCGTCGACCGCGATTGCAAGCGGAGAGTGCAAAAGTCGTAAAGCTGCGGGCACGGAAGGGAAAATGGAGAGGGAGAAGCTCAATCGCGAGAAATCGCGTTGTATTAAAGGGAAAAAAAGGCCAAAAATAAAGAGAAAAAAAACCCCCCCGACGTGGACAAAAGCAAACAACAGCGAAATTTCCCCCTTGACCTTTTTCTGCGAGTTGGGCGATGTTTTCCGATATTTTCGTAAAAAAAAAAATTCACACGAAAAGGAAATAAAATATTATGTGAAATATGTGAGGATCGATCATTTCTTCTCTTGTCATAGAAAAATAATTATTTTTTATTATTTTCATTCTTTTTAATCTATTTAATCACATTGATTTTCTGGCCATTTTCATCCCAACCAAGACCAAAAGAAAGAAAAAGAAAAATATGATGAATTGCTTTTTAGCCCCTTTTTTCTTCTTCTGCGGGCTCTGTGGCTACGTACTATGTAGTGTAGAGAATGGTGGGATGCAGGGCCGGGGGTAGTTCTGTGTATGTATATAGATCGGAGGATATGGGCTGCTCATATATGAAGACGACGGTGCAATTAAACGCTGGGATGTAGATACAAACGGGGATTCCATATTATGTTTCTGAACAGCAAGCAACAGGGTATTTCCTTTCTTCCAAAACAAAAAAAAAAACAAAAGTTGAGAAAGATGACTATTATTTATAGATGGATGTCGGCAGAGCGGCTTCACGCAGGAGTCACGACGTTTGTGGTTGGAGCAGTATTCTCATCGTTACAGGACAGGGCGACCTTTTCCAGGTCGTTGGACAGTTGGACCGTAGAATCCGACTCTCCGCTCTGCTCCTGTCCTATGATTTCAGCGCCTTTCTCGTCCTGGCTCAAGTGTAATGGTAGGCTCTTCCTCCTGCTCTCTCCCTTGACGCTGCCGTAGACATCTATCTTGTCATCGTGGACGACGACGGGTCCCTTGACGAAGTTGGCTTTCCTCGTCTCGGCATCCTTTGCGGCCTCGCCGTCCTCTGGTAGATCGGCGTACTGACCGACTTTCTCTAGCGAACCTGCAATGGCCCTGGCAGGTTCATCCAAGTTCGGCATGTCGCCCCAATCCCATTCAAGCTCGCCTCCGTACCGTTTAGGGATATTCTTAGCATCTATAAATGACGAGAGAGTCGGCTGCACCTCAGCAGCAGTAAGTATGAATATCTTCGACGTCGTGCCGGGGTCGAACCAGCGCTTTATCCAGCCCCAGACCGTGGGGAAGAAGACGGGTGCGCCAATAATCTGATGTTTGGCCGTGGTTAGCAACACACTCGATAAAGTCAGTCTGAGGTATAACGGCTTACAAATATTCGGTCCAGGGTCTCTGGATAATGCGCCGTGGCCAAGGTACTCGCGTCCTGCATATGACCCTTTAAGTTCCAAAACTGCTTTAACCCTACCCCGGTTATATCGACAATATTCGTAGTATTAACAATAGGCGTCTCTGGGTTCGGCCGGTCCAGGTTGGAGCACAGTGGCAGGACAAACCGGACCATGTTCTCATACAACGCAAAGAGCCGGAGCAGACGCGCGGGGACCTTGGAAGAGGTATGTGTAGCAGAGGTAGCAGTGCTGGCCGCAGACGAGGAGTATGCGGTCATGTTCTTGCTATTTAGATGCTTGATGGTATAGACGTAGACGGGTATGCCTCTCCGATCACGTCGTCCCGTCCATTGGGGATACTGTTGACACATGCAATCAGCCTCTGTTTAAATATCGTCCACATCAAGACCAACAGAAGGTAAAACTAACCACTTTGCGAGCTTCTTCGTACGAGTCGACGTCGAAGTTCTCATACAACGCATCGATCTGGTTCTCCTTTCGCCATTCCTCCGTCGCCTGAAACTGGGCCAGGGCACCGTTAACATCGAACCTGCGAGCTCGAAGGAACCGTCTATCCGGGCACAAACGTCAGCTAAGATCTATCACACCCGCCCAAGCCATGGACAGCCTGCGATACATATAAGGGGGTACTGCAACGTACAGCAAGGTCGAATCGTCATGGCTCGCTTTCACGCCCTCCCCGGCCGGTGTATAGATGTTGCGTGCTACGCATTCTTTCTTAAAGGCACCCAGAGCTTCTGACTGTTTATCTGATAAGTGGTTCAAGTGGCCGGACAGCGGTTCTGAGGGTAAAGCGCTGGCCGTCGACTGGTTGGTTTCCTGCTTGTTAAGCTGCGGCTGCTTGGCCTGGTTGGTCGTTTCTTCGAGTGACATGGCGTAGAGTTATAGACGGTCTCCCTTCAACAGCGGCCAAACAGGGTCTCCCAGGAGATATACACTGGCTAGCTGACTGACAGACTGACGGGCTCAAGTTCTATATTATAGCTAGAGAAGAGAGAGAGAAAATCACGGAGTCACAGCCTGCGGATTTACCGACGGCGCTTTTTTCGTCCGGAAGTCACGGATTCACGCCTTACATAAGGCTGAGGCTGGGATCCACGGCCTTTTATTCTGTTTTTAATACGATAGACAAGAGGAAATAATGATATTGATTAATACACAATGAGCCGAAGCTTGGTGTGATTTCATATTAGTGCCTGAACTAGTTTTATCAGGTCCGGGCGGGTTTCCGGCCTTGCGTTTGGCCGTGTAGTATTGAAATCCCCGACGCCACACAGTCTGGACCTAGGCATGGAGCAAGTATACGAGTACGGAGAGGAGGAAGTATACATATATAATGTTGACTATATGTTTTTTGATAATCCTTTTTCCAAATGAGGTGGTGAAATAAATGCTGGAATATATGGCCAAAATTAATGAAAAAAATATATATATAGGGAGTGAGAATCAGATTAATCCTCAGTGATATCACCGTACTCCCACATTCCTCTTCGCTCTTGCTTTGCTTCCTCCTCGAGCTTGCGAAGGTTGGATAGCGTATCGTTGCATGCGCGCTCCCACGGCTTCAATTTACGCGGGACCATCGCCAGACCCTCACGCACCACTTCGGCGTTGATGCTCTGTTCCAGATTCTGGGAGGCAGAGGCATCCAGCAAGGTGACGTGGAGGACGCCGTCGGCGATATGGTCGACATTGGCAACTAGCTCCCGGTCAACCGTCTGGGAAGCCAGGAAGTGTATGGCGTCCTTGAGATACTCCGGGGAAGTAGGGAACTGGAGGAAGGACATGACCGCGTCGACGGCCTGTGGCTTTAGCTTCTGCTGGGAGAACTGGGGTGCGAGTGGTCGCAGTCTTGACCACGGGAGTTTTTCCGAGTTACCGTAGTCGATATACACGACATCGGCCTCCTTGGCTTCACGGTCGTTGCGCCGGATCTTAGCACGGTACCATTCGTTATCTTCCGTGAATCGGGCTGCGACCAGATCTCCGGCCTTTGGAGGACCGTCGAGAGGCTTGTCATTGGCCTTGTTTATGTGGAACGCTCGGAACGAGTTCATGAGATCGGTAAGGCCTGTCGTGCCGGTGCCGATCTGCTGTAGTTTAAGCTTGCCGTCTTCGTCGACGTGTGTGAGCATCACGTCCCGGTAATCTCTTCCCCGTGCTGGGGCCTCTGCGGTAGCTCCAGCACCGGTGGTGGTGACGGGAGCATCTTCATCGTTCTCCGCATCCTGGCTAGGATCCCAGTCTCGCCATAGGCCCTTTCTAGCCTCCTTTGCCTTCGCCTCGGCGGCAAACAGTTCTATTCCATGGCCGGACTGTTCAGCGGAGTAGGCATGAACCGTCGCAAGGCCTTCCTCCACCAGGAGCTTTGCAAAGTTCTCCCTGTTAACATAGAGAGTGCCGATGAAGCCACCAACCTTGTCAATGGTCTCAACGTCAATTTCAACGTCACGCTGCATGCATCTACGGTTTGCAAAGTCGTGAGCTTCCTGCCCAAAGGGCTCGGACTTCTCATTGGCATTCCTTGCCGTTCTGGGAGCACGGATTCCAGAAAGGACAAAGGTGAGCTTAGCATTGTCTCGTGGTATCAAGACAGTGAACCTTGACCCTGACTTGACAAAGTCGACGACACCAGACACCTTCTTCTGCCTCTGCAGAACAGAGCATTCCATCTTGGCCTTTTGGACGCTCTCGGAGTAGTCCTGGAATTGCTTAGCCTTGGGAGCCTTGGGTGACCACATGCCCTTCTCCTCCTTCTGCGCCTTCTCTTCAGCAAGCAGAAGAGCATCATAATCTGGAGATCGGTCATCGTCATCCCTACGGTGACGGATGACGGAAGCGTACCCGGCTTCTACCAAGCTGATCGCAATATTGGCGTTTCCGACCAAGACAGTACCGACTTCTCGTTCCTCAAACCCTTCTGAGGCTGGTTTCTTCCCGTTGATAGTGACTTTGACATGCTTGCCAATCAGTTTCTTGCGTAGGAACTCCTTGGCATCTGCTGCAAATGGTGCCTGTTTGGGGTCTGATGGCTTAGGCTGCCTTACACTGCTCAGGCTTATCTTCTTCTCAGCCCCAGCCTTGTTTCTAAGGAAGATAGTATCCGCATTTAATATTCTGCTCACCACAAGATCGGTGTCTGCGGCGGCAGCAGCTTTGGGAGCAACATGGCTTGTAAACAGCCCCTTGCGAGCATCCTTGGCGGACTTCTCTGCTTGTCTAAAGGTAGCCATATCAGCACCCAGTAGCGTAGAGTGATGGTCCGCACACCTCGCAAGGCCAGCCTCGAGAAGGAACTTGGCGATATTTCCAACAGGGTGTAGAACGGTACCAACAAGCTGGTTCTGAGGAGTGAGTCCGAGTAACGTAACCTTTACCTTTCTCTGCAAGAGTCTCATTTCAACAAACATCTGTGCCTGGTCTCCATATGGCTCTCCGGGTTGCTCTGATCCATCAGACGGGTTCACTCGCTTGGTAGCCGGTGCGCGAATACCAGCTGCAACAACCAGCGTCTGGACATGTTTCTTCGGAGAGATGAGCAGACGGATCAGGAACCTGTCACCGCTCAATACCTTTTCCACCACTGAATCAATCGGAGTTCCCTTCAAGCTTGCAAGTAGCTCTTGTGGGTCCTTCACCTCATATGCCATATCAATATTATCGTCCCCAGCCCATACGCCTTTCGATTCCGACTTGGCACGAGATTCGAGCTCCCTCAGACTGTTCAGCAGTGTCACCGCATCCTCGTTTTCGTCTCTTCTCCCCGCATCTTCTCGAACTTTTGCCCAGCCTTCGGAAACACAGAGCTCAGGTAGCTCCTTGCCATTGGTACCGGGGATCTTGACGATTCCATATTCCCGTTTGGCGCCAGTTGGAATAGCATACAGAATCTGGAACTGTACCACCTTGCCAACAAGAAGCTCACGGAGAAATTCTCGAGATTGAAAGGCAAACGGCTATGGAAATGGTATTGCGTAAGCAAGTAGATCCATGTGTAGGAGAGGAGTGTAGCAACGGTAGAAACACCCGAGGAGAAAAGTGAGCACTCACCTCGTCTCCCTCTCTCTTCAATCTCGGAGCAGAGACATAGGCCAAGCTCAGAATGCGTTCCTGGGCGGGATTCGAGACATGAGCCAGCACTACCGTGTCCCCTGACAAGACGCTCTTAACTCGGGCTTCCAAAAGAGGCATTGTGGCGTGTGCGGGGGGAGAATAGGGCGGTTAAGCGTAGATTTTCTTGCAAAATATAAAAATAAAACAATAATAATAGAAAAAACAAAGATTCACCAGGTAGACACACAACAGGTGAAGCCAGGCAGGTGTTTTGCGGTCTAAGTGGGCTAGAATAAAAAAGTGACCACGTTGGGTTGATTTGTGTGTTTTGGCCTTTTTGGCCTTTTATGAGGTAGCAGGGGTAGTTAACTAAGGTAAATCCGGGGTTGACAACCAACAGCATCTACGTCAACAACGGTCGACAACGGTCAACAGCAATGTTAATATCTTCTAGGGGACGAATACGGCTTCTCTTCAGAGTGGCATATAAGTGGCATATACGTTTACTAGGAGATGTTCTACCAGCTTGATACCCCCTTATGAGCATGACCATCGCCTGGCGTCTCTTCATGACCACCCGTAAGTGCGTTCTTAATATTTGGTTAACAGCATATTCTAGCTCCTAGAGGTGAGAGGTGATTCTAGCTCCAGGTATAGACATATACGATGTATATGCCTTCTCCACGGAATATGGAAATGCTGATATATCATCATCGACGACAAGGACATGGTACAAATATTGAACCAGGGTATACTCGCCACAACCATACTGCAAGTACAGAAAACCTCTGAAGCTTCCAATCTAATCAGACTATATAATGAAGCTCTGGTGTCGTTCAGCCATGCCACCCTCGCATTTATCAGCCCATTGAAGCCGGGAAGCAAGGCAACCAGCCGTGGCTCGACATGTGCTGCTATTTTACCCAATCTCCGCTTCTTCCGTGCCACTGAATACATTCTCTCCAGCAGCCAAGGAGCAATGGCGTTACCAGGAAGGCTTAATGGGCCATACCGTAAAACCCTGAGAGACCGAGACCGAAACTGAGATCGAGTTCAGCTTGATAGCCCGTAATCTGGGTGAGGTATTTCGTATTAGAAATCAAATATTCCTGAAGAAGGAAAGAAAAACTATATGTACGTATCTATCGTAGGAGGGGAGGTGGGAAAAAAGAACTATCAAACAAGAATCTAGTCCAGCAATTAAGAAACAGTATGTAATGTTTTGCTCATATGTCGACCACTGACCGCCAAAGTAAATGGACAAAAAAAAAAATCCTCCAATATGATACCAAGCTCGCTAATGGAAACGCCTCAAACATATCTCCTGCCACATCATGAGGTATAAGAGAAAATCAGTAACGTAACTGAGCGTCGAAAATAATTATTGAGTACATGGATACGTGACAGTATCTCACCAGCCATCGTAGACGGATGAGGATGTACTTGTCTCATTAAGCAGGGGAAAGGGGTTATATGTGATGCCTAGATAAGGCGGCTCCGACATCTGTATAGAGTCAGGGGTGATAGGTGGCGGCGGAGGGGCACCGCGGAATCGTTGTAAGGGGATACTCGAATCAGAATCCTGTTCCACCCGGGTGTCTTCGTCAAGAGAACTTTCCGTCTGACCAGCAGAGGGTATCGTTGTGAATGAAGTCCCAATAGAGAGGCCTTCAGGTAATAAGGAAGCAGTTTGTAGTTCGTTGTTCTCGAGGTTACATATCCGAATCACCACCTCAAGGACTTTGCGTACTTGCAGAGCCACGAGGTAGGTCTGTTCCAGTTCAAGTAAGGTGCGAACACAGATTATCAAGCAGCGAAATTCCTGGCTAACATTGGCGTGTCGCCGTTCCGTTATATCAGCAATAAGGGTCGTTGAGACAGTCGATATGACGTGCAGGCTAATACCACTCAGAGTAGTGGCATTGCCATGATTATTTCGGTAATCTTCCATATATCGAGTAGCATCAATGGCATGTTTGACGCAGATAAGGCGGAACTGAGACGAATAGTCACTTCTCTCTGAGTTTTCTATGCCGAAATTTGCAAGAGGGCGGTACAGTAGAATAACCGCGGCGCAGTATTGCATACTATAGCACATTAGCATTCAAGTTCAACGCAATATGATTAAAGAGTGAACGAAGGCCATACTGCATAACGGAGACAGACGGCGGCGAATTATTTTGATATTGTAATGATGGGTCAAGTCCACTGTACCATGACTTAAGGCGATCGCCTAGCTCATTAACTCGACTCATAGTGCATTTGTTTTGGTTCCTATACAGTTAGCTGCTTATCCATACCAAGAGAAATCTGGGATTTGTGGGCTGCCTACAAAGATTCACATATGAAGCCAACTATTTCGAGTAGGCTACTCCACGCATCAGCTAACCGGGATTCCCAGGTTGCTATCATCCCATTCATTGCTGCTGCTGCTGCCGGCCGAGGTACTGTCACTTCTCCATCAAGCCGCAGGCAATACTGGCGGCCGAGATACAGCGACCATAACCTATGCGGACACGTTAGAATGTCAAGTTTGGAACAAAGTATTCGACAACTCAGATAGTCTCACCTGTCGAATATCACACATCCCCAAAATGTAATCGAGCGTGCCTCCATCTCCGTCAGAGAAATTTTATCAGCAACGGACGAACAATCTCGATGCAAACCCAAATCCAGGGCTAATCGGCATGCAGTGCCTGAGATATAAATGCTCAATTAAACCACCCTTATTTCACTTGCCATAGAAAACATACCTGTCAAAACCCAGCCCTTTGTATCTTGTGAGAACGCACAGTAGATCACAGATAACAGCAGTAGACACTGGATAGTGGTGATTTGCGGGCGTTTTAACTCTTCATCAACAAGTTTGGAAGCAGCTGCAAATAAAGGGGGAAGCTCATCAGTCTCCGAGAGACTGGGTGTTAATACCATCGCACGGATTTCAGGTTTGTGTGAAATGCGCGCAGCGCATGCCATGATGCAATATAGAAGTGCTTTGCTATAAAACTTGGTCTGACCAGTTGCCATATCACGTAAAAATGCCTCCTTATGAAGGATTTGAAGCTCAGTGTGTTGGAATTTCCAGTAAAGGTTTAGCAAGTATTCCTGGGTTTCAGCATCTACTTCGCAAACATCTATCTTTCGGCTCAACGAGTATTCTCCCCATGTTCGAACGATGGATGTTGCCACTGTGTCGGTCAAATGTAGACTAGAAGTTGGACCAAAATATCGAAGCTGGCCGTCAGAGTCGTAGTTTAGTTGATATCTCCCATCACAGAGACGGGCAATAATGTTATTAGGAATATTTTGGCGAAGTAGGGATACCGGAGACTCCGGAGGTGAGAACTGGGCAATGCCACGAATTGTATGAAAGTTTTGTGACTGTGCTTTGCGGAGAGCCTCGCTCTGCTTTAGAGCAACTTCTAAGTCGTGGATGCGCTGATATAATTCGCGGATATGCCTTTTTGAGGAGGGCCGCTTCCGTTCATCTACCTCTGGGCCAGGACACGGGATCCCGAGTTTCTTGCATTTCTTGCATCCTCCCTCTTCAAGAATGCATTTTATCTTCTTAGAGCGGCAGTTTAAACATGCCAAGGTATAGTTAGACCCCGTACTTTTTGTCGAGTCTCTCCTTCCCTGTCCTATGGATGACTGTTTTAAAGGCAACTGAGCCACTGACTGGCGTCGTGGGGGAGTTGGAAGTTCCCCTGCGAAAGGACTTTGAATGAGAGGAGGTATAGGTGCGAGCGGTATTGGCTGAAGAGCGGCTGAGAAACGAGAGAGTGGCTCTTCATATTGAGGCTGCTGCTGCGCTGTGAAACCTGACGGTGCGTCGGCTTCCCGTGGGAACCCCCAGGACTGTTGACGTTTTTGAAGCGCAAACAAGACATCATCTCCGTCTGTAGCAGGAATCGGGAAACTGGGAATTGGGACGTTACGCGGGTCCATTGTTGTCGTTCTAAGGTGATCGCATGCTTTGGAAACCGTTTTCCCCTCTCTCCTTCAATGTCCGTCCACTGGCTAGTTACCGTTGATAGGTTAGATATAAATAGCAAGGTAATCTCCGGTGCTTTCTCCCCCCCGGAGTGAAATGTGATGGGAAGGGGGCCAAGTCCGTACTTGCAAATGTGTATGAAATTCTGAGAAGGTCGTCAAGGTGCTGATCACTCTGCCTGGCCCGTTTCCCGACACAGAAGTGAAGAAATTAGGCCAGTAAGGGGTAAATCATATATTTATTTGTAAGATAATATGCAACAACACGTTGAATGTCTGCAAGTCATGGGTGAGCATCAGCCAGAGGAAAGTACGTGCTTCTTTTGTTCCTTCAGCAATAGTCGATCAGCCTAAGGAATGTATGACAAGGAGGAAGCCCTCTAGGGAAAAAAGACAGTTCCGACTCCCGCGACCCTGGGACGGCATGGAAGGTAGAGACTTCCACCTATTCAAGCAATCAAGCTCGAACTCAAAAAAGCAAGTGCGGGAAATGGTCTCGAAGTTGCCCAGCGAACGCTCGAGCTTATATTCATGCCTAGACCAGCTTGGGACCAATTCGTGGCCTCGCTGTTCAAAAACCCAAACTCGGCAGCCCAAGAGGCTGGACCAAAAAAAAAAATAAAAATAAAACAAAATAAAAACAAAACAAAAAAGCCTTTTAAACCGCGTGCAATGCAGATATTGGCGTGACAAGAGAGAAGACCGCGTTCTCCGTTGTGGAGCCTGGGGAAGATTTGAAATAAAAACCCTTTGATGCCTTCCAATCGACGTGAGTTTGATGGCAAATTAAGGGAAATAAGCGCGGGGCTCGGGAGCAAGGGGACGCCGAGGTTCGGTTTTTTATGAGTGGAAACAATGCCCATTACATATGTAGTCTTCTTGCTTCCGCCCCGTTCTTGGTTCTTGTGGCGGTTGAGGCTGGTTTAATTCAATATTCGGAATGACCATGCGATTGGGCCATGCTGCTCCTAGGCGAGCTGACTACCATTTCAATATGCCGGCTCAACGTTCTGCTTATTCATGTGACGCTGCTGGCTGCTTCAACCCCGTAACTTCTCCGTGACCAGAGCAGAGTACGGAGTATTTGTACCGCAGTTCGTATTCCCATCCATGGTATAAATTAATATAAGTACCTTGCTGAATACTTAGTACGCCAGGATGGTTTGCAAGAAGCCGGTGCCGAAAGCTCCGGCTGCTTGAGCTGAGAATCCTTCTCGTCTCTGGAAACGAGTCGCCACGATTAACCAAGACGAGAGGGAACAATATGATTAAGGCTAGGAAAACGGCGAGCGTTGTGAGCTATCTGATATGATTTCATATGCATGTGCATGGACGTCGATCCCACCTCGGACTATTCAAGGGGCGCAACTCACAGAACTCGAAACTCGCAAGGGACGAAGCTAAGCCATAGCTGTCAGGAACAGGAAACTTCAATGAGCCAAATTAAAGCTGATACTGATGGCAGATGGGGTTTTGAAGATGGAAACGAGGAAGACATGAAGTTGAAGTTGAAGAGAAAAGAAAGGAAGAAATTGAGGTTTTTGCACCTGATTTCCCAAACAGGAAGAAGTTCGTCCAGATCGGGTAATTGACAACATCCACATATCGTTTTACCCTTTTTGATACAAAACTAGCTGTTTGGTGGCCAGCCAGGGACGATGGCATAAAATCGCCATCGTAGATCCATTGGTGGGCGATGGAGTCTTTCTGGCACAGAGGAGCTATGCATCTACAAGGCTATCAATATTATCATGGCTGTGGCTCTAGACTGGCTCCTTGGGACTGTCCTGTCGACTTCATTAAGGACTACTTGGGCTGTCATATCATTCATTAATTATATACTATCTGATTTGACACGAAAATATGCTTGATTTTCTCCATCTCCCCAAGGTTCGTCACCTTTTGCCTGATTAGGATGCGCATCGAGAAAGTGTTTCTGCTATGCAAGGAGTATCTATGCAGCGATACCAATGACGCCTAGACGGGTTAGTAATGTTCGACTTTGACACTCTAGGAGATAAACATACCACAGGCGGGGCGGGGGCCAGCATTGCCAGTCTTTGTGGACTCCTCGTTTCCGCCCTGACCTAGATCGTCGGTACCTGCGTGGCAGACAATGGTACGCTAGATGCCATGTTAGTTAGCCGTTATACTATGTTCATAAGAGGAAAAAGGGCAGACATACGCCAACAACGCTATGTTCACCGATCAGCTTGATGAGCTTGTCTTCGGTGGATCCGACCGCGTTACCCTGTTCATCAGTGGTGATGTTGCCCAGGTCTCCAACGTGGCGAATCTCATCGGTAGGAGCTCCGTGGGTCTTGCCAAAGGGGTTGTCTAAAAGCGTACTTAGCACATCCTGGCGTATACATAATGCATATATATTTTATATACACATAATATCATATGTATGTAGGTACATACAGTGAGGGCCGGCGGAAGTGCAGCCGTTGGTGTTGTCACCGAACTGGTGGATGTGGAAACCACGCTTAGCGTTGGGATCATGGCCAGTGATGTTCCATGAGATGACGGTGGGCGAAGACTCAGTCTCCTGCTCGAAGGTGACGGTGCCCTTGACATTGGAGTCACCACGCACGACAGCAACTATAAAACCGGGGAGGGTCAGCAAGCAGAACCTAAGATATTTATAGTCTTGCCCCTTCCTCCACTCCAGATCTACCTTGATAGGCGAGAGACTGATACTGTAGCAACAGCACACAGAGGGAGAGAGTTGGCTGTGCCATGCTCAAATTCTCTCACCAAGCCGACAGGGATCGAGAAAACTAGCTTACCTGCTTTGACCATTGTGGATGATTTCTTTGCGTTGTTCTGCTTTAATGTTTTAAGTAGTTGATTGTACAGCTGACTGGCTGGTGATAGATGGATAAAGAGAGCAGACGGGGAGAAGAAGAGATGAAGTCGAGAGCAAAAAGAAGAAGCAAATGCCTTGTTTCTCCTCGTAAGCAGAGCCGACCCCGATGGTGGGGGGGCAAGCAAAGCGCGGAAGTTGGAAATGTAAACATCCCGGCTTGTCCTTTTCTTGTGCTCTTACTACGTCCCTTTTTTTCCATTCTCTATAGTACATACACAGCAATTGTTCGACTTTATATATATATCCATCTCCTCATGCTATTATTTCTTCGTCTTCTCTTCATATATTTTTTTTTCTTCGTCCTCAACTTTTTTCTCTTCTCCATCTTTGCGATGACGTAATATGACGGACTTTTACCCCTCGTGATGACTAATACAGAAAGACCCACCACGTGACTAACTTTTTCCCGAGATTTCCGAAGTTTGGTTGACATTTTATATTGTTCATTTCTATCAAGGGATTTCATAGATACATATGTTGGGGTTTTAACGACGGAACGCAAACACAGGGTTTCATTATCATCGTCGCAGTCTCATCTCATTCTGTCGTACCTGCGTACGATTGAAATAGAGGAAAAAGGACTTAGAAAAAAGAAAAGGAAAGAAGATGCCAATTTAGAAGTAGCTATTACTTGCTTTTCTCACCTATGCGGAGGCCTGGATCTTCTCCTTGATGATAGCCTTGAGGGTGACGGCATCGGCAGCAAACTTGGAGATACCTTCTCGGAGCTTCTCGACGGCCATCTGCTCCTCATTGAAGTCGAAGCGGAAGAGGGCCTCGTTCTTCAGGTAGCTGCGCTTGGGGATGTCAAGACCAGCTGCACCGGCAGGGTCGAGCTTCTTGGGCACGGCGGCGGTAGACTCGTATAGCTCCTCGAGGAGGTTAGGCTAGTAGCTTTATTAGTATTATAATTCTCAGACAGAACTGTTCAAATCATTTTCAGAGAAGGGCAAAGCACATACGGAGATGGTCAGGTAGTCGCATCCAGCAAGCTCGGTGATTTCACCAATGTTTCTGAACGAAGCACCCATGACGATGGTCTTGTAGCCGTGCTTCTTGTAGTAGTTGAAGATGCTCTGCACGCTCTTCACGCCTGGGTCCTCGTCGGAGGAGTACTCTCGCTTCATGGCAGCCTTGTACCAGTCGAGGATCCGGCCAACGAAGGGAGAGATGAGGTAGGCACCAGCTTCGGCGGCGGCAATGGCCTGGACGAGAGAGAACATGAGGGTCAAGTTGCAGTTGATGCCGTGCTGAGATTGTAGGATGTGTGCGGCCTGGATACCTTCCCAGGTAGAAGCGACCTTGATCAAGATTCTGTCCTTCTTGATGCCGACGGACTCGTAGAGCTGTACCACGTTAGTATTAGTCTAGACACACTTCCATCATATATACATAGCTTAAACGTACCTCGATGATGCGGAGAGCCTTGTTGACGGAGGCTTGAGTGTCGAAGGAGTAGCGGGCATCAACTTCGGTAGAGACCTTTCCAGGAATGATGGCGAGGATCTCCTTTCCGAACTCGACGAGTAGTCGGTCCAGAGCAGCGTCGACTTGTGCATCGATGTCAGAGCCCTACCGGAGCTGTCAGCCATAGTCTCTTATTACGGTGAGACATCCCAACGCACGTTCTGCTTGCCATAAGCAATGGCAGCATCCATCAACTTGGCGTATTCTGGCTTCTTGGAAGCGGCAAGAATCAGAGAAGGGTTGGTGGTAGCATCTTGGGGCTTATATTTGCCGATAGCTATCGGTTGAGACCCACGTTAGCAACGGAAGTCCCGGACTCAGCGTCGACAGACGGCATCATGCTGTATCTTCATAGTGCATAGTCTCGATAGCTATACTTACTTGCAAAGTCACCTATATCAGCCCGACAGCTTCACGTTAGCTCATATACCTTTATCAACCCGAACGAGACCCCTCATCCCGCAGTTTCATCAACACTCCGTCAGAGTCTTACCGGAGTCGCAAACGACGGTCTACCCCATCATCAGCTCGTGTCCCCAGGGGGCGATATTTCAAGAAAGGCACCCAAACTTACCGTGCCAGAGGCCTTCAATTGATCAAGAGAGGTAGACATCTTTGTAAAACAACGTAATAGTGCTATCGATTCTTTATCGTGGAAGGCGTTGGAGTCAATTCAGCAGATCAGATCGGCCTGTTCTTCAAGGATGAAGATGGGGAGAGAAACGGCTGCTAATAAATGGTTGAGTGAAGGAGTTGTTCCGTTTGATAACTTGTCGAGCGGGCGTCGGTGGTTCATATAAACCCACGTTCGATGGTGGCGAGCCTTTTTTGGTTGGATAAGCAGAAGTCAGTTTCATGATCTTCCCTGACGGTTTTCGTGTTGAGGTACCACTTGGGCATAACCCCGAAACTCGGTTGGGCTTCCCTCAGCGTGTAATTATTAATATTGGATTTAATTACTGGTACGAAAGGTACTTCACGAACTCATATTGTTTTGACTATTAAGATAGTTGCCAAAGTAACCGCTTAACGATGTTTTGCCGTCTTCGAGATCCAGCACACCACTTTAGCTCTGATCGATTTAGCCGGCTGGAATTAGCAGCAGCGATAAGAAGCTCCGTTTCTGCTTTTGACAATTTACTCTTTATTTCTTCCGTTCCTAGCAAGGCCCTCAACGCCTCTTGGTACGCTATCGCCTGGTCTCTAGGTACGGTGCTACAGTCGAGACCGATAATAATACTACCACTCTGAGGGCTGTCCACCCATCCTGGAACACTATCAAGCGATTCACGGGCAGTAGTAACTAAGGATCGATGCAAAACTTTCGCGAGCCTTTTATTCATTTGCCTTATCACTCATGATGGCGGTAGGTTCGAGGGTTGGTTGATATGCCTCTATATAATGTTAGTACTTAGGAGTAATTTGGCCTAATGGCGGGGCTATGCAACTCACTGAGCGCTTGAGTTTAGGATTCAAGTTTCTTGTTTCTTGGAAATCTCACGTATTGGAGAGATATAATGATGACAGAACCAGGAGAGAATCATATTGGAGAGCCCCCTTTTATAAAGAAGTCTCGTCTGATTCTAACCACCCATGAGTGGTGATCAACCATGAGTCATAATCTATACTATAAGGTGCATGCCAAGTTTGTGATCAAACAGGTTTGCTTAGGCATATAGACTGATATAACTGTGATATAATGCTCAAAATTATATCAAAAGGAGGTCTTCAATAGGATAGTAGTCATTAAAGTCCTCCCCGTTGTTCTCAATTAACTGCGACATCTTGAATCTTACAAGTTCATTCATCTCTTCCCTCTGCTCCTCCGATAGGAGCCGTATACGGTCGTCAAGGGATGTAAATGGTCCAAAGTATTTATTGTCAATAAAAGTCCAATATATTTCATCAAACATGGAGCTACGCCGGGCGGCTAGGCATACCCAGAATAGCCCAGTCTCCATGGAGTGTTCCATTCTTGGGGAGAGGCGTTGTCCCTCCGAAAGGGTCTGCTGCTCGATCATTTTGTCCTCACTCTCCTTTAGTGCTTCTAGGAATAATCGAAAGCATGGGGTATAGCGGTCTAGGAATTGATTAAAGTCGGATTCCCAGCCCTCCGGGCTTATGAGTAATAGCCACCAGGGAGCTACATGGGAGAATTCAGCCGGTGCAACGTACGTAAACTCCCAGTCGATAGCTCCGGAAACACAAAATTTTTCAACATCAATAAGAACATTCGAAGGGCGGAAGTCATCACAGTATAGCTTGAAAGGCCCTTTGTCAAGATTGGTTGAAACATCGCTGACCACCTTTTGAAACAGGTAACGAGCTGCGAATTTCTTCCTGCAATCATCCTCATCCTTAACAGCATTATTCTTTTGTAATCGTAGGTGGGATATCTGTTCTAGGGCGAGAGACTTGAAGTAGCCCGTAGCTGTGGTGAACGTGCGCGTAGGAAAATTACTTTCGTGTATATTTGCAGACAGCATCAGCTCGTTCATGTTAAACGTGAGAGGTCGGCCAGTAACATTGAAGCCCTCTTCGCTCTTCTCCAATACCCCGATGGTGTGAAATTCAGGCTTTGAAAGTTCAAGGACAAAAATAGCCATCTCACGATAAGCCCTCTTCGCTCTTCTCCAATACCCCGATGGTGTGAAATTCAGGCTTTGAAAGTTCAAGGACAAGAATAGCCATCTCACGATAAGCCCTCTTTAGACTCCGGTCACTTAACTGAGCATTTAAAACCGGACTCCCTTCTTTGGAACGATTTTTGAGGAGCTCAGATAGAGGTACTCCTTCGACAAAGGGCATAACAATGTATGGACCTGACCAGCAGGTGCCGGAACCCAAAACCTCAGGGACAGGTATGGAAGTGTTTTGACGCAGGTAGTTCATCACAGCAACTTCCTGCCTCGCCTTCTCCTAGCGAAGTATAGCTTTCCCAAGGGCAGCAAAACGAACGACTAGGTGGAACCCATCTTCATATCGGACGCGGTAACATATATTGAAGGCGCCGCTTTTCCATCGACAAGCAGACCGGGGGTTTCCAGGACGATGCTGGTAAGCAATTTGCATGGATAAGATCTCGGGAGTCTTGCTTAAGAAGAGCTTCAGCCAGGCAGCGAACTTTTGTTCCTGCTTCTGGCTAACAATGCGGTCAAATTCCATTATTAGTTACTGGTAATAGTGGTTTGAGAAGCTGAGGAGAGTCAGAATCTCGAATTGTGAGAGGTTAATTGCGCCTTTTTTTGTATTTGTCAAACTTCAACATCTGCCTAGTATTAGTGTGGGCTCACTCCTTTTAGTGTAGTGGCAGATTCTGATAGTATTTAAGGCCAAATACTGATTATATTACGTGAATGTTAACCAGGCCCCTTAAAGCCAAACATTAAAATGTCGAATGTTGTACTTAGTCAGCTTACGTGCTCTGCCTCATCCCTGTAGTTACGTAGGCTCAACAAGCTCACGAATATAACTCATTTTGCACCTCTGTATGCTATCTTGTGCATTCAATCAACTATCATTTGCTGCTCCTGCTTATGTTGGGTATATAACTGGTCGTCAACATATCTGACCGTTATATGCACTGTATCCGCATCAAGATACTTTGCGTGGGGATCTAGTATGCTCACACTTATACCATAAGTCAATAACAAAAGAGTATATACCAGAAATAAGGACTGCAAATGTAAAGAAGTGTTTTGTGGCGTCTGCCACTTTCCAAATGCCTCCGCCTCTACCCTGGAGGCTGCTGGCTTTCCCCAGAATACGTTTACCATATGAGATAATTGATGTTGATCCCCCAATTTACTTGTCTTCACCATCGAACAAATGTTGAGACAGCGGTGAGGTACTTAGTTCCTACTATTTGCGCATTTACTAAGAGTTAGCTACATATATGAATAGTCGGGCCAGGAAAGCTTAGAGATATAATAAAAATTAATAGTGTATTGAATAGAAACTTGTGTCTTAGAATTATGGAAAGATTATAGCCAGGCTTGTCCTTTACCTTACCCTCCGAAGAATCCTTAAAGGATGGCAATGGCCCTAAGACTGAAATTTAATATGGTGAATATTCATCTGTGATCAGACAGAAGTGGATAGCAAGCACTTACCTATAAATCACCCTCCAACAGATGGATTCCCGAGAGTGACTAGGTCTAATCAGAGTGCTAACCACCACACTTCCCTCTGGCCCCTCTGGAGCTGGTACAAACATTTCTGTCAAGTGCCCGAGCGCTAGGCTTATATATACGACAAAAGAAAAGATTAAAGGATCGAAAAACATTATATATCTAAAAATTTCTTTTCATAGGCTCCAGATACTATTAGCCATGTAGTCAGTAGGTCTAAGGGTCTGTTGGGCTTGAGCGTGTTGAAAGCATACATACGACATAAGCCTTGACAATAGCGGCCCAAATCAAGGCGGCTGGACCTGTGTTTATGTGTCAAACGAGCCACCTGAAAGAGTGGTACTACACGTTTCGCCAAATATGTATATCCCGGCACTCTGTAGTTAGGGGCTCATTGTATATCCGCATAATAAAATTTTCGAAATCCGCTGGGCCGTAAGGCCTCTCACCCTAGTGCTGTTACACTCTGCTATACCCTTCCACGCAGTATCACAGTCTAATCTGTGCTATCATTCTGACGGAGTCAGCATGTGAGACCATTCAATGACAGGATCACAGCAACCGAACTTAGTCCAATATCCGTTTCGATCGCCTATTTCGTATAGGTCATCCTCATTCCTAATATACTTCACAAAATCAAGCCATCTAACTGGTCAGGGGTATCGCTGTCGGTTCCCAATAAGCAACCCATTGAGTATTATCGTACACGAGTATATTACTGTTATTAGACAGATTGATATAATGCGTGTTGATTCGGCTTAAGCTTTGTAGAATTTCGTAGATCTCCGTACCAGCAATGTATCTACTAGTGCCAGTGCATACTCTCTTTGCCTCGTTTGGCGTTAGGGGAGTCCCAATATAGAAACAATTTGATATATAGTAGCCTGATTCTGCTGTAGTATAGATCATCTGCAACTCGTCATAATAATAACAATTTTATTAGAGGGCACGCCTATTTTCGTGGCCTTTTTCATACGTTAGTTTAGGCGCAAAACAATACTATGGTGGAATAGATTGAGGGTATATCGTACTCACTACAGTTAAAGCACTAGTTGTCTCATTAAGATTAATATTACTGCGGAGACATATTCCAGAAGAACACATAACCTATGAGAACGGGTCCTAGGCATCCCACTGATAGGAGTTAATACTGAGTGGCTTCCTTTGTTTGGGGGCCGAGGAAGTGGGCTTTCGTACCTGGCCATTTAGATCATAGATCATATAAATTTTACCTACTTGGCCGGTGGGGGGCTCCTTCGGATATCAATACGAAGTAGAAGCCGCGATAGAGACTATTTTTCCGCAAAGCAAATGTTAGAACTAGGTTGGTTAACGAATTACAGTAGAATATCTGTCAAATATAACCATTCTCTCTACCGCCACTCAGTGCGGGCTCGCGTTTTTGGCCGAATGGCAGATTCTGACACTATTCTAGCAAGTCGAGCCACGCGCCGCTTATAACTATAGATACCCATGTAACGTGTAGAGTTTCCTCTCCCTCTCTCCCATTTTCTTTTTGGCCCCCTCCCACAAACTATCATCAATCGCTCGATCAATTCAACATGGCTTATCTCTCCCACGGACTAAATTATCTTAGCTATGGCTCTTGCTGGCTAGTTGTGGGTTTGAGCGGGCAAATAAAGTGGTATATTTAAATGCTGGTAATCAACGGGGATCGCTGGAAATGGAGACCGTACATATACATGCTACATATGTACATGATATTACCTGCATAAGTCTAACTTCTCCATGCATATTTAGCTTAAAATTACCCCTTAAAATAAGCGCGTCAAGGACAAGGTTTTTAACTCAAGGTGTCGGCCGGGCCGCCGTCTTGGCTTTTGGGTCCAGACCCAGCCCCCTGGTTCTTGATGCCTGGGATAGCATGTAAATATATAGTTATGTGGATATCAAGCATATATATTATATTAACATGTAAGCGAGATGTCCAGTTCTAAGCGTGTTGCTCCGTGTATGGTTACATTAAGATAACAGGCCCTATCGGAGGGAGATAATACTTCAGAGGCGAGAATCTACCGGCCTTCCTAACTATATATATCTGTACTCTGCCCATGAATACGTGTGAGTTGAAGTAGAGCAGTACCACCTTTCCAAGCACCTCCAAAAAAATCGAATTCACACAATATGCAGCACATCTCCTTCATCATCCTGGCGTTGCTCCCGAAGCTGCTCCTCGCCAGTGTACTCCGTACACTAGATACCCTTGAAACGACAACGACCTCAGAAACCTCTACCACCCCAACAATTTCTCCAACGAAGACCACTATCACTACTTCTATGGGAACGACGACAACAACTCCGGCCGGCCCTCCCTCACCTACGCTGCCTAACCTCGCAAAGGATTGTGATAACTTCCATTTGGTCGCTTCTGGGGATAGCTGCTACACCGTCCAAACAAAGTATGGCATCAGTGCAGACCAATTGATGATGTGGAATCCTTCTCTAAACACTGGTATATATTCAACTCTCTTCTTTTTTAACTATAAAATGGACACCGGGCTAATATCATCTAATAGAGTGCAGTAACCTTTGGCTAGGCTATTATGCCTGCGTTCACGTTCCTGGTGCTACGACATCGGTGCCTACGCCCACACCTACACCCAAGGGCCCACAGCCCCAGATGCCGGGTATCGTGGACAACTGCGAAAAGTTCTATCTTATTAAGGATGGTGATAGCTGCTATACCATTAACCAGGCTACAAGCACCACGCTAGAGCAGCTCCGCTCCTGGAACAAGAATATCAACGAGGACTGTAGCAACATATGGCTCGGTTACTATGTCTGTGTTGGTGTATAAAACATTTATAAAAGCGATAGACCCTGATCAGCCCTTTGTTTTCGTTGATATTTTGATTTACTATCTTAGGGTGATCTCCAACCATCTAATATCTATCAATACTTGTATATATATATATATATGCAGGGTAGAGAAATCATAATCACTATTGACAGTCATCAGTATCGTGATAATTTATAAATATAAATTGGCATAAAACCAATTGTACAAGCCTTACTCCTCTAATGGCGCTGCACACAATTCCACTCATAAACTTGCCCCGATTCATCGCCCGTATATACTACATGTGACAGCGGAAGGACACAGGTAATTCCTGCGAGGGTCGCTGCTCCATCGCCACGAGACGTGTTAACGTGATGTAACTGGCGAATAAGATCCAATTCAAACACCCCGTCTCTGATGCATTTGCTCCATACCTATATTAATAGAGAGTCAGCAACTGATATGAATATCAGAGGATGAGAAGGAATTCATCTAAGGGGCTTACTAACATTTACCAGGCCTTTTCGATGACCAGTAAAAAACAGTTCGAGCTCTAGCCATTCGTTGCCAACCCCTTCGTAGAAAGCACATGACAGGACATTATCGTCCGACTGTTCACAAACAGCCCTTTCTAGAAGAAGGGTGCCGTTTAAAGTGAAGAGGCTTACTAGATTGCCACGACAAACTGCAATATTTCCAGTTGCATCATTGATACGAGCACACTACGGAGGAAAAAGGTGTCAGTTACAAGGAGGTAGTGAACCAACAACCCAGGGGCATTTGTCTTACATTTACCGTTGGCCCGGAAGATAATTCCCTTATGAATTCTAATCTGTTGAGATCCCATAGCATGACTTTACCGTCTTTAGAAGCTGATAAAATTGTGCTAAATGACCTTGACACGGCAAGGATGGTTACTGGCGATCGATGCCCAAAGAGTGATGCTTTAGGAAGGAGGTCAACCGATCGAGATGTTGATGTAAACGACCAGACAGCTATCGTGCAATCAGTGCCAGCGGTAATCAGAGTCTGTGAATCGGCAAATAGAGCACAAGAGAGCTGGCCAATGTGGACATGCTCGAAGTGGCCAATTAACTATAAAGGGTGATGATTTAGCATTGTAAATTAATTGCATGGTGGCACACTGAGGTGTACAATACCTTTCTTGATTCAGCGGCATAAAAGCGGACGCTGCCATCAGAGAATCCCCATTCCATGTATTTATCATATGCTGGAGGGATGTTAAGTCGAAATGCCGCCGCACAAAGGAGGCGGTCTTGCTTGACTGAAAATGACAGAGAAGATACTCTTTCTTGAATGTCTAGTAACAGATTCGGATTAGAAATATATATTAAGAGAGAGGGAGCGAACATCGTCTCACCTAGCAGAGTAAATGGAAGGTGGGTTAATGAGTCCGCGGAGGTGTCCAGGCGATTAGGTTTATGTAGGGTATCTTCACGGCTGGGGTGATGTTTATGGAATACCTGGTGGGGAGTCTGTCCAAAATTATGTATAATCCCTATTGTTGCTAGCCTCTCCATGGGGTCTTCGATACTGTCAAGATCCTTGGCTCCACGATAAGACAAATGGTGGAAAACATTGACGGCCTCAAGGGCTGCTTCACCTCGTTGTTTAGCACCAAAAATTAAATCAATCCATTGATGTAGATTGCGGGTAACGTATGGGCTCTCGAGCGCTTCGCGATGTTTAGCTATAAATATCTTTGGGTCCCCTTTTGCCCAGGGAGGAAGTTCTACAGAATCAATGGTTTGACCTGTACTTTGTCGTACTCCGAAGTCATAGTTATTTGAATTTGACAAGAATTCCGGCAAGTAAAAAAATTCAGGGATTAGTTCTCTCACATCGGTCATATTCACTCGTGATGCTGAGTTCCATGCATCAGGGATCGAAAAGAATAGACGGTCGGCGTGGTCAAATGTTCCACCCTGCAGTAGAAGGTAGGATTTGACAAATGGCTGGAGTCGAATTAGGTAGGAACATACAATCATGGCAGAAGAGTAGTGAGTCCCATAATGGAATGGTGGAGCGTTCTCATCTCCCATTTCTGCAAAGGATTGATATCTGCTTCTGAAATCAGCCTCACGGGATATAGTCTGACACCCCATCGGCTTCGAAAGGTCTCGGAAAGTCCTTGGGTTTGTGAGGTCAAGTTCCTCGCTAGTATAATCGGCGAGAATCCATGGAAACACCGGATATTGAGTCAAGTCATTGAAGGTTCGGCCAGCTAGAGTATTGACAAGCATTAGATAATGGAAATTTGACATCTCCCCCTTCAGCCATTTTCGTGTCGCTGGGTGAGAGGGCATCTGGCTAAAGACATTGACAAATTTTGACCCGAAAAACTGGGAACTATTCCCTTCACTGCGTAGAGTTTCAAAGCGCCATGAGTCTTCTGGTAAGTTGCTGTTTCCATGTATCTGCGGCGCCCGAGACGTAAGCTCATTGTATAATTCGTTGCGTAGCTTGGCAGATATGAGTGTAAGTAAATAACTACGCCCATCAGAAAAGAAAATTTCCAAAGCCACGTCACGAAAGAGGAATTGGCGCTTCGATACGCTAATAACATCAGCCCAAATCCAGCTTCTCGATCGATGGGCTCCATTATTATGTTTCCGGTCATCAGACTCCCGACCAGAGATCACGCGTACATAAGGGTCTCGTTCTTCTGGATGCGCTTGTGACACATGAACGATCTCGCAATCAGAGCGTTGGAAGAAGTTATCCATTATATAGAGGTTAGTTTTTCCCAGAATCAGAAGTCCTTCACAGGCCTCAAGCCCAATTATGCGGGAGATATTGCAAACATATTGTACCTGATCTCCTCTCTGAAGATTTTTCATGACTTTGCGGTTTTTATCTTCGTACGGGTCGTTGCCTGTTGGCTCATCTATGAGTTCAAAACTATCTTCGGTAGCGGATTTCCCTTCGGACTCATTATCGAGAGACTCAGTATCAACTGGCTCAGGTACTATAGTGGGGGGTGAAAGTGCAACCATATCACCATCAGAAGCAGCACGGGCTCTGACATTCACCTTAATATCAGGGGTGTCACTAGTAGCTCTTATTTTTGGCTGGTAGTCTTGTTTCCCAGCCGAATCATCTGGTGTAACTCGCAGCCGCATCCTACTGCGCCCTTCTGTCTGATCTAAACGCCACTTATGTTTTGTTTGCGTCGCAAGAAAGCCGTTTTCACGCCTCAAGTTTGAATATATTCGAGAAAATGCGGAAGCCATAAAATTGAAATCGTCCTGCTGGTCTTGGATTGCTCGCTGGTGTTTTAAACCCTCAGAAACAGATATGTTCGCTGTCCAGTGTCCGAACGTAATATCGTGTTTACGTAGAACTTCTTCGTTCAATGACTCTGTCTGGGACCACTGTTTTAATTTGTCTTTCCTTTTAGATGCTCGTGAGCGCGCAGTTTCCTGGGTTTTGCTATTTTCATCACGGACAAAACTTTCCCAGCCCTTGCTCAGGGCACCAAAGAAAAAGCAATCAAGGTCATCACGTTGATCATCAATCCAATGGAGGAAACTATCGTCGTCCATTCCCATAAGTTTCTGAAATCCTAACGAAAGGCGCCTATGAAGCGAAGGGGTAGCTTGACCTAGTATAGCAGAGGTCTCTGATGGTTTCTGAACGAGAGTGATTCTCCACAGCCCAGCTGCTGCCACACGCACGTCCTCTTTCTCTGTCACAATTTTGGAATATAGTAAATAGTAGATTAGTTGGAGTTGGTCATTTGGAGATTCCTCATTTGATAAGAGAACTGTTTGCCAATACGCCAGCCGTTGCAAAAAAGAATATGCGTTTTGACCTTCCGCCGCGGAAAGTCGTAGGAGAACGGTCCGAAACACGGTCGAACGAATGCTCGAAATCGTTTGGCTACAAAGTCGAACACTTTTCAAAGATGCAACTTCTGGTTCCTGTAAGTACTCAAGGATAGGGCCAATGAAGTTCAATGTAGCCATTGCTCCATCGATGAACCAGCCTCCATAAACGGCCTCAGCCACCTGTGAAAGTAGTCGAGACAGGTTGTTTAGTACACGAGGCTCAAGCAGCACTTTAGTATCTTTGGAGATCTTTGTTTCTAGATGTGTAAGAAGGTTTCGAAGAATCCAGGACTCGAAATATATTTGATGTTCCACAAATCCTGGAGGAATTCTGACAAATAGTAGTAATCCCGGAAACTCCTTGCGTCCAAATAGCTGATCTGTGTAAACTGCCAGGAGAATACCGAGTATATCGTTGGCTATAGGGTTAGTTGGGCGGGGACTTGCTGCGTCAGACGAAGGTGCGACAATTTGCTGCAACCGGGCAGACGAGGGGGAATATTTGGATTTATCTGAAGAGACTAGGACAAACGGCGATGAACAACGAGGCTCATCACTATTATCCTGCATATCCGTACCCTTTACTGTGCTGGTACGTACTATCGGTCTCGCACCCTGAAGCGGTTGAATGGGTACTGTTTCTCCACCAAATCTGAGCCCGTCTGAATTAGATTCTAGTTCAAAACCCGCATTAACTATATCGGAACCGACTACTACAGGGTATAAAGCCCGAAGGAGTTCATCAACATAGTTAGATGTCACTGCGAAATCCCGAAAATTTTGAGACTTTCCATAGATATAAGCGAAGAAACCAACGACTGATTTTAAGAGTTCAGTGTTCGATGGTACATTTCCCGGAATGGTAACATCTACGTACTTTAGTTAGCTTAAGAGGAATAAACAAGGAATCCAGGACAACCGGACATATGCATAATTAGCTAAATAGGAGAGGAAAACAAACCTGATCGCAAAGTGCTACTCTCCGAATCTGCTCTTGGGCGCACCAGATATATGCTGTCATCATCATCAGCATGGATAGAGGGAGAACTACCTCTAGGTACCACGGTCGCCTTCAGTCCAAGCTGGAGCATACCGGCAAGAACTGGCAGGACTTCTGGAAATGATACTTTAAGGTTCTCAGGAGATGAAAGCAACCGTTGAAGGTCCGATGCATTGGCGTTCTTATCCAAATTTATTTGGCCTGGATCCAGGCCAAATAATATCGAGAAGCATATTGGCCACAATGGAGCTAAGTTCCACCATCGTTTTAGTCGATGCCGCATTACCACAAATCCACCTGTCTTCTCCGCAAACTTTTTGGTGTAAGCAGTGCCATGGACAATGAATAGACGGGATAAAATCCTTGTGACCAGTATCACCACGTCCGGATTGTCTTCTGACAACAGGTATAACAGCCACTATAGGGGAAAAAAGGATAAGTTTTAAATTGCCATTTAGCATAGGTGAGAGTAAGGACATACCTTATTTGTAACTGTCCTGGCAAATTTTTGGATGCTAATTGTATCTTCACTGTTACAGAAGACCTCAGTAAATACCCGCAGGATTTCTACCCCTATTTGTTCTTTTGAAACGTAGATCGAGGCGAGATCAGGCTGTAAATGGCCTGGACGCCGAAATCGAAGGTCTAGCCGGGTGTTTTTATTTTTATTTGGCTTGCTCATTGGCTGCTTTACTGAATGTATTGAGAATGTGATGAAGAGCGATACAGAACGAAGAACTTCAGCAGTCATACATGCGTTCACCAGACTCTTGAAGGCAGAAACGTAAAGCTTTAAAGTTGCTGTAGCGAAAGCTTCAGCCTTCAGAGCCTCTATAAGCCTTTTAATGACACCTATATATAGGTTAGCATACCTTTCCTATGCTATGAGTAGGGCCGAGAACGAAAAACATACGCATTCTAGACAACCGCTTTGAGTTGAACCTATGGTAATGACTGTCTGTACAGAAAGTTCGAAACTGGGAATAGTAGATTTCCAGTAAAGGTAGGTCAGCCTGCCTCCATATGTCCAGGTCTATTAGCAAGATCCGGTAGGCCAGTGGGTTTATTATCAAGGATTTCTTTGGGTTCTCGAAATCATATCCCACAAATCTTAAAACAGGTATCAGAAGTTCCATTGCTACCTCGTTTCGTTCCTGTGCAGTGTGGCACACTGCAGTTGTCTTCATAGGTGAATTTTGGACAGGAGATGCAAACCCAAGCTTTTCGCGTAAAAGCATGGCAAGTATACCGTAGCCATTTTCCTTTTCCATGGCTTCACTATTTCTCCAGTTGTCCTGCACTGCCTCAAAGAGTAGTTCCAAGGCAAGACGAAGGGACTCGCCGGTAGTTGCTGCTTCAACTAAGCTAAGATGAACGCCTGCACAGCCACCAATTCTCCAGCTTAAATCATCTAAGGATTGGGGAATTATAACAACAGGGTCTCCGACAAGTACTGCAACACCGTGTGGTTGTGTTAAAGCTTCGTTGATTGCAGGAACGGCTCCGTTAATAACCACAGTATTACCCTTAACCTTGACAAGTTGGGTTAAGGTTTTGCCTGCATTTCTTGAGAGTGATTTTACCAATTGCGATTCATCAATATTATTGGTATCATCGTCATCTAGGACTGAGGTAGGTGATATATTGAGTAAGACGGAGCTCTCAGGAATCAAAATACTACCTTTCTGTCTTATGACTGAAACAATATCGGATTGGTCTTCTTTGCCTGCGTGGAGATTCTCATTGCGTAAATTCAAGGTCGCAGACGCCCTATAGGTCTGGAAGGAGCCAAGACAATCCTGGAAATTACCATAATATCTCGGCCCAAGATGACACAGGACAGCAATGAGATCATCATTGAACGCTTCATCAAACAGGATTGCGGAGGCAAGTGACCATTTCGAGAACGAGACTCCTTTCCCAACCCGAACAGCTAGATCCCGAGGGGTACCTAAAAATGTTTGTATCGGAGGAGCCTTCTGGCCAGGACGAGTCCTTGGTACAACGGGGTATTCTGCTTTGAGTTGTTCTGCAAACTCACCATTTACAAAGAGAAGCGCACGCGATGATGATAATGTTTTAGGCCGCTTATGCACAATGCAAATATGGTACCATCGACCTGGTAGGAATGTTGTGGCTTTGAAACGGACGCTAGGCCTGATACCCCTAATTGAGGTCTGTAAGATAAGGTTGTGAGTGTCCTTTTCAAGGTAGACAAGAACGAAGCATGTCTGTGTTGCATCAAAGGCACCAAACAAGGTGGTATGAGTGTTCGGTTCAAAATTGTCAACTCGTGCCCAGAGAGTTAGAGTATAACCACTAGAACTAATAGATGGAAACGGTTTCCCTAGGCTTGGCAATTCGATTGAGCTGTATCCATGTGATGAAAGGTCGAAATGCACATGAGGAGGACCCTTTGAAGATTTTAATGCATCTAACAGGAACCTGGAAACCTGAGGTACTTTCTGGGCCTTTTGATAAAGCTGAACAGCATCCTGTAGGGTATTAACCCCATGTTGGCATAATATGGCGGCCAGTTTGGAGTAAGCTTCTAACTCGTCCTTAGGCCTTCCGGAGACCGTGACAAGGGTTAGTAGGGGAGAAAGGATTCCTGTGGAGTGTAGAGCAAGACAGTTCCTTTGGGATAAAGACGCAAGCCGAGTAAGACACAGTGGTACCGATAGCCGGAGGATTGGATAATTCTCCGGATCAGAGGTCTGATCAAGCCATAAGCGCAATAATGGACTGAAAAGCTCTGGATTCTCTACGACCTCTCCACTTCCCAGTGTGTGGTTAACAATCTCAGATAGCGTAAGCAAGGTATTTGACCCAGAGATTTCTGCTCTCTTTTTGACAGTGGTAAAGAACTGCGACATAGTTTCTTGTCCCAAGCCTGCGGCCAAAAGGCCTCCATAGAAGAGCTCCACGTCCTGAGAGGTATTCAGTTTGACAGCTAGGCCAGAGAGAATCCGTTCACACGCCGCAATTCCGGCCCCATTGTCTCCTTTGACGAAATACCGTTTGTTTCCAGGGTCATCTTTCAGACTTTCTGCAATTATACCCAAAGAATCTTTAACAATGGACAAAAGCAGTTTCCTATCAGCATCCCCTATCGTTTCTGGTTTGTATAGATCTGCCAAACACTCCAAGAACCCTAAGACACTTTCGAACCCTCTTAGCTGACGAAACAAGCTCTTTACTTCCTTCGGCTGGTGATCATCGATAAGCGTATGGCGTATAAAAAGGAGATGCTCGGTCGCTCCTGATGCCTCTTCGATCGACTTCGGAGAGCTGTGGCAGCAACTGGCTAGTTTGTCAATTGCCGGCAGAAGTTTTGGGATCAGTCTTTCTGACGAGGCGGATGATGTCTCTCTCGAGCGAGTTTGCGCGCCGCTCATCTTGGCCTGGTATGCAGTGTATGATATCTGTTGCTATCAATCATAATATCATCGCGTGCTTCAACCCAGACATCATGTTATATATATTAGTTTCGAGGATAAGACGATTCCTGTGCCGGAAGAAAGGAGACACTGAATCGGAAAACGATTATTTATCCCATCAGTAGTGCCATTTATTCAAAGGAAGGGCAGGGAGGCGTCTTCAAAATAGTCCATACTTGAGGGAGGACGTCGCCCTCGACATCCCATCGAAGGTCTTTCCTTCACTCATCGCGGCGAAACATATCACGTGATTATCGCGGAGTTTAACGCTTTTCTTACTAATCTCCTCGTCTTGGCTATTTTTGAAATTACGTGCTAAGCCTTAAATAACGTAACATGAGTGGTTAGTTATTGTAATGGCTTAAATTACTAGCCGGAGGAGAATGGTTATATAAGCGGATAAAAGACTCACATAAGTAATATAAAACACGTGCATATTATTCGTCCAATATATAGGTGATTATTGACCAATAGATATATATTAATTTGCCATGCATATCTATTGGTCAGTGATTTTTATCTTTAATCATCACCGTTGTATAAGCCTCCTTTGTGCTACCAAAGCTGAGATATCCGGAGGCTTTGAGAGAGATTTTATATGGTAAAACTAAACATACCCTACCCCCAGCAAGTCCAAGAAGCCCAGCTGAAGCCGTAGAAATCCTGCCATGCTTAGGTACTATCGACTCGCATGTTTTCAATCTGTCAAGCAACACCACACATGGCTTCTACAGCTCCTTCTAGAATATGCCTCTGAGGCACCGTACAGAGTATGGGGCGCGGAGTACTGTCTCTGTAGAGCAGTTATATAAGAAGAAATGAGGTCTTACACTATAAATAAGCAAGGCTGCAAGTGACGTTGGCTTGGAAGGAACGGGGTTAAAGGAACGGATATAGCCATATCTCCGTTCTATATATATATGTAAGGTTATCTCTTGAGGCGCTAAGTTTAGCTAAATTTCTATATCAAAATTCATTTCTTCGACCATCACAATGACTGCCGCCCCTGCTGCCATCCCCCAGCTCAAGACGAACAAGCCGGAGGGCATCGACCTCTACGCTCGTTTTGCTCTTGCCGGTGCGCTGGGTTGCTCTATCACCCACTCTGCTTTCACTCCGGTCGACATGTATGTGACCTTTATCGGCTCTAGTTCTGGCTCTAGCTCCGTTACCACAATCGACTAAAAAGGAGACCTTATACAGTGTCAAAACTAGGATCCAGCTGGACCCTACCACCTACAACAATGGCATGATCGGTAGTTTTCGCCAGTTATCCGCAACGAAGGCATCGGCGCTCTCGCAACAGGCTTTGGCCCAACCTTTGCCGGCTATTTCATGCAAGGTGCCTTTAAATTCGGTGATTACGAATTCTTCCAGCAGAAACTTGTCGATGTTCTCGGCGCAGAAAAGGCGAAGCAGAATCGTACAGCCGTTTATATTGTTTTCGCTGGTTGTGCTGAGTTCTTCGCCTCAATTGCGCTCTGTCCCCTGGAAGCAACACGTATTCGCCTTGTCTCGACACCGGGCTTTGCTGGTGGCCTGATCGGTGGTTTCGGAAAGATTTTGAAGAATGAGGGCATCGGCGCCTTTTATTCTGGCTTTGGTCCTATCCTGTTCAAACAGTATGTTCACATTCTCTGAGAGCATCTCGAGCGTCTTGCGCAATAATTTGTGCAACTCCCTCAAAACAGCATGAAAACAACACAATGAAGAGCGAAAACTAATATATATATACAGGGTTCCTTATACAATAACGAAATTTGTTGCTTTTGAAAAGGTTTCCGAGGCTATCCTGAGCCAGTTTGATGACAAGTCCCAAATGTCAGCTGGCGCCTCGACCGCTGTGAACTTGGGATCTGGCCTGATTGGTGGTTTCGCGGCCGCCATCGTGTCTCAGCCTGCCGATACAATGTTGTCCAAAATCAACAAAACGAAGGCTTTGCCTGGTGAGGGCACTGTTTCTCGGTTGATCAAGATTGCTGGCGAGCTTGGTCTACGCGGGTCTTTTGCTGGTCTCCCAACGCGTCTGTTCATGGTCGGTGGTCTCACTGCGGGCCAATTTGCCATCTACGGTGATATCAAGAAACTCTTAGCCAAGTGTGCTTCTTTTCCCTTTACTTCATTTGACACGGACTTAAACTAACACCCTCTACAGGTGCTACGAAGTAGAGAGAGGGGATGTTTAGATATCATTTCCCAACATCGCACAGTCTAGACCAAGAACTAACCTTTTAGTATGGAGATTAAGTCTTTCAATTTCTCTCTACGTGTTTGATACTTATATAGAATTTAGAATTCCATTTGATAGAGTTGACTGTCCTTACATAAGATCGAGCGTGATGCCTATATCTTGTCCAACTTATTTATTCCTTTCTATAGTCCCATCGGTAGATTTAGTTTTTATATAAACTTATACTCTGTGTTTCTGGCCACATGTTCATAGTTCCTTTTAAATGTCTTCATTTTATATATATAATGATGACCTCAGATTTCTAGCCCTGGACAACAAAAAGCTGAATTTCAGGGTAAGTTATCTTGAGCAATCATCTTGGGCAGTTGTCTTGGAACCGACAGCAAAGTACTTTCCCCCCTGTCCAACAACATTTCCCATCGCCGCAGCCGTCGTTGGTGCACCAAACCCAATACTGCGGGCAGCTACCGTTACAAAATGGTGCTGTTCCATACCAATAACAACCTCTTGGAGCAGGGAAGCCTCGTGCCGCCAACGATTTAGAAGAAGTTACCTGGTTAGAACTAGGCTTCTCTAAAGAAACATTAGCTAGGAGGTTGGGGATAACTGGGATTTATTAACCCACCAAGAGCGGCAGCGGAGGCGAGACCAAGGAGGAAGAAAGGTATTATGGAACGCATGGTGATTTTCCGAGCTAAAGGGTATAATATAGTTAGAATTTATGTGTTTGGCACAAGGTTTCCGGAGTGTACCTAGCAAAGAAGGTAGAGGATTTCTTGACTTTTGGAGATGGGTTGAAAGAGTAATGAAGAAGTATTAATTGCAAGACGTAGTCGCCGTTTATATTTCTAGGCAAAAACAGCATAGACAGAATCGGAATCTCATCCATCGGTTTTCAATATTCCTCTAGTTTACCATAAATTGATTCTATGCAAGCGTAGATGCAAACAACAGGATATCGCCAGCTCCATGTTAATCTCACTACTCTTCCGATTGGATTATCAATAAGATATAGTGTGCTGTTGAGCTATGGCTGACCAGTGATAAAGCCAAAACACTCATAAATGTTGGACCAACCATACAATTATGCATTTGTTTGTCAATTGCTGATGTTGGGGAGGGTATCAAATCGGAACAGATCAATTCGATCTTAATTTTATTGCCGGGGGTACTCCTTGCGCGTATGCATTACCAGCATCCTTCTTGTTTTTCTCTTGTTTCACTATGCAAATGCAGCCTATTCACTTCAAGCCCATAGATGGAGCCACAAGAAGCTGGATACGCATTGCTGCCTCAAAGCATGCATGGGTAGTCTTTGGACGGCACATGATCCCGCGCATACATACTTATACAGCAATAGCTGCAATACTATGCAGTTAAGAATTTCCAGCAAGGTTGACATACTAACTTTTAGTTGCAACACTAAAAGTTAGATCTTCTAAAAAAAGGCATATTCAAAAGAAGAAATATCAATATAAAGGGGAGCTCGAAAATACCGCGGGTGTGTACTATGTAGTAATCTCGACTGCATATAATATGTAGAGTCGCTAAATAACCACATGCATAGTGTCGATCCCTAATGATAAAGCATCGAATGCTGATCATTGCATATGACAATGCCATGCAGTATAATTTAGTGAGAAAGTCTGTTCATTCACGTAGTACTGCTTTTGATCTAATATCTCTCTGGCCAGCTCAGAAAGGGAATCCACTGGGGAAGAGTTGAAGGTAGTATTCAGCTCCTGTGTAGGTATAGTATAAGCGTATTCATGCATGTCCATCGAGAATCCTTGTGTAGCCCTTTCGTCTCGTAGCAACCCCTCAGCTGCTCCATCAACATTATATAGTAAGATGAGCCCTATGGCGCTCAGGTGGCGTTGCGATGCCTGATCAGAGAGACGAGAGTCATAGACTACTAGGGCGTGAGCTTCTCAAATCACTCTTTCGTGCGTTAGTGTATCAACGGATAGACAAGACTTAACTGAGCTTCCGCTTGTGCGCGGCGTCCACAATGTTCCCACAAAGCGACAAAGGGAGTATTGCGGAAACTAGGCGGTATTAGTAGTAGAACATCGCATGTCGAACCGTTTACCGAAATCGGTCGTTTAGCTGCTCTCCCAGCGTATCGAGGCAAGAGGCTTGCCTAGATGCTGGTCAAAACAGCTCCGAGATGAGGTGCAGGACATGACCACGAAGTAGGTATCACACTCGGCGCCAGCATGAGGTTTTAATTCATGCACACTCGGTGTATGTTATGTCCTGTTAATACCAATATAGGCTAACTGAAACAAGATATGTCGAGTTTGACCACATAACTGATTATTTGAGCAATCTAGAAACATCATCAATAGGCATAGGGATTGCGGGAATTAAAGTGTCCATTGGGTATCTATCATGTCGTAGGTAGATAGTTAGTTAGCGCAAGTTTCAGTCAGGTATGAAGAGTATTGTAGAGTCCGAGAATTCAAAGTGTGCTCCATCTGCCGTTTCTAGAACGCTGCTTGCGATTTTGCCACCTTGATGCTCGAAAGTTGTGTCTGGGGCCCTGGATCGATTAGCTATCTGGGCTTCCGTCGGCCCGTTGAGGATTCGACAGTAGGTCGGTTTAAGCAGTCAGTCCAGGATTGCTTTCATCGGCGATATCGATCCTAATAAAGTTGCCACTTCGAGATGCAATGCCATCTAGATAAAATGGGGCGTTCAAGCTAAGCGGAATGATTTGAGAGGAGCAGAAGGCATGGCCGCATTAATGACGATGAACGAAAACGACAAATAACGACTCGCACGTCGAAGAAGCCGTACGACGAGAAGACCGGCCGGCCTACCAGTACTATCCAATGCCAGCAGAAGTTCTAGTTATTATCAAATGGATATTCTGGGGGAGATATAGCTTACCTTCCAGTGCTTCTTTGGCTGGGATCCAACACCTCACTCCTAGGCGACGGCCGGCAACCAGGGATACCTTTGATGGTGAGACGTCTAACGGGTAACTAGCTAAGCTAGTTACCAACTTCGGCTCCAGCGTTAGACACAACCGTCGCCCTGCAGCTTCGTGGCATATCCAGCCGAAACCTCGTTTGGCTGACAAGCTTGTATTTGGAGTAAGCGGAGTGGCGATGGAAGGCCCCGAACTCAAAGTCTGATGGGGACACCAGAGCAGCCAGATGGGACGATGGATGCGAAACGCTCTCATCACTCTATAACACCGCTACATAAATCTAGTTAAAGCCTTGCTAGAAGAGGACTTAGCTGGATAGGGGGAAACCAAAGCTGACAAGTTACACCCTACATTGAAGAATCCAGATGCCAGCCTCGTGTTTGTAGCAAGGTCGATTATTTGGAGATAAATACTTAGTAACTAATACAATATTGGGTATTCACTCTAGCCATCTTCGCTACTCATCTCCATCCTCAGTCTCGCCATCAGAGTTGTAAGCGGTATAGATATAATCATCTTCCGAGTTTTCTGGGTAGTATTCGGGGGCAATTTCCATCTCATACTCCTCGTCATCACTCCCTAAATCTATTTCTTCCACAGAACGTGAAATTTCTGCAATTTCATTATCGTGGTTAGCCTCACTCGGTTTGAAGCAATGATCCAGCATGTCCGCTTTCATTTCATCTGGCAGAATGTCACCCAGCTCTTCAACAAGCCCTAGCACGACGCTTTCGCGTAAATACCTCTTACCAGTCCCCCAGACTGTCGACAGCCTCGGAATGTAAGGGTCTGGGGGCGCAGCGATGCCATCGCGTTTTCGCTCCTGATAATGTGATATCAAGGACACGATATAGTGGAAATATAGGTATCTAGCGCTTGGACGCGCTTCAGTAAGAAATATGAGTTTCTTCCCACAGAAAAACTCATCATAAGGACGGGGTTCACCGATAGGAACGGCCTTCCATTCCTGAGGATCGCTAGAGTTGGGGTCCTGGGGTACGATGGAGAACTTGTGAGCATCAAATCTTGACGCAAAAGGGCGTTGAACAAGTAAGCCGTTGCGTGCTGAGTTGATTTCACCGTTTGCATCTGGGCCAAAGATGTAGGTCATCGTGCTTTGTCCGTAGGACAAGGGGAATATACGGGCTGCCGAGAAGACTTCATGTATGATTAAGGTATTATGGAAGACATCCCAGTAATATTGTAGGTCTTCATTCTTTATGGTGCCATACGCCCTCTTTAGGTTTGAAAGAAAATTCCGTTCGTTGAAGCAAAACATTCTTATCTTCAGGAGTGTCAGAAGTTCCGCATACGCAACACGTACCATGGGGAGGTCGCCGGCTTTTGAAAAGGATCGGACGATGTTTCGTGCTCGTTGTCGATCTTGTTTTCTCTGCGCCGATTGCTGCCTGCGAGCTACTTCTTCTATATTAGATGGATACTCACGGTGAGATCCATCGTTAAGGTATGCCGCATTTGCTCTCTTTAATAGTAAAGTATAGACCTCTTGCTGGTAGTCTAACTTCATTTGAACGTAGTTCCAGTATACTTCCGTGTTATAGAGCTCACCGTTGCTCATCTTTAGAGCCTGCCTCAGCCATTTTTTGGCATATTTCAGCCGCTCACTTTCTTCTTCTGTGAGTCCGTAATCCATTATCTCGGGGGAAAGGGAAGAAAGCCTTGGGGTATATCTCAAGTATTGAATATTTGAAGGGATGAAGGAAAGCATATGGGAGGAAGAATGTTAATAAATAAGACGGGTGGATGACGTATTCAGTGAATGCCGAAAGGTCCGTGAATAAAGTGTGCCAAAGTTGGGTTTCCATGGGTTCATCACAGTCAAAGGGGGTAGCGGATATGGTAGTACCACGTCTTCATCATCCTTCTAGCCGTGGTACTATGGCTAGTTGGATCGCTCGAGTATGACAAGCATGACTATCTCCCTTGTTCCCAGTAGCAGATAACGTCCTCTGCGGAATCACCCCGACAGGTGTTTTTATTTGATACACGCCGGAAAGCCCGGTAAGTAGCGGTTTCAGCCATCTCATCAGAATCAGTCAGTTAATCCCAGGATTCTTCGGATTTTATTTCCATGCGCGTTGGCAGCTGGCTATTGCAAGAGAAAGGAAAATCGTCAGCGACGAAGAGACAAGCAGTCACAAGGGGCGTACCTTGATAGCTCTCCACAGCCTGTCCTTCCGGGCGCTAGTAACATAGTTACTCCGTAGATCCTTGTGGCGCTAGCTGGAGCTGCTGCTGCCTGCTTGGAGCTGAAGCTATCACCAGGTATGGAATGCTTTGTATATCATCTTCTCTTCCCGCGTATCTTTTATATCACAAAAAATACTCCATCTGCCACGAGCATATCACGAGTACATCCAAGTATCCAAGTATCAAACAGCCTCCTACAAGTCTTTACCCCGTACTTTTAGGGTCAAGGCGGAGGCAACGTGACCACGGCTAACCTTACATAAGCTCCACTTCGGGTGGGGATGGCATGTGACGTGATACGGATGAGTCAGCATGGGGATCTTACATCATCCGCGCCGAACTCAAGCTCAACTTCAACCTCCTCTTCTTCCTCGTCCTCTTCCTCTTCCTCTTCCTCTTTCTTCCCATCTTTCACTTTCACTCAACACCATCATCGGTGTTCTCCCATCTTCTGTAGTCCCCAAGTCTGCTGCTATCCCATCGCTCGAGCTCCTTATTCTTACCTCTCTTGCTTGACTTGCCCTGCTCGTCACAATGAAGGGCCTCCTCAGCCTCTCGGTGTTGCCAGTCCTGGCATACGCCTCTCCCATGATCGTTGACTCCATCCATCAAGATGCTGCTCCCATCCTCTCCTCTACCAACGCCAAAGACATCCCTGATTCATACATAGTCGTCTTCAAGAAGGGTGTCTCTTCCTCTTCGGCTCTAGCTCACCAGACCTGGGTCCAAGAGATTCACACCTCGACTGAGTCGAAGCGCCTGAAGAAACGCAACCAGTTCACATTCAAGAACGAAGCTTTTGATGGCTTGAAACACACGTTCGACATTGCCGGTGGTCTTCTCGGCTACTCTGGTCACTTTGATGAAGAGGTTATCGAGCAAGTCCGCAGACATCCTGACGTAAGCTTCACGCCTCAAGGCTGAGCTCCCAGCCACCCCATTCTTCTCTGTTTCTTAAGGCTTGCATACTGACTGAGTATAGGTTGAATACATTGAACGAGACTCTGAAGTCCGTGCCCTCGAATCTGTCACTGAGAACGGCGCTCCGTGGGGTCTAGCTCGTATCTCTCACCGTAAGAGGCTCAACTTCGGCACATTCAACAAGTACATATACGCTGCCCAAGGTGGTGAGGGTGTTGATGCCTATGTTATCGACACCGGTACCAACATCGAGCACGTTGACTTTGAAGGTCGTGCCAGCTGGGGCAAGACTATTCCTGAGAATGATGACGACATCGACGGTAACGGCCATGGAACTCACTGCTCCGGTACTATTGCTGGCAAGAAGTACGGTGTTGCCAAAAAGGCCCATGTCCATGCCGTCAAGGTCTTGAGGACCAGCGGTTCTGGTACTATGTCTGATGTCGTCAAGGGTGTTCAATGGGCCGCCGAAAGTCACCTGAAGCAGGTTGGCGAGACCAAGAAGGGTAACCGAAAGGGCTTCAAGGGAAGTGTTGCTAACATGAGTTTGGGTGGCGGCAAGTCCGTCACTTTGGACCGTGTTGTTGACCAGGCCGTTGCTGTTGGCATGCACTTCGCTGTTGCTGCCGGTAACGACAACGCTGATGCTTGCAACTACTCTCCAGCTGCCTCCCAGAACTCCATCACCGTCGGTGCCTCAACTCTCACCGATGAGCGTGCATACTTCTCCAACTATGGCAAATGCACTGACATCTTCGCCCCTGGCTTGAACATTCAGTCTACCTGGATTGGGAGCAAATACGCCGTGAACACCATATCCGGAACTTCCATGGCCTCTCCACATATCTGTGGTCTTTTGGCCTACTTCCTCTCCCTCCAGCCTGCCTCCGACTCCGCTTTCGCTGTTGCTGAGATCACCCCAGCTGAAATGAAGGAAAATATGATTTCCATCGCATCCAAGAATGCCCTCACTGACATCCCAGCTGACACCCCCAACGTAAGCATTCCCTCATACATTTCTTCCACTCAGGCCCACCTTACTAACATACCCGTCTATAGCTCCTCGCATGGAACGGCGGTGGCTCTGACAACTACAAGGAGATTGTTGGCGGCAAGGACAATGCCACTAAGGAACACATCTCCTCCACCCTCACCGAGAAGCTCGAGCAATTGGCCGAAGAGGGCCTCACTGCTATCTACAACGAACTCAAGGACGTCGTCGTTGCATAGACGCTCAGTATAGACCTACTCTATATAGACACGCTGCATCCGGCATACTACGCACCACAGCGTATCCGGAGCTAGACGTACGTGCGCTCCTCTTGGTTCCACTACCTGGAACGCGACATAGCACGAACACACGACTTTGACTAATGGCACGTTGAATATCCCAACCTTGGCGCAGATATTGTTTTGGTTATATGTTCTTTGGGTGTGATATTACTTTGTACTGCTTGTTTCCCTTCTTCCCTTCCTACGCTACGCCTGAGGAGACACGCCTCGTTCCACGTACAGTTTTGCATGTTTTATTATTACTTGCGCTGCATGATTCCATTCGTTCCAGGCTATTGTTTCGGTCATGTTACAGTTAGCTCTTCTCAGTCTCCTCCCGCCAGGCGTATAGATAGCTAGTCTTTGAATGTGCCGCTTTCAGTGGGGTTAATAACAAAGCCTTTAGAACAGCAATAGGCTAGACAATACAAGCTATACATCTACGCATACTCGGTGCAGCGTTTGTTTTTGGTAGCACGCGACTCGGGTTCAGCATGGGGCTATTAGTGTAACACCCCACATTCCATGAAGCAAGTTACGTATTATCTTTCTAGTTGACGCTGAAAACGTTGGTGGTCATACTTGGATTTCTTGGTTTGCGTTTGTTTGATCATATGAACACCCGAACTACTTTCCACGGCGATGTGGTCCACCGTAACTACCTGAATTACGTAGACCACTGAGCATATCCCTTCCGTTATCATTAGATGCAGATTGTTCAGACTCCTCTGAAATATGAGCCTCATACCCATCATCATGACCTTCATTATCATCGTCCTCTTCCTCGTCTTCCCCCTCGTCCTCATCAGTACTCGTGGAATTGTTCGAGTTACCTTTCCCATCAAGTATACTAGGTCGTTTCTTTCGTTCAAAGTCCTGAGCATGTGCAGTGGCTAACATGGTGCCTACCCGCGCTAATGTTCCGCTGGGAGGAGTACCATCCTCTCTCTGAGAGAAGCGTCGGCGACGAAGCGAACTGATGGGTGTGCCTACGCCATTTTCAAGATCGGGCGTATATGTTGCGGAACCGTTCGTTGCTATCCGCCCCAGGGCATGAGGAGGCGAGTATTTTGACTCGCCTCGGGTATATGTGGTGGGCGCTGGAGGGATGGTAGAAAGCCTTTCTTCATCAGATGCTGTGAGTGACATGTCATACGGGAGTGGAATATCTCTTGAAGCTCGGAACCTGCCGACGTTGGTGCAATGTTCATTCTCAACACGGAAAATGGTCCACATTCCTCTCCGACACACTTCGGAGAGTGCGACTGCAAAGCTTAGAACTGCTGAGTGTTGCATATCATGTATAAATACCGCGTATAAAATCCAGTTAAACCGGAGTATAGGGTCGACAATCATTGCGACATAGTACACCCACCGCCGCTGGAAGCCAAGGTAGTCGCGTAAATATGGGTTCTTGGAGTAAGGGTTGCATAAACTCCAGTCCATAGCTAAGTCCCAGACAGAAGCATAGATGGCGTTTAAGCAGGCAAATGTGATAAACATGCCGCGTAATGTTGTCGATTTGTCGATACGGTATAAACTAAGGGTTAGGTAGTAAAGGATAGAAAAGGAGTATTTGCCAAAATTGACAAGATGAGGAAAGGCGTTGCGAGTGTCATAGTATCGGCGAAGGCACTGGAAGCCACGCCATATTGAGGGTACTGTAGTCACAAAGCCAAATACACGAGAGTGCGAAGAATTGCACATTACTGGATTATCCCATCTATTTGCGTATAGACAGAAGAAGAGAGCAATATTCTATACGCCTTCTGTCAGCTAGGGGCCTTTAATTCGGGTATGTAAAAGTAATAATATCACTTACCCCCATAGCGTAGGTCTGGGAGCAGTACATGTCACCGAGAAAGAAATCACGAAATTCCACGGGATAAAGCCCTGCAAGGAGTAGCCGCCACTACAGCATTGTTAGCCGCTAGTTATAAGCAAAAAAGGGGGGAAACTCACATGAGAATATGCCCACCAAAGCCTGCTCCGGTAGTATAGAATACGCGCGGGTAGGAATAAGATAAAGACTGTTAACCCGATTAGGATAACTGGCCAATATATATATAGTGCATTTGTCCAGCGGAAGTTCAACCACATGGATAAGCCTAGGAAAAAGCTGAACAGGCATGGTATCTAAGTAGAAGAAAAATTAACCATCAGCGCAATAGCTATAACCGTATCCAGCATATTGACCTACCTCTGACAGTTGTCGCCAATCTAAGACATGGCGGGTATCATATTCGAAGACAAAAATATAGTTAATCTTTGACATGCTCCAGATCCTACAGTCCAAGCAAAATAAAAGGAAATGAACAAGAATAAGGAAGTATCCACCGTATATCTAGATGTCAAGGAATTAGATATCTACTTTTCACAGAGAAGTTGTCTTTTCGTCATACCTGTAGAAGATAGCTGGTTTCGGTCTTCTGGTTTAGATCATCTTCAAACAAATGTCTGATGGCATAGTAAAGGCCCTGGATAGCAAACACGAGGCCGGCAGCTAGCAATAGCCCATTCCGAAATGAGTTGGGGGAGTAATCCATAGAGCTCATCGCTTTACCACGCAGTTTATGAGTGGCAACTTTGCGGTTCCCTCGTTCAAAATACCGAGCATACAAGTCTTCAACTGCAACTAAGTGGTTTTCAACAATATCACTCTGGACGAACCATGCTTTATTAACCTTTTCGGTCATGTATCTCCCCGTAGGTCGAGCGTATGAAACCTTATCATACTTCTTATTTATTTTTCTGAAGGCCTTTCTGTTCAGATCAGCATATGATTTAAGTAGCTCTAGGCCACGGTAGAATTCCAGGAGCGCACGTTTTAGTTTCCTCTTTGCAGAACTATAAGGCACACCTTGGTATTCTCTGCGGGTTACAAAATCTCTCTGTTCATCAGCCATTGCCTGTGGTACAGGGCCTCTAGGTGTAGCTAGCTGTGTCATTGCCTTGGTAGTCTTCCCAATGTGGGAGCCTCCACCACGGGTCAGGGGCCTAGTCCAGTGGGTAGATGTTTGCCCGGCAGGGCCCTTTAAAACATTCGAACCCTCCTTAGTTTGTGGCATGGAATGGTTCTTCTTCGACCTGAGCTCTTCAATGCGTGAGTCCCGCATGACATGGAGTTGTTCTCTGAGCAATTGAAGCCTCTTTGTGGACTCATCTTCCTTTAACTTGTAAAATGTTTCGATCTTTGCGAGTTCCTTGTCCATGAAGGCAAAAAATTCTGTCTCTTTGGTTCTAAGCTCTGCCAAGGCTTGTTCCCGGGCGGGCATCTGGGTTTTAGATGGTTCATATTCCGGGCTGGACGAGAATATTCGGTGAATGAACGAAGGCCTCGGACCAGGCGGGCCAATTGTAGGCCTTCTATCTCTAATTTGCTTACGCAATGAACCACGCCCAGACTGTATATTTTGTCCAAACCGAGACTTCCTCTGCGTAGTTGTATTGGGTGCTGGAAGTTCCTCACTATACAAGGTGGACGACTCATTCCGAGGAGCGAAGTAGTTATCATCTTGATCAATTGCGGGATCAGGAAGCTGTAGCGACGAGGGGACTAAAGATGGCGAGACAGTATGGCTTGGCCTCGGTGGTACGATGCTACCATACCCTTCAGTTTGGTCGAACCTGGATGCTGGAGCTCGGAGGGGTGACCGTTCTGGCACGGCCGCGTTTATCAAATCACCTGCGTAACGCTGTGTTACGCTGCCGAGCCCGGCTATTTCATTCGATGTCAGCGTGAACTGGATGGAATCCCGATGCGTTGTATTACTTTGACTGAATCGTCGACGTCCTGGAGTCCATGACGCTTGCTCGACATGCCGAAGAGCCCTCGCAATGGCCTTGACTTTCTTCTTCCCACTCTATATATATCGTTTCAGCTAGTGATCAGCATTGTGTGGCATTGCTTGGCCTTCTAACTTGCCTTGTAGTTCAGATACTTCGCCTTCCATTCAGGAACTAGCTCCCGTTCAAGGTCTCTATGATGGGCAGTCAGTACATTATTCTTCTATTCAATGTATTTTTTTTTTTTTTTTTTTTTTATAAGAGTAGAATGCAACTGGGCTGTGACTTACTTTGCAAACTTCATTCTCTGGTGTGTATCTATATGAATTCATTGCAGGCTGCTGGCAATGGAGCTGCACACCAACAATATCTTCCATTGATCATTGCCAGGAAAGATTCCAAGTCTGCCTCGAAAACGTCGCCTGATATATAAATCTTTTCCATTCTTCCGCGGTCTCGAAGCCGACTTCGGTATAAACCCACGTGCGTGCTGAGTCATCCAAGCCAAAAGAAGCAATTTCAACCTCGTCCGCATCTTTTCTTTTACATCGACGAAGAGAACGACAGAAGAGAAGAGGCAGCAGAGCTAAGAAGAAGAAGAACAAAACGGATGGGACAGATGGCATTGGCTAGGACAGCAGATGCTCTACGGACGGGAAGGATGCGGATAAAGCGACTCTAGAGCTTCTGTTTGGACAGCGGGAAGGATGCGGGAGCAAGCATACGATATGTTACGTGGGATGACTACGTAGGATGACTGGCTTGCCAACAAACGCCTTTGTCCTCTCTCACAAAAGAGGGCGAATATCGTGGCGCTCGGGTTCCGCCAGAAGGAATCCTATCTCGCCATCGACGCTGAAACTGACAGCCGCTCCTCGTCTGCAGTCGACAATTGGCTGGGCCTTTTCTTGCTGGGAAAGAAACGGATTTCGTTTTTTGTTCCTGGACTACCGTGTTCTGTACGTTCAGGCTCTCTATTTGCCAGCATTCCACGAGTCGTGTGACTGCTCGCGTGCCAACCAGGATACGGCCCGTACAGATAGCAGCCAACACTTCCCTTGCAGCCACCACGCGAATAACAACACTATTTGTACGGGAAATGTAACCCTATCGTGCAGAATCTGATCCCGCCCCCTTTTCCACATTCTGTTATCGATGCCAGCATACTAGAGACGCCTCGTTCAAACCATATCGTTGCACCACATCTCAATTCTATTTTGGCCAATAGTAGCTGAATATAACCAGACACCTACTGTTTCACGGTACGATGGTGGGGTCAAGTGAAAGAAGATCATTTTCTTTCCCCAAGATTCTCATATCAAGCTGACATGAGAAAACACAACTCCACAACAAAAGGATCATTCGAGGGCCAGTAGGTGATCATGGCACTACAAATGGATATCTCTGACAACGTACGGGTTGTCTCCATAACTCTGTAACAAGACCCATTCTTGGACACGCCTTTTTTCTTCTCTCAACCGGAGTTCTATGAAGGACTACCTTCAGCAAGTACATATATTTCAAACCGGAACATCAATGCCGTACTTCTCGTAATCAAAATGTTCTAATGTTGGTATACTCTCAGCCCAGCCATCATCAATCTCTCCAAGCTGCCCTTCGGCTCCAACCTTGAACATTCCCGTCCTTCCAGCTAGCACATCCTTTTGTTTGTCCTGGTACTCGACAGCTACATCTGGATGCGGCACCCAAACAACCCTCATTCCAGCTCGTCTTCCGGCCTCGATTCCAGCCACACTATCCTCGAAAACTAAACATTCGCTAGGCAAAATGCACTTTTCGCCAGGCTCGATTGCCGAGTTCAACACCTGCAATGCGACTAAATAAATATCAGGTGCTGGTTTTCCCCGGCCCTTTGGCACCCGCGAATCATCACCTAGGATCCGCCTATCTGACTGGAAGAAGTTAAGCAGTCGTTTAGTTTCTGGTCTTGAAGTCTTTACTTCGTAGCTCTCCCGTTTCGCACTGGTTGCTAACGCCAGCTCAATTCGATCACCGGAAGAAGCACTATGGGCATGGCTAAGACAGTACAAAAGCTTTTCGGCACCCGGCATTGGCACGCAGTTCGAGAAATGTAGTCGCATTTGTTCCGCAGATTCACGCGTCCATTGCTCACGAGAGATGGGTAACTTGGCCCAGCTGTGGAACAAGTCGCCGTTTGTTGAATCTGGGATACCCATGAGCTGGGCCCGGATTGAACTGGTAAAAGGTGGCCTTCCATACTTTTCAAGTAGTAGGGTCGTAGATAGAGTGATCATGTCTTCTGAGTTGATGAGAAGTCCATCCATGTCGAAGATGCATGCTCGAATTGCGGGGAACCCTACGGTAGCCATGAGGGTTTGATCCACTAACGATAGTATAGTTAACTACTTTCTTGTCTAACTATAAGATCTCGAAGTGCGTGGTTAACGATCGAACTCGGAGTGTCGGAATAGTTAACTACAAACTATGGAAGGTAATTGTGGTTTCCGCTCTTATCCCCATTCACTTAAGTAGCTAGTTACCCTGCTAAAATAAATCACTACTAAATTACTAATCACGCATCGTCTCATTTTGATTCTCATCTAATAGGTATTCAAGGCATTACTCCTAACTATCTATATAGTAGTTAACTGTATCTGCTATTTCTCGAGTTACCTATTGACTAGCTGCAGACTAATTACATGACTTGTTATTGACTTTAGCACTCATTCGTAATCTGTCATGAAATTATCCTTGGAACGCACCTGAGCAGTTATTGGATCATGTGATCCGCTCTGATTACTAGTTATGTGAATGGATGATTTATCAACGAGCCCAGAAAGCAACAACCTCATCAAAGTCTTTCATTGTTAAGCTCTTCACATCTTGATCCTCCTTTGTGATTTCCTTCCTCAACCGGCAGGCAACCCTAAGAGCGACTGCAGCCTTTTGCGCCCTCCCTGTCGCCTCGGATATTTTGCCTTTGAGGAAAGTAGTGCGAGCTATCTCATTCTTGTGCGCACTCGGATCAATAGACCAGATGTCCAGTGCTGCATTAACCATAGTACTAAGAGAAGTCAGGAACATCTAACTCCTTTAGTAGAAGATGAGAGCACTTACATAGCCTCCTCATTCCGACCTAGGCGGACAAGGTGTTCGGCAAGCTTGTGTGTGATATTTGCAGTGTAGAAATCTCTCTCTCCCACTGTCGCGTGCATATGACGAAATGCTCTCTGGTGATATTCAAAACTCGCGTCCCATTGGTTTTGCGTTGCACGGAGATTTCCAAGGGCATAAAGAATCAGTCCCGTTCGGACGGATTCTCTATCGTCCTTACCCAACGCTTTTTCTCTGCCTGCCAAGCTGTCTAGAAGGACGGTGTTACACTCCTCAAGCTTACCTTGAGCAAGAAGAGCCCAGCTCAGATTAGCCTCCCCTGAGCGTGGAATATAGTTGCCGAGGGCTTTGCGCACCCTTAATGCCTCTTTGATATCCACTTCACCCTCCTCATACCGCTTGTCCTGAGTTCGTGAGATACCTCGCTCCGCATAGGCAAGGTATAATCTCTCATCAGAAGTGCCCAATTCTCTGCAGATTCTGCACACTAAATCGAGAGAAATCTCCTTGTGAATCCGGCTGGCATCAAAATCACTCGAGTCCATGGCGATAGCTCCTAGGCAGAAGTGGATGTCTGCAAGAAGAGAATCACGATCCGCATGCGTTGAGGACTCGCAAATACTACGGGCGGTTGTGAAGAAACCGTCAAATTGCTTTGTTCTTCCACGCTCTTTTTGATACCTAGTAACGTTAAATTAAATCTAAGGTTTAGAGGTTGTATACCATATACGTACCATGCGGCATCATTCAATAACTTCGCAAAAAGCAAACTTGTGGCCTCTGAAGGATCCGAAATAGACGGCCAGAGTTGATGTATTCTCAAAACATGGGGATATATGGCTGCACAGGCAGGCCACCTTCCAACATATAATCTGCCGTCCGTTGATTTGGGCTGGGGTAACTCTGGCGCTTTTGATGGTTTAGGCATAGCAGAGGGCCAGTTCGCCCAAAGTATTCGTACGACTTTATCGAACATCAACCGCTTTTTTGCCATATCCATTGTTGCCAATATTACATCCTGTACTATTCGATGGACTGATAATTGTTGCTTTTGCTTATCTCTTTGAATTAGAGATGACTGCAAAAGTTCGGTACGAGCTTCGATAAAGCTACTCTTCCTAAACTGTGTACCCTTGGAAATGGCTTCCATCGACGCTTCCATGAGAAGGTCTTCTCCAATGATATCTGGATCGAGGAATGAAATCAACTCTAACAGCTGTCGAGCTTGAGAGTTCAGTTTCTCGAATGCCCACACTGTAGATAAAGAGTGCTTGTATGTAGCCATGTTTGCATCAAACTTTATCTCATAAAGGCTACTCTGTTCTTCATGATCTGTATATAATTCGAAAAACTCAGATAAAGTGAGATCCTGTCGACGGATTATACCCGCCATTTGGGAGATAGCTAGGGGGACACCACCCAATGCATCAGAGATTTGTTTTGCTGTACCATCTTCTGACTCACCCGCGGTAGTAGTTAGATGGTTGAAGAGGCATAGGCTGTCTTTCTGAGAAAGTGGCCCTAGATCTAATCCCGAAGGTCTTCGCGTGAACATATTTTTTGCTAGTGGATCACGACTAGTAACAAGAATCGACCCACTACCCTGGGGCCAGTAGTCTGTAAGGGTCATTGGGTCGTCCGCATTATCAAATATGAGTAGCCATATAGCTTCCGGTCTAGATTGATCTGGCTGGGCTATTTCGTCAGAACCTGATAAGCACTTTTGGGGATTAGAGAGCCATCCTTTGACAATTTCCCTACTAACAACCTGACTCTTGCAATCTGACGAGTCTTCAAGCCCCAGCGCTAATGAAATCTGCTGATAGTGGTGGTCAAGTTTGGCAATCTCATCCGCTACGACCCAGAATACTGCATCAAAGGAGGACTTGTGGCGTCGGCAGAATTCGCGAGCTATTTCCGTTTTCCCAATACCTCCGAATCCACAAAGTGCAAATTGCCGTAGAGCAGTACCAGATTGTATCACTATATTCTTTGAAGGCAAGAGCTCGGCAGCAAGCTGTTCCAATATATCTTCGCGGCCGCAGAAATCTTCATTTTCAGAATGGGCGTTAAGGAGGAAGCATGGTAAGTTAAGGGGTTTCCGAATCTCAGTTTTTGATGTAGCAGGATATACAAACTCGAACCCTGAAAGGGATGTTCCGTTTGTTGTTTTATTTGAAGGCCATTCGGTGAGTTCCATTTGTTCAACTAGTTGATGGGTATTAGCATGCCGACAATGTGGTGTACACGACAAAGATAATGACCCTAGTTACCCTTAAGTGGTAATTCACTCATTGTGGGAGAATAAGCACTCATTGTTGCATGTTGGTACTCCTCTAGAGCCATTAGCACCATTCTATACTTTTATTTCTGACACCCTCATGGTTAAACCTACGGTCCTCAAGCCGAAGTGCAACAAGATGCACTGCACCCTGCAACGTTTTATGTATGAACTTGTTGAACTCCGTTAGCCCTTCACCGCCCATGCTTTTGGTGAAAAGACATGTGTCGTGATGATTGAGGTTGAGGCCGATGACGGTTTCCATTGGGGCATGTGTGGAACAAGCGTCTCGGGAGACTAGCTATAATTCGAATTAATATCAATTTTGTGTAGCATCGATAAGTACCTAAACACTTAACTACTTGATGGTGTTTCTGGCGCAACGGTGTTATGCTGCTTTTTGATTCCCTCAGCTCATACACAGACAACACAGGAGCACGGAATGATATTCCCTCAAATCTGTCCGCAAGGTTGAGTAGGATAGCGTCTTCTTGCTCAGTACCTGAGCTGTGTACTTTCAGGCTCCTACCCGCCGTTGCCTCTAAGATGTCTTGAAAACGTATTAAATTCGTGGCTCTATCACTATATCTATGTGGAGTGCCTAAGAAAATGACACCGGCAATAGTATTGACAATGGATCCATATCGAAGGAACTGTTTGTTTGCGACGCACAACGCTTGCTTTACGATAATACCACCTAAGCTGTGGCAAACTATCAACATTGGCTTGTTGAGGAGATGTTAGTTAAGACGGCTTGCTATTCAAAGTCAAAGAAATTAATTATAAACCTCCACCTACCGAGTCCGGGCTATTCTTCGAGCGCAGGTCACTTATATGTTGCAGAAGATCATATCCTTGCATCAAAAATGATTCCCATGGAGGCTTATTGCCTAATAATAGTGAATTATATTCATATGCGAGGATGCGTATTCCAGCGCCGGAGCCAGGTAATGTTGTGAGCCATTCTTGGCTAGCAAATGGCCATTGCTCAGGAAGAGTAGTTCCAATACCAGGAACAAGGACAATGCTAAGTTATACGTAAGTAGTAAGAAGCTGAAATTGAGTATGCTCATGTCTTTATGCACTTACTCGACGCTACCCTGTGAAGTATCAACAGGATTCAGTAGTACGTGTAGGTGGCCGGTGGTTGCAACAGTTGCTGGTATAGCCATATCTGCCGTCCACTAGTTACAGGAAGGCGAGGCACTCCAGAATGGGATTGGAATGAAGCTGGATAGGCAAATTCCTGATGAAAATATATAATGTGGTTGAAGCCATCAAATCTTGAACCGGGGAGTGCGGGGCACCTTGCATACATAGCCGTGAAAAGCTACTTTTAAAGTAGGACACACACACAAAGGTGTAGGATACGCATATATCTGCAGTATACGTGGCAAGGCCAGCATGCTGTAAAGCTATGATAGCCGTAAGTTAGTTACATAACTTAAAATTCAAAGAGCTTTCGTGCATCATCTAGCAACGTCAGATTCTATGCGTCTAGCTAGAGGTAATGATTTGAGAGATTATGTTCAAAAGCAGCTATAAGATCAGCCGCGTCGCTTCGTATATCCATAGTCCCCTATTCTACTCAAGTTGTTATCCAACTAGTTGGATTCCGCACCTACTATGTAACCGCACAGCTTCACACAACATGACTTTGGTCCTTTTCACTAGCAGTAGCCCCAGTGGCTAACTCTCTAATATGGCGACAGCGTTTCCATAAACTCCTCCGAATATTCTTTAGAGTCCGGAAATCCCAAAGGTAAAATGTGTAGGCCAGTAAAGTTATTGGAATGCACAAGACGAAAAACCACCAAAATTTCACAGCCTTCTGTCCAAGGAGATCAATATTCATACCTAAAAGGCTGGATGTAAATGAAAGGGGGATGAAGAGAGTAGCAAGCAGAGTTAACTTCTTTAGCCGCTCAGACTGCTCAATAGCTTTGTGGGACTCTTCGATCGCGGCCTTGTTCATCGCCAGGGTTATACCCCGGGTGCATGTTTTTGACAAGTCAATGCAACGATCATAAAGCTGTTCGTAATCTTCCAAGAGACTTCTTGGTCTAAATGCATTATCTGAGCTGCTGGGTTCAATAGTTCTGGCTCCATCAGTCCTCAAACTCTGCCGGTGTGAGTTCTGGCCAAGACTGGGAGGTGTAACGCCCTGGAACATTAGATTGTCTGCTTTTAGCACTTGGCTACTTCTCTCAGCTAACTTATGAAGTGCGCGAATACTATCTTTTAGTTGTTCGGCGTGTCGGTTGAGGATTTCAGAAAAGAACTGGAGTGTGCCCAGAACATCAGCCGGGATCCCACCAGCTATAGCGTTTATTTGAATCTGAATGCTTGACTCCATGAGATTCAGGAACTGAACTTCGGAGAAGGCAGCGTGCGTAAACAGCGGAATACACATGAAAAGTGGATCGTTGCGAGCTCGACGAGCCAGGTCAACAAGAGCGAGCAGAGAGTCGTATTGAAGGGGAAGGACTGCGGTGCTTTGTACAACTTCTGCCGAAGCATTTGCCCCGGGGTCTAAGCGATTAGTAGTTGTTCGAAATGCCATCTTCGGGTGATGTTGGAGGATTGGCAGAGGAGTAGCTTGGGCGCTAAAGTGACTTGTCCATGGCCCTGGAGGGGATTGCTCTAATGGTCTACCTTGGTCCATCCATGCTACAACTAGAAGCCTGAGTTAGTTACGCTTCTATAATTGTATACCACGTAGCCCTTACCAGTCCACCCTTTGTCAGTTTTCACAATACATAGAGAGATCCATTGTTCGATAACTGAGAAGCTCGAACACACAGTAGAGTATTCACGCACTAGGGAGTCCCCGCAGCAGATTCTAGTTGACCCAAGTTGCCGTAGCTTGTAGTTTCTGAGCCCAGTAGATTGCTCTGACCGCTGAGACTGGAGGTCTTGTCCGCCGAAATCCTCCCGATGAAGAATTGTGCTCACACAAAGCCGAAATATGTTATTTGAGGAACTGGCAAGGGATGGGAAGCTGAATGAATGTCTGAGTACACTGGCAGAAAGGAAATCCATATGCCGCCTGAAAAACTCTGGATCGATGTTGTATTTGCTTCCAATGGCTGCCACCCAAGACGGCGATATGAAGCCCCGTATGAAGATTATTTGTCCTAGAGCCTCTTCATTTCTAACGGAGGTACTAGTAGAAAACGTTTCATGCTGCTCCTGGCTGTACTGTTTAATACCCCATCTCTTCTCTCCACTACTGTATATCACAACTAGATCATGGGGCTGCTCGGACTTGGATGCAAAAAGAGAAATATCTTCCTCTGATTTTGCCGAGTTGGGAAGCTTACGGTCCTGTAGCATCCATTCTCCGATGTCGACATAATTGTTTCCCGGGAAGGCGGATGTGCTGGCATACCTCCTTGAGAGCGAGATAATGGCTCTAGTATAATTCTCGGGTGTGACTACCATGACAAAGGTTAACATTATAGATCATAGATAAAAAGTGCGACGAGAACTTACTTGAGGCCTTTTTCGTTTCCATATTCCACTCTATGTCACTAATGGTGTTCTGGTAGCATGAATACTAGAGTAATGTGTTAAATAGGCGAACTTGGTTATTCAGCGAGCTATTCACCAGCTAATTTGAGTAATAGTCGTCTAGTATATATGATCATGACATCGATCCTATTCATATATGTAGGGAATCAATAACAGCTGATCAGTTTACCACCTATACATAAAACCTTTACACGAATAGACTAGAGGGACAACAGGGCTCAATGCCCAATGGGAGCCCTTGGACATTTTGGACATCTCCACGGCTGGTGTGTGACCTTCCAACGGGGCCTTGAGGCAAGCTCTGTCCAGTAGGGGCGGGTCGTCCCGGGCCGTGACAAAACGGATCAACTATAATCCGACTAATCATCTGAGGTCGGGCTCCACATCCCACCCCAAATATCCACTTTGTATTCAACCAGCCAATGAAAATCTGTATAAACTATGCCGGGCTAAACATACTTTCTGTAAATTAAATCACATAACTCTTCGTACATATACATAGTATACACGCAAGCCCCAGCGGTGAGGAATTGGACAGGCGATTAAAGCACACAACCTCCATTCTACCAGTCAGCGCTCGTAATCGCCGACGCCAATATTTAGTTATCATGTACTCCGTACTCCATAACTCATTCAAACTAATGTTGTAAAACGTCCTCGAACCAATCCAACGCAACCTGATTCGCCAACACATTTGCACCAACGGAGCAGTGCTCTCCTGCGCCATCGGCGGTGCCGAATTCATGATAGGTAGCAAGCTTGTCGCCAATCTTGTCAGCCAATGCTTTTGCCTGGCGAGGGAAGAATTGATCATTTTGTGCACTTCCCACAAACACGGGCACTGTGATGTTCTGTATAAAGCCGTCCATATTGTACGCTTGAGTTTTTGAAAGCCATTCAAACGGGGATTCAGTATTGAATGACCATAAGCCTTGCTGAACACCCCAGCGAGTAAACGATGGGGTCGAGGGGTCTGCCGTAATTTTTTCCAAAATAGAGTCGAAGAGCTTTTTGTTGCCAGATTTAAAGACTTCCCTTAGCTCTGGAGGAAAGGGCTCTAGCATTGACTGGCCAAAGTCGTAGATTCCGTCCAGGGCGAGTACAGCTGCGATACGGTGCTCAAGTGCTGCAGCACGCGGTGCCAGAAAACCGCCAAATGAATAGCCCATGAGACCAATGGAATTTGCGCGGACTTCAGGACGGGTGAGGGCATAATCAACTACGGGCGTCACAACTTTCTCCCACTGCGGGATAAAACCGAGTTTCTGTTCTCGGCGCACTGTCGGTTGGCCTGGCCCCTCATAGGTGATAACGTTGATTCCTCGCTCTAGGGCGGCTTTGCCCAACACATGGTACATCTCCTCTTGCGAACCGTCATAGCCGTTTCCCATGATGATTGTTGGCCGGGGACCCGGCATGCCACACCCGAAAAATATTATAGGAATTGTGAAGTTGGAATTAGAGTCTTCGCCTTTGGCATGCAAGGTAACTCTCTGCCCGGGAACGGGAAGCAACGATATTGCTGCATTGAATGCTGCGAGATGTTGATCCCAGAGGGAATAAACCCGTGGATCGGTCCAGTTGCCTCGCAAGAAGAAGTCTGCGGATCGGTAATAAGTTGCTGCCTTGAAGAAGGTGTTGCGCGCAGATATGGGATGATCGATAGCGTTTATAGCTTTGGCCTGCTGGTGAACGCGGGTAGCAAGCTTGTTGAAAGCAGCATGGTAACTTTCAAAGTCTCTAGGCTTTATTTCATTCGCAGCAATCAAAACTTCATTGACATCAGCACCTTCATACGGTGCAATGGATAGATCGCGCAGCAGTTCGTAGTTAAACGTCTCGTCCGAGCTAAGTTGGATTGCTGAGATTGACGAATTGGCTCTCTTGTATATACTCACAGGAGAGGCCTATAAGTAACAGTTAGCAGGGAGTAAACGAATATTTAACAGTCATCACGAGTCTTACTTTGGTGAGACTAATAACACTGAGAATAAGGGGAAATCTTGACAGCTTCATTATGGCTGGGGTATATAGTTGAGTAGGTTGATTGTGACTTTATTCAAGCTAAGAATCATGAACGGTTGATGCTCAATGTGTGTTAAATGATGTCTACTTAGAGAGGTTGACCTCCCTTTTATAGACATCTTGGACAGGAGAGCATGCTCCATGATTTCACTGACTTCACCGAATTAGTATATATTGCGAAAGGATTGTGGATTGTAGTCAAACATAAGGTGGTGCGGCTCAGCCTTCGTTCCCCCTTTGGTTTAAACGGCTGTAGGATTCAGAAGGAATAAAGACGCGCTAAGTAGCCCAAATAACTACATAGTAGTGTTATTAGTGCTATATTTATGGCAATACACAGTTCAATTATGGAGCTCGGTACGTCAACTTCCTAACCACCGCCCGCTGCCTCTAAGATGTCTCACTACCGCATCTATGTGGAATGTATACTATTCGGCATTTTTCGGCTGCCAGCCCCTGTCATTTAAGCTCAAGGTTGAATGTATTATGAGGGCCCTCAATAAATCAGGGCCGGTAACCACCACAGTATGGAAATAAGCCTTCAGCTAATGAAATTACTGGCTGCTGTCATATATTGTCCGTGTTGGCGAGTCACCAACATACAAGTCGATATGTGGGTTATATGGACTGATGACCAGGTGAATATTCATCCATAATAATATCTGGCGGTGCTTATACTGCTTTCCCTGCCACGTAACCTGTTAGTACACAATTTAAGGACAGTCTGCCCATTCGTTGAACGAGTCCCCTTTTATTAAAACTGATAAGGCGAGCTTCCTGAAATAGCCATGAAAATCTTAGGGCAACTGTATCTTCTGACTGGCTCTGGGTTATTAATATTTATATTGGCAAGTTTGTATCGCTTACTGACTGAGTAAGAAAATGGCTGGTAAACAATCGTAGAATGTGACAATTTCAACGAATTCTTCCATCGTCGACTCTCTACACCTCGGCCATACGTACTTCCTTGGATAATGGCTGCAGATCACCGAGTATGACAGGTTACGATTATAGTGATTACTCCCAATAATGGCGACGATTTTTCCATCCTTCACTAACACGTTGTTAGGGCACAAGTCCGCATGACAATATTTGGTAGTATACGAGCTTGAGCGCTTATGGACAAGCGAAACAGCCTCGTCCCAGAATTTAAGTGGTTCTCCGCGACGAACATAGTTATGGAAGTCGGAGATGCTGTCAAAGGGCCCAAAACGACAATGACCAAGCCGGTGATCGTAGCCAGCACACATCTTTGTTGACCCAACTGCTCCTTCTTTGGGTGGAATCAGGCCTCGTAGCTGTTCGATATATACAGTAAACTCTTTAACTATACTCTGCCTCTGCTCTTCGTTTAAGCTCGGCCGGGCGCAATCTAATGTTTGACTCCATAACCAGATGTTGGCCATCTCCATAGTCATATACCTCCGTGACACGGGGGATAGGAATTGTAGTGTGCCGCCGGACGTATTGCATAGCCTCAAGTTCGGTAGAGTGACATTCATATTTAATGACTCGATGAGTGGGGAGGCGAAAAACCTTTGGTGAGCATGTCTCTCCTCGATTCTTGTAGATAAGGCTTCCCAGCCGATGCCTTAAATTGAGCCATAATGGTGGCTTTGAAGATATGACCTTAAAAAAGCGAGGCTTTGGCATTGGCGTATTCCGTATGCCTTGTTATTTAAAGATAGCTTGCGAAGAGCAGGGAAATGCTACGTAAGCGTACGTTTTTGTTCAGCCCATCCACTTTGTCGAAGTAAGTCAGCACAAAGACATGATCCTTATTGCTCACTGTAGAGTATTTTTTGTAAGTTGCTTGCACAAGGCAACCCCGCCTTACGAGGCGGAAAGAATAGTCTTAAAATTAGGGCCAAAATGTGATAAGTGGGAAGTTGAGATATTTAAGTTTGCTTACAAAGCGTAAAGAGCCAATTAGAGTTAAGCAATCCGCAGAGCCTCACCTAACTTAATCCTTCAACTCGTTTAACGAAAGCGGAACGAGGAAGCCCTTGTTTGGACTTCAAACATGCTTACATAGTAGAATCATGCAGACGGCATGGCGCAGATGCCCATATCATTTGTCAACGAAGAGCACCAGAGCCCTGGTCGCCCGGCTCGGAAAGGGGTGAAGCAGTTCCACAGAAAATCCCGTGTTGGGTGTCAAAGATGCAGAACAAAGAGGTCAAGGCAAGTATTATCCTGCCAGTGTATACGATACAGTACTGACAGGTAACAAAGTGTGATGAGACTAAACCAGTGTGTCACAACTGCGAGCGTGTCGACGAACCCTGTATCTACGACCGTCTTCCTAAAGATGAACCGAAAGAGTTCAACGAGCCCGCAGAGACAAGGGCTCGACGGATGCTGGAGCTTGAGCTGATGCATCTTTACATCACCGAAACTGGCCCATCAATTGCCTTTGATAGAGAAACATCCTTTGACATATTTGTCAAGTCCATTCCTCGTATGGCATTTCAATCAGATGCCCTGCTATACGGTATCTACGCTGTAACTGCTCTCCACCAGGCAAAGGCGTCCTTGTCTCCGTCCGCTATGCTAGATCATCACCAGCGTTATCTGCAGCTTGCATTCCAGCATCACCACAAAGAACTAGCCTCCTTCTCAGGTGAGAAAGCCGATGTTACCATGCTGACTACTCACCTCATGCGGCTTATGGCCTCTGTGATGCTCTCCGAACGAAGTCTGGAACCTTATACGCCTCCCATTGAGTGGCTGCAGATAACGAATAGTAATGCCAAAATGTTCCGAGCGGCCTGGGAGGTTGTTGGAGACGACCCTTCGACTTGCATGGCCAAGTTAGTGAAGTCAACCCTGGCATGGGACCAGCGTGAATCTGTCAAGGATCTTCAGCACCTTCTACTCGCCCGAACAGAGGAAGAAGACGATAAGGATGATCCAGGCTGCTGGACCACCGATATACGAAAGGCCTACGAGTCAACACTGGGCTATATCGAAGGTGTACTGCAGGCAATTCAAAGCCGTGATGGGCCACCTGGTCCCATTAGGCGGCGAATCATGGTTTTCCCCTTACTCGTGAATTCACTCTTTATCGACCTCGTAGCCAAGGGCCGACCACGAGCCTTGGTTATCCTGGCTCACTATTTTGCTCTTGTTGTGTTTCTGGAGTCTTACTGGTTTATTGGCAACACTGGTTCACGGGAGGTCAGGGCTATAGCTGCACACTTACCAACTCGGTGGCAGGGCCTAATGGAGTTGCCGCTTCGTATAATCAACAGTGGATTTCCCTACAAAGCATGATGAAGGCTTCAGGTATTCATTCTCGAATATATCTTTGCTCCTAAGGTTTTGGCCGGGCTTTTCGGTCTTGGTAAACGCAACATTTAACCTACCAAACTCTATTCTGTAGTTAACCAACTAGCTAGGGGATATAAATATTAAATCCAACATAGCTAAACAACATCCATTCCAATATATAACTAGCTACAGTTATCCTACTGCCAGGATCAAAATGCCTCCTGTCCCGAAACAGGCTGACTTCCCTTCCTCTCTAACCGTCACCATCACCCCGCCAGACACCCTGCGATCAACAAACATCCTCATCCTCCTCCACGGTCTAGGCGACACTCCAGCACCTTTTGCCAACTTTGCATCAGGACTTCACCTGCCCGAGACCAGCTGTATAACCGTTCAGGCGCCTGTCCCACTGCCCTTTGACCTCCCTGGCTTCCATTGGGGTGATGACATCGTGTTCGAAGCAGACTTGCTAGACCCAGATCCTGGTTTTAGTCGGGCAACCCGCCTGATAGTTACAGATCTCATACGGTCGACACTGATAGATAAACTAGGATACAAGGCTCGTGAAATTTTATTATTCGGGTTCGCACAGGGTGCGAGTGCTGCGTTGAGCGCGGCACTGGAGTTTCATCGATCAGAAAGTGGCCAGGGAGAGCTCGGCGGTATCATTGCTGTTGGCGGAGTGTTGCCTCTTTCAGCTATCAACGGGCGGGGGGGTGGACGGAACAAATCACCTAGTCCGGTGTTGGTGTTGGGCGGTCATGGTGCACACAGTGCTGTATCCGACATAGGCGCTCGCCGGACGAAGGAAGAGTTTGAATACGTGGAAATTGTCCGCTGGAGGGGGAAGAAGGAAGATACTATGCCCCGAAATAGGGAGGAGATGATGCCCATAATGCAGTTCTTTGCTAGACGGCTACGTAGCACCAGTGGAGTCCCTGAAGGAAGCGTGGAGCTTACTCAGATATAAGGATGTAGTGATGTCTATAAAAGTTGGCATTGCAAGGGGAAATATTCTACATATAAGAAAAAAAACCCTTTTTATCTATAATACATTTGATAAGGCTTGTTTGGCCGTCCGGATGCTGTCTTTAGCTTCCTTTTCTATAGGCGGCATCGCCGGTCTATTTCCATCACGTACTACCAATCTCATGGAATCTTCCGTGTGCCTCAGAGCCTTTCGGCCTTCCTCACGGATCTCTATTTCCCAGGTCTTGCGAGCTAGGTCCCATTTCTTCTGTTGCCTCCAAAGAGAGTATATTAAGCCCACTGCAGCAAAGGTTCCAGCCTCGCTAAGGGAAGTGGTGGTTGTGGAGATGTAAGTTAGAGCGGATAGAGCTGACGTTAACCCAGTCGTCGACATGCTGAACGTGACTAGACTCTGTGCAAGAGAATGCAGCGGCATGATGGAAGATGATATGAGGCTATTTCGACCTTCCGTTATCTGTGTCTTCCACGGTGTGAAACCAGGCGTGCTTGGAAACTGATCGGGCAAATGTCCCTCTGTAGCCGGAGGATATTTCCCATTATCCGAAGCAGAGTCATCTTCTAACAATCGGGCTTGTTGGAATCGTCCACCGATCCACAGAGCTTCTTTCTCCGCCTGTACAAGCCACTGTTTTCGCAGCAGGTTAGAGCATATCATCGGCACATCATCAACTCTCCAGAACAATTTCCACCACACCAGACTCCGCCAGCTTCTGCATCTGAAAGCTTCATCTAAAGAGCTCTGGAGCTCGCCGTGGGCTCTCTCTGCCCATTCCGATATTGTTACATCTAACGAGTTCCGTACCTCTTCGGGTACAGAGCTCGCTTGCATATCAGCCAGTTTCTTTTTCTCTTGCTGCTCAATTTTCGTATCTGCTTCCTTCAGTACGGAGTCAAGCAAATTTCGCAGGTCAGGAGATACAGCTTGATCCGTAGAACCCGCTGAGAGCCAATCAATAATTGGTTGAATTCCACTTCTGTCCCATCCTTCCTGGTAATCCGTCGCATTTTGCGCTGATTGGCGGAACTTATCCAATGCCACTTCAGCACAGTCGATATCAACAAAAGAAACCTCTCCTTCGCTCTTCTCAGGTGCTTTATTCAATCCAAGCTGAAATACGGCCCTGGTTGAGCCTAGCTCTCCCTCTTTTGATTTACCAGCTAATCTGCCATACGCAAACAGGCCATCAATCCCATCACCACATATTATAGACCTGTGCACAGGGTATCGGATGTGTGTGTCAGGGGTGCCATCCGTGGATGGAATGGCAATGGTTGCTGCCTGTAGAGAGGCCGCAAAAGATTCGCTTGACGAGGCTATATTCGTACCCAGAGGTGATACCAGGATTTCGAGGTTCGCTTTGTGTAGTAGGCTGGATGATATTAAGATTGTTGGCAGCAGGTTATTTGCAGATGAAACTTCAAACTTATCCCCATATCTATAGAGCACCAGTCAATTAGCTTCACCTCACACATATCAGGAGGAGAGAAGAATTAACCTTATAAGAAAACTGCCAGATTCACTGTTACTGCGGGAGTCGAGCAAGGTTTCCCAATCTTCCTTCGGACCCAGCGGGTCAGCAAGTAGTAATCGTACAAGTTTTGCGGCAGTCTTAGTACCACCCAGCCCGAGAACTATCAGGAGTAGGAGTCAGTACAGAATAGACGATTTTCTATAGCGATCAGTATAACTGACTCCTCACTCACCCGCAATCCGTATCATTGGGTTCTCGCTCTCTATCCCCCTCTGCGCCAATTGCAGCCTGCTCGAATCAACATAGCTTGCAGATGTATTTTTAAGCTCCTCCAAGGCCTTATAAAGATCTTGGAACCTCTCGGGTATATTCTTCGTGGCACTGACTATCGATGCGCCGGGAAAAGTCGAGGCGTAGCGCTTGCGTATGGATTTCGGCGAGGAAACTGGTTTAATACAGAATCGGCGTATCTGCGAACATGATGGACAGAAGAATAACCGGCCGGTTATGAACGGAGTCCCCTTGAGGAGGGAGACATGAGATTTGGCGGGCATTGGGGTTGATGCGCGCAAGGAGCGGTTGGTTGTTTTCTTCCTTGGTTTTGATATGTTGCTTCGTTATAATATTATCCAAGCAAATACAGAAGCTGTGTAATATTACTGATGACTAAACGTTTTCAGCACCAAAACTAAGGGTCTTGGCGACATATATGTAATATATTGTGTAATATCAGTGTAAAGCTCATAAACTCCTGCATTTTATAGATTATATTCGTCTTCTCGGTGATTATAGTTACTGTAAACTGCTTTAAAAACTCTTTGAGACAGCTTTTGAATTCAATAGATAGCAGGTAGTTGGTACTACTGGGCGTTAGAATCCATCAGGACTAATTTCACTTAAACTGTTCCTTGAGAACTGCTCAATGGGCTTAATTTATAGATTGGCCACCGGCGAATGTGATCTACAGCAGTGTTTTCTTAGCATGTTATCCAGCAACGCTATACCCATACTGTTATTGACAAGATCGATTATTTAAGCTAAAGGAATGAGTGAGCCACCTTGTTATTCCACAAGCTTGTATCTTGTATTAGAGTAAGGAAACACAAAACCAAACCAGTCATTTATTCCTCATTGCAAAAAGATATTACTATTCGTGTTTTTAGTCTCTTGCTTTCTTTCACACTTCTACCCGGCATAGCAAGGATCAGAGAAGCGGTTAGCGGCAGGCACTAGGGAGCCGGGGTTAAGCTAGGCAATGGTATTATCAAATCCTTCTTGTTCGTGAGAAAATATTCAAGATTCATACAGGATATGCAACTCATGCATTTCTCCTAGTGGAATTTAAAGGGTCTTGGTATCATCACCGGGGAGTCATTCAATCAATTCAACAAAAGAAAAGAAGTAAAAGAAGCAAAAAGGACTCAGGTTTTCCGGGGGTCTGGGGTAGTAGACAAATAGCATGTGAATTCTGGGCGTGATACTGATGCGGCAGGGATGTCAGTGGATGGGATGAGATAAGAATAACATATCAAGATGATGTTTCCCGTTTGCGAGGTCTGCCAGATCCAGACGACCTAGAGGAAGAGAAATTAGCCTGGCTCGGTCTGGTTGATTATAGAAAACGAAGCGGTGAAACTTACATGCTAATTCTCCGGGCTACGTTAGTCAGATGCGTATCGTTCGCCGCCTCATGCGCGGCGCGTTCCAAGGCCTGCCTTCGATCCTCTTCAGCACGCTTGGTAACTTCTTCGTGGGTTGGTGGTAGTCTTTCGTTCTGCAGATCAACCTTCCGAGCATCCTCGAAGTTATGGATGGCCTGTTTGATACCTTCGGCGCCCAACATGAGGGTTCCTGCCGGTAGGCGTCCGCCAGTAGCTGTTTTGAGCTCCGTGACCCGCTCGGACTCCTCTCGAAGAACCTGGAACACGCGAGACAGACGACCAATGGCAAGAATCTTATTTTTAATAGCACGTCGTTTGAATTCGGTACTTTCTGGATCATTCGATGGAAGAGTTGGCGATGGCGGGGCCTCAGATGCTGACAACGGCGTCTCTTCCTCAAGCTCTTCTTTCGAGCATGTGTTGAGAATGGCAATAAGCATATCAGTGATTTTTTCTCCAACGAACGGTAGGGACCAGGTGAAGACATCCATGAAGTTGGGGAGCCAATAAGGATGAGGTGAGCAGTTAAACTGGCGTATGTTCATAACGTTGTTTTCGTACTTCAGGACGGCAGCTTTGTTATTGTAGACGTCGAGGTAGTTGGGTGCACTGAAGATGGTCATAACACTTGGGAATCCGGTGGTTCGAGTTTTGCGGTACATTCTGTATCCCGCATCTTGAGCCTCGTGTGCGCGAATAATCGACAGCAGGTTGTTCTTCTCGAGGAATGCACAGGCTGCGTGGTAGGAAAAGAAGTATGAACACCCTCGGACGTTATTATGGATGAAATGTTCGCCTGTTTTCTCCTGGCCAAAGTCTTCCAGAGGATCGGCCCACAGGATGTCACACATCAGTCCGTATGTTGGTGGTTCCCTGAAACGGTCAATCTACAATAGCTATCAGTATATAACCATTTTGAAAAAGGAGAAGGGACGTACGGTTTTCAGGTCTTCCAGGGTGTGCAGTTCTGGACTCAAGCCACCATGGATACAGAGGAACTGCTTGTTCATGATTGCGGCCAAGGGCAGAGCGCAAAAGGATTCTGTGCAAGCGTCATAAACTCGCTCAGAGTACTTGTGTTTACATTCCAACTTGAAGGTAAAGTAATCCGTGAGATGGCGACACTCGTGGTTTCCACGCAACAACCAAAGGCTGTTGGGATACCATATCTTTAAGGTCCATAGGTACAAGACACACTATAGAATATATATAAGCAAGGATCCAACACATCATACCATATGAACTCTTTTTTCTTACCTCGATGCTGAAATAACCTCTATCAACGTAGTCTCCAAGGAAGAGATATCGCGTCTCCGCTGGGTCTCCCCCCACTTCAAATAGCTTCATCAGGTCATAATACTGTCCGTGAACGTCGCCACAAACTGTAATAGGAGCATCCATCTCGAGCAGATTTGGCTCTGATCTGAGTATCTGTTCTCCAGTATTGATGATCCATAGTGCCTGTTCCTCCGTGAGACGACCTTCGCGGAAGAAGTGCTGTTTGAGGAACTTTAGGTCTGGCTTGGTGGGATCTTCACTGGACCAGAACTGCTCGTTCGTCGGTGTGTTGAATGCCGGTGCTTGCACCTCTATGATTGAACCGTCAGCCAAATGCGCCAGGCAAGAAATGTTATGTTGTATATGCAGAGGAAAGGGGGGATGTCAACAAACCCTTGCAGACTCGCTCCTGTGTGGATACCTGAGTGCCATCTTCCATAGTATGGAGGGTGAAGTCAATCTCAGGGACGGGCTTCTTCTCCGTGACCGCTTGCACCAGTTTCCCTTCCATGCTTTCTGCTTGTTCAACGGGTCTGATGGTGGCGCAGCCTGAGTTCTCGGTCAACCTGGGAGGGGTTACCGCACGATTATGCCTGTCACTCCTCGACCGTGATACGGGGTTGGCGAGGGGGGCGCAGCTCGAATGATGGGCTTCTCGGCGATGTTAGAGCTGGAGCATCCGTAGGTTATGAGCGTGAAACAGTCGAAGCAAAGGTCGGCGGCCAGGTTGAGGTCGTCGCGTGTCTTGGGCAGTAGTAGTAGGGCTATCGATAGTAGGCAGCGTGGGCTTTTTTTTTCCCCTTCTGATAAAATAGTCGAGCACACTAGTGAAGACCAGGGGTTGCTTGGCCAGGGAGCAATATTGAATTGACTGCTGTGTGAATATCGAGCGAACAGGTTGACGTACAAGCTGTAGTTGCTGAGATATGCAAATTATCTTGAGGTTTTGTCTTCCTGTTCAAAACTTTGCAAGAGTTGCTCGCTAAGTGTGGATGCTTACGTCGAGGATCTCATTTGCTGCAACTTGCCATCGCCAGTAACATCAACGTCAACAGAGAACTAGATATAGGATGCTGGCAGAGCAGGATGTTTGATTCAGAGAGTGAGTGATGTTGCAGGTCGGAGTCTTTTGGAGATAGCTGACGACGTACCAGAGCCTCATCCCATACTGGCGCAGATCCCGCTGACGGTCTCCCCGTTCATCTCTCTGCCCACGGCGACTACTCTGCCGTATACGTACAAGTCGATACCTTCTTCTCTCCCGCCGTCTGTGACAGTCGATGCCGGCGGCTCAGAGAAGCCTAAGTACGTCGTTTCGTCCAGTGGCCATGCTGCTCACCCGTCTGACATACTCGCAACCTGTCGGGCACTGGCAGACCACATGAAGAAGAGACAGTCAGACGGAGAGGCAGCCATACGGGAGTGGGAAGAGTCTATCAGACAACGGGACCTTGCTGAGAAGCGTCGAGTTGCTCCCGGATGGCTGGACCGGGAGGAGAAGTTGCTACAGCCTACTCATGTATCCGGACACGCTGCTTCAGCCGGGGGATCCCAGAGCCTCCTTGATCGGTCGTTGACAGAACAGGTGAATAAAGATACCGCGCCGGCCATGGAGCCGAGAAGTGATGGTGTCGAGCTGGATCGTGCTTTTGGCGGGCTTGGACTGAAATAATACCCCCGAACGATGCAGAGAACCAAAGGTCTGGTTCAAGCCATCTAAACTACGATAAAATCGCCAGTTACTATACGAGGTTATAGACATTCCCCGGTGTATTTCCAGGAAGCTAAACGGTCTAATAACCCAACTCCCTCCTCAACCGGATGAAGCTACTCAGCCGAAATTCAGGCTATTGAATTGTTATATCAACAACTTCCGACTACTACCGACTTGTCAGCCTGTCTGCGGTATTATCTCTCCGGACACATGCTCAGCACGCAATAGGATCTTATGGACGTGAAGTTAGAGCTCGTCTTCCCAACCACGTTGCCTGGTGAGCTGGTCTCAGACATCAAGACGCCGTCCCGAGTTCTTGGCCTTTGAGAACTTGACTTGGTATGGATGACCGCGGCAGTCAGTTTATACGGGTTGAAATCAGTTGTCTGTGATGTCTGTAGAGGCAGTGCCGACCCGGATATTTACACGACAAGATCGTGCTGAAGACTGACTTTCCTTAATGATGCATCGTGCGAAAGGCCTTTTACTGTTAAAATAGGTTAAATCTCTTCAAGTACAGTAAGTAGATAGTAAGACAGCTTTTTGTATTATATCGAACTTCTCATCGTCGTCATAGTAACTTAAAGTTTGATCTTATCATATCTTTTTTGTTCCCCTCAAAACGTCTTTTCTGTCCATACGTTTAAACAAGCAAAAGACACAACTCCAGGTTAACCATTGGAGCAGGCAAGGCGTCGATACGGAGAGTATCATTAATTGCCACAATGGAGATCCTACGCGAAGCACCGGATACCTCGTCGTTCATACCGCTCGCAGAGCACCAGTCTCGAACCCCTGCGTCCTTCTACTCGGGGCCACCAATTTTATACCACTTCAGTGAAAGATGTAGAGTGGTTATCCTCGAGCGCGATTTGTTAGCCTCTACAGCTTTGAACACTCTGCGTTCCTCTCCTGCAGCGGGTTCTTCAAATGGCTCTGCAGAGGGAGAGCACAACACCGCATCCGTCGCAACAGCAGAGGCCGAGGGGATCGCGGACGATAAAGAGGCGTCTCTCCAGGCTATCAATGTTTGGGTTACTTCTGAGTATGACTTCCTCTACGCTATTGAAGTCCCTATATTGAGCTACATGGGTTTCTATTATGTGGATTGTTAGGCTAATTTTAAGCAGGAAACTATTGCTCTTTTCAACCGAAACATCCAGTGGTATCGCGATACCATACCCATTAATCTCGCTACATGCAATTCAACGACTCCCGTTGCCAAGCTCCGCCGATAATGATTCTGTGCAGGGGCTATACATGCAGCTTGCCACCGGTGGTGGAGACGAGAGTATGGATGAAGATGCGGACGAGGAGAGCATTTCACTTACCATAATTCCTCTGTCTACTCCTTCTGCCCAATCTGCCGACAACTCTGCCACATCTGGCGCCAATGATGATCTAGAGGAAGATAAAAAGACACAGTCTCACATCGAGGCTCTCTTCGAAGCCGTATCCGCCTGCTCAAACCTGCACCCAGACCCTGTCGATCATGATGATGAAGATAGATACGAAGACGCGGATGAAGGTGAGGAATTCCATCAACAGCTCCAAGGTAGTGCGTTATTCCGAAGTGGTCTGATTTTCCCTGGAAACAACACAGGCGGTTTACCTCCAGCCCTCCCCGGAAGTGGTGGTTGGATTACTGCAGAGAATGCTCACGAGTATTTTGATGAGGATGGAAATTGGAAAGGGGGAGAAGAGGTCCCCTTGGGGGCCGGGGCTGGTACCGTGAGGCCGCGTGCAGATGACGACGTTGGGATGAATGAGGACGATGCTTCAGCTAACGAGAATGGCACCCCCGGGGACGAATCGAAGTGGCGCAGAACGGAGTGAATTATTCCTCTCTGGATTGTTATTCTGACCACAGACTCAGCATCCTCGATCATATGTGACCTTATCTTACAGATGAAGGTGGAAAGAGCTGATTGCTGTGGCTTCCGCCAGGATTCTTACCTTAGATGTCAACAATAACATAATATATCGAGACTTCATTATATGAACGACCCCCTGCTTTCTCCGTCACTTTACTCGCTTCAGGATAAGAAGAGGGTCTCGGGGTGTAGAGTACGATATCTAGTGGTTATCAAAGGCAACTCATGGAGCACATCTGGAATACGACAACGCTCTTCTCTGTGAGCAAACACAAAATTTGACCTTTTCTAATATTTACTCTTAGACCGTCACCATACCCTCGCACGCTACCCAGTTACAGTGAACAGTCCCATCCTCCACCTGGAAACATACCATCCACAAGCAGCTTTGTGTAATAGGCCTGTTTAAGTCCAAGCTGCTAATATCTGGATCCTACAAACTTGGACTTTGGATCAATTCCCCAGGTTATATCTTGATAGATTCCTCGAAAAGGGCATGGTATGCCTCCGTATGCTCCTCAGTTCTATTTGATCACGCCCGATGTGATGTCATATTCATACCGGCGAAACCGATAGGCGATACCCTTCCGGCTGTCCCCCATGCCTTAGTGGATACCGCAGGGGTTGGCTGATCGTCATACCCTGGAGTTAGGAAAGTGTTTGCTAGAAATGCCGGTGATGGACGCTGCAATGTTGTATCCCTATCTCTAGAGGGCCTGCTATTCTCATAATTGGAATCCTATATCTTCATCAGTCAAAGATTCATCTTCATACTACGATTTAACTCACCTTGATTTCACTGGGGGCCCTTTTGATACATCCGACATCAAGATTATCAGGTTGGGGTACGGGAGCTGGAGCGGATGGCCAAAAAGTTCTGAGTTGTATATCGGAGACTGCGCAGGTGTTAGAATGCGTGAGAGCGATAAAACGACTTGAGGCTTACCATGCTCTCTTCTTACCGCCCTGTTTCTTAGGGGGGCACTTATTGAAGACGGTAACTCACAGCGAGACACCATGACTATTGTGAATACCACGAAGAATATTGCAAATATCAATAAACCCAAGAGGACAAAGCTATAGACGGATGTTTCGTCCATGATAGGGGACTAGGTAACGGATCGGGTTAATCCTGTTAAGTATTATCAACGAAGCTGGGAAGCCAGGTACCAACAGGCGCAAAGATTAAATATCATATACGTGAGTGACAAAATGCTACTATATATCTCTGGGATGATAGGCATGCATATCTACATTCTATCTACTCAAGGAGTTTGCAGGATCATATCAAAATAACTAGCTACACAAACATATTTGAAGATCTAAATATAACCGACAATAGCAATCTACAAGGTAATGTCGAAGTATAGTTTTGTTTATACATTCGTACTGATATGATCTGCCAGCAGATACAGCAAACAAGCTGACCTATGACTAGAAATAGCAGGGATAGAGGCGATATATGTAATGGCAACGATGGAAACAACTAGAAGCAAAGGACTCATCATATCTAACTCTCCAAGCCAGGCAGAACCGCTGTATGGTCTCATTTTCACTCTAGCTTGAGTCATATCTCCCAAGAGAGTAGTCATCTCAAGTACTGATACATTTCCAGAATACATGTGGCCTGCAAAACCTGGTTTCTATAAGCTGTGTATCATCTAATTAACTCGTTTATCCTAACGCCATTCTAATAATAAGAGTTTATAGGAAATGGTCCCAGGTATGTAGAAGTATAGCAAGCGGAGAAACATGTAGGTAGGATAACTGATAAGCACGCAAACAGAGCAGCCAGTCCTCAGAGAGGTGGAACAAGAGCAATCTCAGTACTCATCCTCGGCCCCACAGGCTTCCCCAGGAGGTCCAGCAGGTTATCAATGATAGCCTTAGACATCACTTGCAGAGCACCCGGCTGAAGCAGTGTCATTAAGATGGTGGAAGTTTTACACTCTTTCTCCAGGGTAATCCCGTCCAGACGGTCTCTTAGCCACATAATCGCCTCTGGGGCGCCGGTAACAGCCAAGACGGTGTGTATAGATAACATATCCCTTTTGTAGTCGATTGTAGCTCCAGCAGAACAATATTTTTCCACCAGGGCGTCTGTGTCGGCTATTGGGCTTATCTCATCGTTGACCGATTTGAGAATCAGAACAGGCGCTTTGGGTATTCCTTGAGGTAGGGCGTTATGGTCAAGAATCATCTTTACCCTTGGGTCGGCGAATAAGCCTGACTCTTTCCCTCCTCTAAAATAACCGAATATATCCTCCCGTCTAAAATCCAGGGAGACTGCTCCCGAACATTTTTTCCCGGCATTCAAGAATTTATCTCGTAAATGCGGCACAAGGTATGACTTGAGAATAGGCTGCATATATTTATATTCCTGCGAAAGGCCGAGAACACCAGAGACAATTATCCCAGCATCAAACCCTTCATTCAGACTCTGTAGAGCTGTGGTAATACTCGGAACGATGCCACCTAGCGCTACCCCAACAATATTCAGCTCTGGTGCGTATGATGGATGTAAATCAGCAGCAAAGCCACTGGCAACGCTCCCTCCAGATGTTCCCCATAGGCCTATTGCTGCGTTTGGATCCACGCCAGTAAATCCCGAAGATGCAAGAGTAGCTCTGATTCCGTCTAGTGTAGCGTAACCGGCACGCCAGTGAGCTAAGAAAGCAGCCTCGGGCCCCTCATAGTCAGGAATAGTGACAACCCATCCATTCTCGAGGGCCGCTGTGATGAGAAGCAACTCGCTTTGTATTACAATCGTTCCAAACTCGCCACCTGGGTCGGAGTTGAGTTGGAGGGCATACGAAGGAGCACAATTAATGAAAGCCGCATCTTCAACCGCTTGGTAAGACAGAAGTTTCGACATGTTTGCATTATGAGGTATCAAAATGGTCGAAACGGTGGCCGTAGGCTTTCCAAATGTATCAGACGAGCGGTACAATATCTGGTAGGTACCAGCTAAGTCGATTGGAACAGATCTGAACAAAGCAATGGGGAAAGGAGGTATTCGGCGTCTCAGTATCGTTCCTGGTTCGGCATCTTCGTACCTTGGAGGAGGACGGTAAAAGGGGTCTTCTGTGGGTGAAAGAGGGGCTTCCTGAGATAGAGGGAGTATCACAGGTTCGATCAAATCTGCATAGGAGACAGAGTTAAGTAAGAGAAGATACAGCAATAGGAGAGCCTGAGGAAGAGACATGTTGCCTCTCTTCCAACTTAGGTTGGGAGGAGAAAGATAATCGATCGTAGAACAGCAGTGTAGGGTATATCAGGAAAGAAAAGTATTCATGCTTCCAAAGCCATGATATATAGGAGAGAGAGATCAGTTTATAGAGTCCATCGAAAGGAAGCAGATATAGATCTCTTCCGAGAGAAGTTCCTGGGTAATCAATTGTTCCTGGTTCCATGTTGGCGGAAGGCGTGATAAGCCTGTTGCTCCTTTCTACATTGGCCGGTTGTAGTGCAAATGAGATATTCTGCATGACAGAGATTGCCCTGAGCAATGTATTAAATCTACCAAACCATCCCCGAAGGCTGGTTGTATTCTGAGCATCTTCTTATATCTTCTAAGACGTACGATATGACTAATCATTACAATACCAATATTACACCAAATACGCGCCACATTTTGAATATTACCGTAAACACATGTATTTGAACAGTAAAAGCACGCACATTTTATACAACAGCAGCTAAACAGATCATCTTGTAGAAGAGATGAGGGCTTTGAAGTTGAGATAGAGGCGAAATCAACCCTCTGACATCTTACTCTATATCCAGACATCTATCAAATTGTCCATTATTTAATTCTTGCATCACCGACTTTGTAAACAGGATCAAGCTTAGTCATGTCGATCCAAGTATAAAAACGAAAAAAAAAAACGACTTTCGTTTTTATATATTTTATATCCATGAGATTGTTTGGATGATGTGTGATTTAGTTCGGCTTGCAACAAGTCCCAATATAAATTAATACAGGTCATCTTCGCCATCTCCATAAGCATCCCCTTCCCGTCGCTCTAGTAAAATCCGTCGGACTGCTATGTTGCTCTCTCCGTCGCATAGGATTGGCGTCTCCTGTGGTCGTCTCTTATTCTCGTCCTCGTCTTCTTTGTCAAGCCATTTTTGGGCTTTCAGAATAAGTTTGTCTGAAATTCTTTGGATTGACCTATACCAAGGGGCGTTGCCGTGTACCTCATACTCGCACATGCTATCTAATGCGGTCTGGGTGGGGCTTAAGATATCATCTCGCAGTCGACCAGTATCAGGATGGAAGTATTTAGAAATTCCAAGTGAAGCCATGTTGTTTAAGGGATGATGCATGTGAGAAGACAGTTGAGATGGTGGTGTTTCTATCTCTCTTGCTTCTTGCAGAGGGCTATGTATAGCTGTGTCTGGGAGTGTTGAATCGCCCGATACATGCCGTAACAGCTGTATATCTTCTCCATCGTCGTCGTCACCCAGGCCGGGCCCTTCCAGTGTACAAAGTCCTCTGTCTGCCTCTATGTCTATGCCGGGGTACCTGTTGTGTCTGTTTCTTCCTTGATATCCTCCACCTCGCTGATATAACGCAAATAAAATCCATTCCGTCATCGCCGTTGGTGAAATATACTTCCAGAAGATGCATATAGCCACCAGAACGTATACGATTAGGGCTGAAATCGGGATTAAGTCGGCCATGAAGGTGGAATATTCGAGATGCCCGTCTTGCCCTATCTGTGACTCGACGTCGCGGTCCTCAAAGGACGGAAAAGCCGGCAAGAACATCGATATGTATCGAGCGAGTAAAGAGAAGCTGCCCACACTCTGTGGCATCCTCGGTGATGCTCTTTGCCTTAGACGTGATCGTGCTAGATGTTTCCGCGTGTAGGCGTTGGTTGTGACTCCTCGTTGCGCTTAGGAACTTGCCGGCAAGCGCAACATATCAAAAGTGACAAAGGGCAAAGAATGGAACTGGATATACCAACCAAGGCACAGCACTACGTCTATTAAGAGTCATCGCCAGTCCTCAACCAGACATAGCAAGAGGTTGATTCTTTTCTCATCCTAGGGAAGGAGATGCTGCCACTATGGTCGGCTTTCCAGGCCTTGACTAACAGAGGACAGCTGGAATTACGACTGGCTGTGGTGCATACGAAACTATTGATCTCAATTTCCTGTACGTCATCGTGCTGGATAATAGGGAGAATCTGAGAGAAAGATACACCCGCGCAGCTAGCCCCTTTTCAGCGTTCCGTCTCAATGGGGTTTCTTCGATGGCAAGGGAGGTCTTTTGCTCTACAGCAAAGCTGCTGCAGCATCTACTACACTGCATATATTGCATTGTGATATCCTTCCTTTGCTCAGGGGTCATAATACCGTTGTGTTTGATATTCAGGACCGCCCTTTGAGAAGGTTCTTTGGTGAAGTGACATCACCGTCTTCTACTCCCTCATTCCTTACCATGGCATCTCTATACCATCAACCAGAATTCCCATCTATGACTCCTTATGTGGCAACAAATTGGGACATAAAAGGCCTCTCCTCGACCCTTTTCCTCCCCCTTTCCTTTTCTCTCACCATCACTCACAAAGCAAGCGTGGACTCCAAAAACCACACACCCATCGAGAAACAGCCACCAAAGCAGACCTCCAAGAGCTCCTGCATCTCGTTTTTCAAAAACACACGACCACCGAAGCACCGCTGCTGTCCTTACAAAGGACATAAAAACATATTTATATATATATAAATACAAACTCCCACGGGGCAGGGTAAGTAACTTCCCCATATTAAGATAACTCTCATCTTGAAAGTGCTCCTGACTGTTCCTGCAGCATCCGAAATGTCTGCCAACAACACCAACAACACTCCACCGGCGTATCCAGCACGCGTCACTTGGATCCTGCGGCCAATCAATTTGGTCATGATCAGAGACCCGGCCATCAACGGAGGCCGTACTTTCTTCGTGCCTCTGGTACCACCACCGCCGCCACCACCACCACCACCACCACGCCGCATAAGTCTCATTATGCGGCCAATCGGCATGGTCTTGATAAAAGACCCCAACATCAACGGAGGAGTTTCGTTCCTCGTGCCGCTCAACGACGGGTACCCGCCGGCACCGCCGCCTTCCCTCGCCGGGGAATAAGCCCACTGGGGCTGGCCACCGGGCCAAGGGAGGAAACGGGTTTGCTTTTGGAGTTTTTTGTTTTTTTATATATCCTGTATTATTAAAATCATGTATCTTATATTTTTGATATTTTGGAAAAAGCGTTCCAAGGGCAGGATATCTGGCAAGTTATGAGCTGCCTTATATTATACGGACTTCTGCCCTTGATATAAAAATATTATCATAATTATAAAAGCTCAATCTACTTATCCACTGTAAGCATTTGTAGTTATATACGCCCAAGAGCACACTCTGCACCTCTATCCGATAGTAAATAGAGTATCTGGCAGTTAAAGTATGCTCCGGAGTCGGCATAAAAAGAGCAAGACACAGTATATATTCATCTTCTGATAGAAACATATAACTAGTTATTTCTCACCGTTAACTAGTGGTTCTTATAAGATTACTACTTTCTCTCTACATGACCTACGTGCAAAGAGATGGTTGAAAAGCAGATGAAATGACTTGGTTTATGATTCTACCAAAAAACCATTCAAGCATGTCCCACTCCAAATTCAAACGCCCAAGTTGACAGAATTGCAATATATATGGCAGCCAATATACAGTACGAGCATGGTATGAAGTCACAAAAGAAACAGCAATAAGAAAAAAGGAGGCTAGATCAAATCACATCGCGAAGTAAAGCAAATCATTCAGGTTTTTGAACGGTAAGGGGTATAAAGAAAAAAAAGGAGGCTCAAAGAGATTAGAGCAAACATACGCGGTAAAGCAATAGATGCTAACCGTACAGGATAGACATTAAATCATCTCAGAGGGATAGGTTTACAACTTTTTCAGCCGTCCATCTCAACGTCGTCTTTTTGATTTGGTACTGGAATAGGAATCTTGCGGTCCAAGTCCTCCTCAAAAGGAGGTGGTTGAGGCATGTTGTGTGCGTTAGTGTTGTTGGCGGACGGCTTCGGCCGTCGTAGCGTATCACACCAGTTCTCGGCGCTGACTAATGTGTCGTTTACGACTTTGCTGACTTGGCCCATCATATCGAGGCCTTCTTCAGCTAGTACGAGCACACGGAAAGCTCTTGTCCTCATGTCGGATTCCGGAGCAGAACCCTCTGATGGTACATTTGAGTTGAACGCGATGCGGAATCGCTGAGGCAGGGATGTGAGGTGTCTTCGGACAAGGTTGCGAGCGTTTTCTGGCAAAGCTCCGCCGGCGTACTTGGATACAACGTCAACAACCATTTTTAATGTTTGCAGGACGTCGCCTTTGACCTGTTGGATCTGCTGTGAGAGTACCGCGGGGCTCCGCTGGCTATCCTCGTTGTTTGTCTTGTTTTCTGCACCGGACTGGTTTGACGAATCCCAATCCCTTAATGCCTCCTTGAGACTAACCACAGACGTCCCAATCCGGGTATTCGCCCATTGCAGCCAGGTGAGGCAGTATGTCAAGCTTCGCAACGACTCTTCGCTCATTGCTACTCCGAGGCCCGAGGTGGATATCATAAGACGGTTTTGCCAGGAATATTGGCTCTGTGGCTGTTGGGTTTGCTGATGTTGTTGGTTACCCTTGTGCAGCTCTTCATATTTCGGAGAAGAAAGATTATCGTAGGGAGGTAGGGGTTCAGACGAAAGGGTTGACGACCGCCTTGAGTGACTAGTTCGGAGATCATTCATGCCTTTCTCAATGTCTGCAGTTTCCGCTGCTTGGTCGTGGTTGGAGTTGGAGTTAGTATTGGACTTGGAGCTAACGCTCTCTCTGCGCTGTAGAGCCCAACGGAGGCCACCTTCGACTCCTGTCCGCCTGCCAACCGACCCCACGGTATTCACAACTCGGGGACCAATATTTCGTTCAATAAACTCGGCTCCGTACTTGAACTTGGGAGAATATGTTTTGGAGGACGTGTAGACAGACATGGAACTGTTTATTGCGGAAGATAGGAGAGGGTGTGATGTAATGAGGGACAACAACGGCTCCGGTTCTGTTGTCTCTGGTGTTTGAGATGTAGAGTCGCTGGAAGGCCTTGTAGGAACAGGAGTATGTGTGTACTCTAGTTGAACAACGCATCATGTCAGAAAAAGGGTGTGAAAATAGGCGTCCATCAACGGGGTACCGTACCTGAGCGTAGCCCTTCCAGAGCTTGAGCAGCTTCAATATCGTCCATAGAAATAACACTGGTAGCGCGTCTAGAGCGAGTTTCACTGCCAACGCTGTCTACCTCCATATCATTGGCGTTTGTTTGATCAGCACCGGGAGGGTGATACTGAGGAGGAGGAGAGTCCGCCATGGCTTCCGGCTGCTGCTGCTGCTGCGGTGTATAACCAGGGAGAACTGACGAAGTACTCTGAGGCTCGAGCTGGTGGACGGAGCCCTGGTTCCCTCCATTAGGTGGAAAAGCCTGAAGCATCGTTGAGAAGTTATCTCATGTCCCAATGACAACCTGAGGGATACGCTGTTTGCGGGTTGCACGTGAAAACGAAAGCCTCTCTGTTCCTTGGCGACGGGATCTATATTAAACCGTCAAGGGGGTCGATTGATGGATAAATATCTGTCTTTTCCAGGACAATGTCCAAGATATATATAGGAGCCAGAGAACAGAGAGAGAACGGCCAGTCTTCCAGCGCACTTTTGAGGAGTTTCAAGGGTTGGGGGGAAATCTTGCGTGTGATAACGAAAAAAAAAGAAGCTCAGCCTCATGCGCGGGTATCCACCACCCAACTAAGATGCCAGTCAACCGGATAGAAGCATCCACGGAGCAGCGCAATGCAGCCTTAAATAAGGCACAAACAAAATGGATCCAGTTGGGGGGAGAAAAGACCTGAGAAAAAGCCTTCACCAGCACAAACGAGAACTCGATGTTGCTTCTTCTGCCTTGAAACGAAAGAAAAAAGACGGAAAAAAAAGGTCGGGGAAAGCAAACTCGTGACATGTGACTGCTTGGGGTAAACATGTGATTTTAGCTTAGTCACGCAGCCCTGGCTAGCTGATTGGTCGGCGGGAGAAAGCCACCTTTTTTCCACATTGGGAAGGTCTCAAGTCACGTTTGCCAAGCCTTTTGTATTCTTGTCTTTATCTAATCAGATAACACGCGATAAGAAGGCGGTCAGGCGGCTCAAAGGGATGCGAGTTCTCCTTCCTTTCATCCTTATCGAGTTGCATATCTACACCTACTATGTATGTCGTTCTTGATGCTGTGTTCGTTACCCTTGCCCCCCAGATGCCAGGAGTTGGATACATCATAAACATTATCCTCGTATCGACATGGCAATCTGCTCACGCAAAATATGCGGTAATTCGTTTACGTAACCCGAAACCCAATAGTTAAGGAGTACTCTGTACATCCAACTTTGAGGAGACAGAATCAGTAACTCTGAACGAGCCTGTAAGTGTTAGAAAGGCGTCGGATTCTAGAAAAAGTTAATCTAACATAAGTATACGATACAGTTCGCGGGGTATCCGATCAATTCGAACGCAGCATCATCTCATCAAACAAGAACATGGATAAACCCAGTAACATCTTGCCTCAGGGAAAGTCACAAGTACATAATCTTACATGGTAGCAGACAAGAAACTCTGTAATCAAGAAAGGAACAAGATAAACAACCGAAAATCCCAACAATCCAATATTTAGCTCAACATGTCCAATCCTCTTGTTTCGAGAAGAGGGGGCTGCGGGTTTCACATGAAGGGCCAAAAAAAAAAAAAAGCCGTCCAACGCTCTACCCTTGTCTTCATAATCTACCTGCCCGCTTGCCAAAAGAGAATAGGGTATATCGCTGAAGAACAAAAACAACAAGGAGGGAGGATGAATAGTGAAAAAATGATAAGCATGGAGAGAAATGAAGATTAAGCAACAGAAAACCAATCGTCGTCATCGTCAAAGGCTGCCTGCTCATCGAAGTATTGAGAGATCAATAGGTCTTCTGGATCTGCCTTGCGGCGTTCTGCTTCAGCCTTCTTTACTTTTGAGGTGCTTACATCCAGCACCTGGTAAATGGGAGATGTAACGCCGTGCCACGAACCAACGGCTCTGCACTTAATCTCGCACAGGATTTCAGCAGCCGCATGCCATGGGAATAATGACTCGGGAAAGGAGTGATATGCACATGAAGCCAGTAGCTTCTTCCACTCATGCTCGGACTCCCTCCATACGATGCTGAGTTTATGGTCAAACTCAGGAGGCTGGATAGCCATTAATATTTCGCTGGCGAGAGTGATTTTAGCTCCATAGGATAAGCTATTAGCCATATAACTTTGACAGGCTCTCTCAACCTGCTTCCGGATACCTTGGATGGCATCTAACAGCTTGGTGCACTTGGTTTTATCTTTGTTAGAAGCCATATTCCTTTCTTGGTTCGCACGGTTCCAGGTCATGTTCCATATCGCTACAAGGTCTCCGTCAACCCTTAGGATACCATCTGATGGGCAGTCCTTATTCAGGCGCCCATGCAACTTATTAGTCACATTCTTGATAACCTCGAACTTGAGGCAATCGAGGATATTATCCGCCTTCCATTCCGGTATCTCAGGGTTTTTATACGCTGGATTATCTGGGGTAGCAGGACCTATGCTTCTACGATAAGCCAGTCTATTTGCTGCTGGGTACTCGTAGCCTGACTTCCGGGTATCCGCAAGATGGCTAAGGAGGCATGAAAAATCCACTGCGGATGGTGAGCCAATGCCACCTAAGTTATAGCAGAACCTCTCATGCTCATTTGTGCATATCCCAAGCGAATTTTGTGACGTGTTAAAAAGGAAGGCCCTGTCTATAAACTCATTAAATGGCATATTACCCACACGTTGTGATACCTTGATCAGGCCATACTTTTCGGGCTTTGGTATTTCTTGAAATGGCTGGTTACGGAATGGGTTAACTAACCCCGGTTCCCAACAGGCCCAAACTTCGTCGCCATCATAATCACCGCCGGAAAGTAAAGACGCAAGTGGAACATCGCCTTTGGTAGAAAATATAGCCACTCCTTTCAAATGCCTCAGAGCCGGGTGGAAGATGGCTCGACACTTCTGGATATCACTAGGTAAATGAGCAGGCGCACGAGCTACTAAAATGTCGATGCCGTCCAGGTCTGGTGTATCCTCCCAGTTGTCCCCAGGGGCAAGGTGAACTTCGCCTTCTTCAAGTACCCCGTATGGGTCAGCAATGCAATATACGTATGTTGACTTGGGGATTTTTATCTTGAGATCTCCGAGTTTTTGGAGATAATTATCAAAGTAAAACTTGAAAAGTCTGCGCAGGAAGTACAGCTTAGAAGGGAGGAAACCGGCATCGAGAAGCATGATAATCTGTCCTAGTGTGTCAGGGGGAAATCCATCTGACATCGTGGCTTTGACGGCCGTACTTCCTCCCATTCGCTTAATCCAGTCACGACAGGCCGCGGAATCCCCAGTTCGAATGATTTCAAGGTAGCCATCATAAAATTTGTCTGCTTCCATTTGGATTATAAAGGAAAGGTACTCCTTGTTGATACCTGCATTTTGCAGTACCATTAAGAATTGGGTGTTCAGGTATACTGACTGAGGGGTCCTAGCATAGGAAGAGACGTCAAAAGTCATTTGGTGCTTGTCTAGCAACACACCCCTATCACAGGGCGGAGGCTTGACCTTTAACTGGGATGCATTTATGACCATCCAGTATCCCCTATCGGTTTCGAATGTTTGTCGAAGTCCATTTACTTGTGGGCATTGGTCATCTCTGGCAACTATCCAGATGCCCTTAGCGCCAGCAAATCTACCCTGGAAACATGCCGGGACTTTGGAGAGGCCTAGGGAGTCTGTAATGGCCTTCCCTAAAGATTTTGAAATCAAGGCACAACCATCACTCATCTGCTCCTGCCTCGGGTCATTATCGTAAATGACTTCCTCCGGCCGGAGGGTAATTGTTGGCGTAGTCCTCGACAGTCCTAGACGGATTCTGTTGAACAATTTATAGTCTTCCTGGTGTTTGTTCTTGGGATACAGTATATGCCAGTTAACCAGCTGTTCCACTGTCATAGGCGTACGGCTCCCAGATAGCTCATCTAGCGGTGAGACTTCTGGCGGGACTTTCAGGAAATCATCACCATCGACTGCAAATAGAAATACCTTTTTGCGCCCAGCGCCACCAGGAGATTTTGCCTTTGACTTTGACTTAAGATCCTCGATGTAGAATGCACGCCATATGCGGCCAAACAGATAATGATTCTCGGCTGAAAGCCATTTAGATATGGCCTTCACAAATAGTTCTGCATCGCGGCCAGACCTATCATTCTTCATGGGTATTGTTATTTCCATAAACCTGTCGGCCCCGTACCGGCGAGCGAACCTATGGCTTTTTTCGATTTTGAGGGGGTGCAGAATTAGTATTAAAGATCCGTTCTTCCCCCATTCAAGCTCACCACTGAGAACGACCATTTCATGTGTTTCTGAGTCTATGAAATTTCCAACTGCGAGGTTCCAGGCACCATGTTTAGATCTTTCCAGCTTGTTCATATTCGATCCACGGTATAGCATTTGCCAGAATGCATCGTACGATAGGTCTTCAGGAAGTGTATTTTCCGTGTCTATGGTCTCAAATGAGATGCCACAACCCCGTGCCACACGTTCAGCTTCATATCGATATCTTAGGGTAAGTTCTTTAAACCATGTAGCACGTTTGGAAAACGGGCCGTTTTTCGCCAAATCGATAACAGTTCTATCCCTTTTCTCCTCATCTAACAGTGTGAGCCTTGTAGGAATACTAACTATTGGATATTTTGGAAACGATGAATTCGGCCTGATGCTTTCAAAGGATGTATCTGGGGTGGTAATGTGAGAATCTGCGAAGACAACAGTTACGGTGGTCGAGGCGAAGCTTGTGTCAGGGTTAATATTATTGGTAGATGAAAACATTTTTGGGTTCGGTAAATTCGGGCCGCTAAGGCACTTTGTCCCTTTCATCCTACTGTTAATTTTCGGCTGGCGTTCCTCATTCCGATTTGGCGTCGCAGGGGGCTCAGGCACTTTCACGGTGGAGCGAAATCCGTAACCTTCGAGCTTTAGCTGCTTTTGTTTCTTAGAGGGACTCTGGACTCTCACCATCAAAATCAGTCAGGGCTTCCGCAGCAAAATCAAAATCAAATCCTTCAAAATTGGCGAAATCAGAGAGCGTGTAGGTATCAGAACCGTCGCCGTCATCGCAATTATCAGATAAAGAAAGTGTGTCAAAATCAAGAATGGGGGACGAAGGCGCGGTGGAAAATACCTCAGAGTTGTTGTTTTGTTTTCTTTTAACCAATTTGGAGCTGGCTTCAGGTACAGGTGTGTCTGGAGTAGCAACGGTTATGGTAGACGTAAAACTACACCCTCGCAACGGAGAAAGGGTACTGTTACCATCTGAAGCTAGAGAATTCCTTATCATCCAACTGTTGTCTGATAATATATCGCCCAGTTTTTCATAAACCAGGGCCTTTTCCTTCTCTGAACGCATTCTCAGTCGAACATTAAACCCGCGTCGAAGCGCAGCAGATGAAAGTGAATCTATAGTGTCATAATCCCGAAGGTTTTCCCTAAACATCTGACGACCGGGAAACAAGCTTGACTCCCAGTCAGCAAACTGAGTTATGGCACTTGCGAGGTTGCCTTTCCAGTATATGTGTGTTATGCGTTTCATGCACGTCTCTTCGATTGTGGAGTTTTGTGATGAAGCGCTGGACTCTTGGAGAGGTAGATCAAGGTCAAAACCTATGTTCAAGTCTCCTATTATTCGACGGAGATCACCTCCAGATTTCAGCCCTCTCTGGCTGGCCATTGTGGTATTAATCAGAGTACTAAGTAAACAAAACAATTTGAACGTGTATGTGCTATATAGAAGATCAGCCTTCAATCGCACAAAAAAAAAAAAAAAATAGTAGATTAGATCTGAGAGAAGATCTAACGAATATATATACCCTGATATTATTCAGTTGTAATAAAAATTGAAGCCCCACCATGCACCTGTATGCAGCCGTTGTGATGAGACGTTGATATCAAAATGCCGGTGAAATGAGCAGAGACGAAGGTCGCTCCCAAAACAAAGACCAAGACGCGAGAAACAGGATCAAAATAACAACTAACGAATGCACAAAAAGAGCGAGAAGGCCAGCATTGAGGTGGTTGACGAGGCTGCGAGGCTGTCAACAGTGTCGAATGTGCAATTGCTGTCGAGCAAGGCGCCTGCAAGATGGTTGGCGGTTTAAATATGATGTTGCAGGAGCGAGAAGAGAGAGAGGGGCGCATGAGTTAGTTTCGACACTAGCGACCAACCACTTTTTATCCCCTGAACATTTGTTTTCTCAGCGAGTACCAATCATAACAGGATGCTCAGACAAGGGCGCGAAGGGGAAATGCAGGAATGGGCCGCGGTGAGACGAATGTCTGCATAAACGAAGAGACAGACAGGACTGGGACGAAACGAGAATGCGAGTGACATGTAACCACGACTTTAATTATGTAATTTAATACAGAGACAAAATGGACAAAGTCAACGATGCAGAAGCCATGGATCATTTGCTTATTCATGAGAAATAATAAATGCTATAATGTAAACAAGAAAGGTATCTAGAATAGCCAAGATACAAATCTTCTGTAGAACCAGCCGGCATCGCCCTGTTGTTCTCTCTTAGCTGCCTCCTGGGCAAGGAACTCTGCCTCTTCACGATCGATCTCATCCTTTCCACTCCAGAGATCAGCCTCTGCAGCCTTGACTCCCTCGGTTTTCGTGTAGAATTTGTAACCGAAGAGAAGAATGAGGTATACGGGGATACCGAGATAGGAGGTGATGAAGTTCTTGTAGTCGAAGTTTCCATAGGTCTTGGGGTCGTGAACGAAGACGTTAAAACTCTTAGTAATGGCAATTAGGCAGCAGAAAGCGAGTGCGCCGTAGGAGCCAGTCGCGCCAAATGGTGCCTTGAAGGCAAGGGAGGTTTCCGGGACATTCTGGGCCTGGCGGGCGCGTATAAAGTAGATGTGGGTTACTAGAATGGAGATCCAGGAGAGAAGTCCGAACATGGTGACAAGGTTGACAAAGTATCCGAACACAACCTTGGAGTCATCGGAGACGTTCAAATATGCGAGTAGAGCAAACATGGTGGAAAGAGCAAGTGCATAGATGGGGACGCCGCTGCGGTTGGTTCGCGCAAGGATAGCGGGAGCCTTGCCTTCGCGAGCCAGACCGTAGATGGTTCGGGTTGCAATGTATAGATCAGAGTTCGCGGCAGAGAAGACGAAGACTAGGATGCAAGCGTTGAAGATTGAAGGGAGAATCTTGATTCCGGCGATCTGGATAGCAACGACGAAGGGTGATGCGCTGGCGCTGTTAGAGGCCCTGTTTGCGAAAAGGAGATCCGGGTGATTGTATGGAACAACCATTCCGAGGAAGAGGATGCTGAGGCAGTAGAAGAAAAGGATTCGGTAAAAAGTGAGTTTGATAGCGCGAGGGATCGTCTTTCTGGGGTTCTGCGCTTCTCCGACAGTAACACCAACAAGCTCAGTTCCGAGGTATGCGAACGTTGCTTGAACCATTGTAGACCAGAATGCAAGGAATCGTCCTGCTCCGCCCTTTAAAATGTAGGTATTAAACGCTCCAGGATTCTTCCAGTACTGGAACCCTTTCCTGTGGTGGTCGGGGCCACCTCCAAGAGCCAAGATAAAGGTCAACAGCATGATTCCAAGGATGATAATAACCTTGAACGAGGACAGCCAGAACTCAAATTCACCGAAGAATTTGATCCCAAAGTAGTTAATGGCGACAATGACAATCAAGAAAATGGTGATCCATACTCCTGGATTAACCGAATCTCGCTTGACCCAATACTGTATAACTAGTGCCGCTGCAGTTAGCTGATTCGGCGTGATAATGATATATTTGCAGTAGTAACTAGTTACGGCCATCCAGTTAGCAATTCTGAGTTCCACAGGCAGGATCAATGAATCAACTCACGAGTATCCCAGGGCAAAGCCTAGAGCAGGGTCGCAAAATCTAACGGCATATCCGGTAAATCCACTGGCAAGGGGTAGCCATGCAGCCATCTCCCCGAGCGCACTCATAACGATCCAGACGACGAAACCGACGACGAGATATGAAATAAACACGGAGCCCGGCTAAGAATTACATTAGCGCTTTGCAATGGAAACTCATGGCTCAAGGCGGAAATTTACTTACACCAGCCTTTGCAAGGGCAGCTCCAGTTCCAATGATCAAACCAGTTCCAATTGCACCGCCAATAGCTATAAAGCGATCAATTTGTTAGACAAAGTCCATTTTCCGGGCGCAATATATCAAATCAGTCGCCGTACCAATCATAGTGATGTGCCGGGATTTGAGCCCACGGTGTAAGCTGGTGTTTGGATCACTCTCAAACTGCACATCGCCAGTCTGGTCTGAGAACTCCTCCTTCGTCTGCATCGTCTCGCTGAGAGGGCCATCTTTCTGCTCCCAGGACGCCATGGCGGGCGGATGGCAAGGCCGAGGACGAGAACTATCAAAAATTGGTCGAGACTCCGGACAAAGCCTCCCAAAGCTGCAAGATACGGCTGCCGATGGAGAGCTTGAACACCGATTCTCTCAGACAGAGCGTCAAGGTCGAAGAAAGAAAGCTATCCGACGAAGGGGAGGGCGCATAAAGCCTTATTTATATATAACGGCCAGAGAGTATATCCGGGTTACATAGTAAATCATAGAAAAGAAAAGAAAAAATTTTTCGAAAAAAAAAAGTGGGCAAGGACCCTCTTGACTCCCGTTTAACCATCCTGGGGTTGCAGAGATTCCGGCTTAACGCCATCTTCAAAGTCTGGGTCGAGTTACTCCGTAATTGTTCCCGAAAAGCGTGTGTTCCGTATAGGTTTTTTGGGCGAGTGTGGTATTAGTACCCTTGGATCCTATTGGTGCGGTGCCGGGGGGAAGAACACGACGAGGTATACGCCATAGCAGAGAACTCCCGTAGTGGTCGACCTATCAAGCGGATCCCCTCTGACGCAGGCGTTCGGGACAGCCACCTTATTATTATCACTCTATATTATATAGTGCGCATATACTATGCACGAAGTATGAAGTTTGATGGGGATCTTACGTTAGACCCATGACGTCCGGGGTTGTAGGTGCAAGGCATGGGGACCCCGGTTGGCCTGACAAGGGGCCACTTGGGCATTGAAACGATTACACAGTATGCATCCAAGCCGAGTCTCACGAAGTCGTCGGGACTCCGTACGGGGGACGCCGTCCCATGTTAGCTGTACAGATTCATCACATGGCCCCTTTGTGTTCTTCGACGCCCCATAAGCATCTGCCACTGGCATGGCGCACGACGTCGAAATGCTTAGTCGTATAGAGGACCATTAAGCATAGTAAAGGTTGCATAATAAGCCTGTTAGGTTCACGGACGGGAGAGAAAAAGGAAAGCTTCCAGAGCTGTTCGATTTAATAATAAAATATGTAACTAATAGTAAATGGACTCGATGTGGGCAGCTTGAGAAATACGAGGTTTTTGTTAGTTGAAGAAGAAACAGAAGAAAAAAGCGACTTTTGGGAGTGTCATGTGACTCTTTCCTGGTAGATAACGACAAGGCAGCCTCCAGCATTATCCCCAAGGATCACGACGAGAAGATATCTCAGATGGAAGATAAGAAGAGATACCGGAAGACAAGCATCAAACAAGCGTTCCCGTGAGACACGTCTGATGGACGGCCAACTTCCTGTCGGGGGGGTTTACCGAAGGGAATTAATCCCAACAGCCCTCTCCACTCGATCCTGTTACTCGAAGTTTTATGAACACTAACAAGATCCTTGTATAGAGCCTAAGCAAATCGAATCTAGCGCATTTCTACCAGAAGCACTATATATATGTACCAGATATATATCGTGATCCGCCCGTTTGAAAATAAAAAAAAAAAAAAATTCTCCGCGTCCATAAGCCTTGTCCAAACAGTTACCTAGTGCTGCAAGGTAGCACCTACTATAGGACGTACATACGTTCAGTTGGATAGGAGACCGATAAAATGAATCCCCACTGGCAAACCAGCCTTCTTAGGCCATCCGGAACGGGGGGCGAATTTACGTCCTGGACCGTGAACTTGACTATCGCCGCGAGTTACCGTCATGGAGCCGGGATTGGGGATGTTTTCTCAACTTGTTATCATCGGTCCTTGGGGGTCTCTCCAGAAAGTATCGTGTTTCCGTGATTTGACAGGCCTTTGGTCCTGTGCCCTAGTGCCGCCTAGATGCTTGGTTGCTTGGGTGTCAAGGGGAAGAGTATGATGCCTGGCTCACCTTGGCAAATCTCATCGCTCTCTTCAGTTTAATTCAACAAAGTCGATTGATTAACTAATCCAGAGAGGTGTCCATAATAACTGACATCATGGATCCTTTCGATGTCAACATAAGGGCGTGAGGTTCGGGATTTCTGGGCTCCAGGTGTTACGCCAACGGTATGTCATCGACAAGTCAAGTGTATTTAAGAGGCGACCAGCATGTTGGTGCACCCTAGTCTAACTGATAGGTTGATGGCAAGAGTCCATGCTACTCGAAATAACAAATTATGATTACATGCCGTGTGGTGTGTGAGAAAATGCAGATGTTATTTCCACGACCTATGCTTTTTTTTTCTTTTTGCCTGCGAAGGCTGTGGGGTTCAGCCTCGGCCAACGAAGGCTGCTTCATGTTGCTGTCGAAGATAAAAAGATATAACCAACCTCTACGGAAACATATATAAAGGGCACCAAAGCCTCATTCCAGGCCGCATGCAAAGCTCTCAGCCCCGCAGTCAGGCTTTCTCCTCCAGCTTCAAAGTGAGATCCTCGTATAGTTATATATCTTCTCCTCCACGCTTTGCCCCATGCCAAGGCATCTCGCTCGCTAACAATCACAGAAGCAATCGCCAAGAGCGTGTTAATGGGCGACCAACAACACTGCTCTGTCGCCTTGGACCTCCGCATTCCCCAGAATTACCTGCCACACGGCCTGCCTCGCAAAGAGGAAGACAGGGTTACACTCTTGGCCGCCGGCTCCCAAGCCTGGGAGTGGTTGGTTGCGCGATTTCAAAGCGCTGAAGTACATGTACATACATGACTGTCATGCCAGGATAAGAAAGCCGCAGTCAATTTACATTGTATTCTAACAATAGAATCCCTGAAAGCTGTTAGGTTTCTCCGCGTTTACTGTTCCTCACTGCTGGAACACCGTTGACAGGATCATCCATCGCCATCACGTGTGAAGTTTGCCCAAGAGAACAAACGAAATTGCGACCTTGAGATGTTGCACGCCACCATCCTACGTCGACGAGCTTAGTTTTCCCCAGGAAAATGACGAGAGAGTTCCCTCTGGAAAACACCTTATTCTGCCGAGTATGCAATTTACGCATGATCGACCGGTCTATGGCGCAGGGCGTGATGCTTAAACCGGCAGCTTGTCCGTCCGGTGTTTCCGCCTTGCTCCGTACACCACGGTGTTGTGATGTTTTATGGACCTTTAAATCCTTCCATGGAGAATTTTACCCTGGAAAGCTGAGCATGTTATGCCCGATAAATGTCCGACTCATGGTAAATGTCCGACCTATCTTACTTTCCAAACTCCCAATGCCCAGAAAAAAAAGAGCGTGTTAAGTTGCTAGCTGAATGCAGCATAATTGGCCAAGCCCATTTATGTTGGATACCTGATTCGTGCTTGGCTCGCCTCATAGAATCCTCCATGGCCTCGTATGACCTCTTTGAAAGCGCCCCTGGCACCAGAGTTCGAGCCATTCAATTAATAGGGACATAGCTCTTGTGTGTACAAGGCCCCTGAGTGGGAATGTGTACTGAATCTTTGAACCATGCAACTCTATTGTTGATCAATTGAATCATCCTAAATAGGCTCTGTCATTCCAATCTACCTGTGCTATGATTCTGGGTTAAATTCTCGATGGGGTCTTATATCAATTTTAAGAAACAAAAGAAAGAACAACCTGAATCTTTAAGGGAAGGTTACGAAGAAACTAAAGCCCATGGCATTTACAGTGCGTTCCTGGGTTGTTAAAAAGCGGGTATCTTTGAACAGCTCTCATCACATGAAGAAGGATAACCAATGAAGTAACGGGAATTAATTAGGCGGGGAGGGTAATACTGAAGGCCGTTGGGGTCGTCAAGGCATATATATGTAATAGGTTCGCCCCAGGCCAGGTCTGTGGCGTATTTGAGCAAGACATGGTTTCCTCAGCCAAGTCCATTGTGATGTCCATTTGGTACGCTACCCGGAGTATCAGAATATGAGAGCGGGAATCCATCGCTGCTACCGCCTGAGGACCCTTTAGCAAAACCTTCTCGAGCCAGCATCGTGTTCATAACCGCACAGTTGTACGCAGCTTCGCCAGGCGGTATCACGACTAGTATATAGGTATTGTCGGTGAACAGGCCGAGGAACACGTTAAACTGTGGAGTTTTCGTGTGCATGACTAGAAAACTTGCCGATGCAGGAGTAGTATGTGTATTCCTCGCAGCGCAATGTTTGAACGCCTTCATAATGTTTGATAGCCGTTCGTGACGATCATAAATAGGATTTAGTTTGCCCACCTCGGAGGTGACTGAGGTGATGGTTAAGAAAGTAGATCGCTCAAACAAAACCACCTCTTCTGCGTCAATTTTCGCAGCAAATGCATGCAGAAATCTTTCTATGACGGAAAGATTGGGGATAAGTTTATGCACAATCCCCGCCCAAGCTTTATACAGTGACTGATCCCATATACTGCTACCGAACGTATCAATTGAGAATGAGCCGGATCGAGCACGAATCAGGGCCGAGCGTTCCTCGCATATCCGTCTTCGATGTTCAGTCTGGATTAAATCGAGCTTATGTATGAGGCAGAAAACGTAGGCATTGGGGCTGAATTCTTGGAGGGCACCGATGATGGAGCTGTAAGTGTCAAGATCTCGCTCGACTTCGCGGGATTCAATATCGAAGACGTATACCAATACTGCAACGTCAGAAAATATATTCTCACGCTGGGATGCGAGGTATGTTTCCATAAATGCATCTTGCCTAGAAAGCCAGGCATGTGTTAGAACCTAGTCATAACCACTTAGAAAGGAGTAGAAAGAACCATACCCTCCACAGTCCCATAAATTCAAGGTCAAGTTACCGATGAACTTGACATGACTATGTTCGACGTCAATTGTGGCTCCCAGCCGCCGCACATCCTTTGCGACATAGTTGCTAAATATTATCGATCGCATGGAGGATTTCCCTGAGCCACTTTTGCCCATGAGCAGTACCTTCCGCTTCTTCTTTTTCATATCCATGGCTGCAGCCGATGTCAGACTTCAGACAGACTCGTTCAACAGTGTGTGTCAGATGCTGCATATGCGAATGTAGAACGCCGTAGTTGCTTGTTAGTAAATAAAAAGAAACTGTGTGGAGAGAAAGGTATTTGTGGTGAGAAACTGACGTAGTGACGGCATGGAAGGTTTGGAATTGCCTAGTTGGGGTTAGTGTCTCCCAGCCACTTATTTCTTCCATCTTTGCAATTTATTCAACATGACAAAGTGTCGTCGCTACGAGATAGACAATAAGCTATTGATATGTTATTCTCAAATTACGCTTATATATCTATGGCCCGCGCCGGGTAGCTGCATCAACGTTGCTGAAGAGCTATTGTCACTATACCTCCCCAGCACTACTTATTACTCTATACCCTCAAGCTCTCCTGTACTTATGCTCAGCAGGGTATTTCAATGAAGATATCAATGTTTTGCTACTGGGTGACTGAGTGAGGTGTAAAGTTCTTCTTATCTCTGGCTCTAATGAAAATGCTGACCACCCGCCATAACAATTTCAATTGCGCATGTATTCAGAAGTCGATGCATCAGACCTTCTCAGGCTCTCAGCATATTCGTTGTTGTCCCGTATAACTTGGGAGGCAAAGGTGGCCTGCAGCTAGCAGCTGCCCTTTTTAACAACAACATTGAAATTTCCGCTATCAAACACCTGCCCTCTCACCGAAACGACCTGCGGACTGACACACGTGTCAAGAATATCCTGGGCGTAATCTGCAATTTGCTTGCAGGGTATAGAGATCGTATTCGTGGTCTGCCAACAAGTTAATATGCTGAAAGCTGAAAGGTGAACTAAGATATAAAGACACGTACATCATTGCATAAGAAGATGCCAGATTTCCAGGAACAGCTGACACGAGTACATGTCCGTGCTGCGCCACCACACTTTCCACTGAGGCCATTAAGATATCTGATACCCTCTTGAATACTTTTAACGCTTGCAGGATCACCTTGAGGATAGCAGTTCATCGAGGTCTGCATCGTTTAGATCATTAGCAAAGCATCTCTATGGAGCTCGAACCCCATTAAGGATTGTTTAAGGAACCACGTTACCTTGTAACGAGCCTGGATATTACGGTCATGGCGATTCTTAGAGTGGTCGTCCGGGTTTAATGTTGACCTGGCGAGACCCTCGGCTTGGGCATATATCTCCTGTACGGTGCCTTTGAGGCTCACTGTCTCTCCATCGAGTGCAACAGGGCCAAGATACGTCAATGGGCCCTCTGGATATGGAAGGGGGTCGGAAACTGGACTTGCATAAACCTATATTATGTTAGAGGCCACTCAATTGAATATAGCTCGAAGAGCCATAGACGGTGGACTAATGTTACCTGGGTAGCCCCTATGCTGAGAAACCCAGCTGTAACAAGTGTTACGGTAGTAGTAAACTTCATCTTGCTTGTCAATGACCGACGTATCAATAGAATTCGAAGAAGAGAATGAGTTTGTCAGAGAGACTAAGGTGATATGCGAAGGGCTTTATAGTTCACGACGCTACTCAGTGACTGTACAATTTCTGGAGAATGCCACTCTATAGTGACGCTTTATATTATTGCATATAATATTTTAAGAGGGGCCGTGATCACTTGTATGGCTCCCCCATCAAGTGATCCTTTTCTTGTTCCTGAATTTCTTTATGTTTGAGCGCCTCTAACTGTGGGGCATACAAACGCCAATATCCGAAAGTGGACTAGCTCCCGAAGCCATCAGGCGTGCCGCGCGCCAAGCCAAGTTTGTAAGCGCGACCGGCTTTGTTCTCTTGCACCCTTCAAGAGTGACGACTTCGCGCCATTCGCAGCTTCACAAGTTCAAATTGTGATATCTACATTTTTTACCTATAGAGTGCGCGATAATGAAGGGTTTGTTACCTAACTTGTTGGTCTATATATACTACTCCGCAATTGGCATGGACAGCAAGACCTCCCAAGCATACCGTAGTGTTCTACATGAGTTCTACTGTGCTAGCCACATGGTTGAAAGGGTACTTCAAGGGATAAAGTTGAACATGCGGAGTAATTTCCTATACCCTGAAGTTTGCCTGTCTCCTATCAAGCCCCGATAACTTGGATTACTATGCCTATGTTATGCAGGTTGTTATGCAGTCACCAGGGTCTCGGGGAACAGTGCCTAGCTAGTTTGCTTTCACAACATCTTATAGTATAGGTTCACTTCCACTCGATTTTCTTTGTTAGAATCTCCCTCGCTTAGGGAGCACTAGGGGAAGTGAACGATACAGTGAATTCTCAGATTAGCCACCTTCGATGATAGCCTATATAAAATCCCAGCTCAAGAGGCATAACCATGAGATAAGTATATCTAAAGTCATAGAATGGTTATATACTACCATCTACTTAAACTAGGGAGCGATTTCTATATTATATCGCAGGGTCATGCGTAGTCGCCGAAAATGATTACTTGTTGCTAGACTTTTAAGTTGATAGAAAGGGCCGTACGAACTACGTATATTCTCATATTCAGGCTATAAAAAGGCCGTGTCCTTAATGAGATAAATAAGAGTCCATATAGCAGTCTACGCCTGATCATACGAACCAATCTTGGGTTGATGACAGGGACTAAGAACTTTGATACGTATTTTAAGGTCTTTACATCCAGGCCATGCGACCCAACCCAAGCTTGGTTTGGATGTATACCCATGGAAAGCATCAGCTTCAATCTTGTTATACGGTGTGTTGATGATAATGTGCGATGCCGTAAGAGTATCTCTAATAAAGACGTCTATCATCTGCAACAGCGGATATTGTAATAATATCCCTATCATAATTTCTCGAGGCTAGTATGAACCTCCATGGCTGTATGAATGCGCGTCAATACGCTGATCTGACAATCCAAGTCCGTAAGTGATAATATCATATACTATACCATAATTATATTTTCCCTTGAACCAGACTGTCTCACCATGACGTAAAAACTTACCTATGCGTATGCCGGCTTCACTTGCCCCCATACCTAATTTCGTTTCTATAATGCTGTGGATCCCAATATGATCCCTCAAGAGCGCTTAGCTCTTAGATACTGGGAGACAACGTTGCGACTAATATAGAAAAAGGAGCTGCGATAAATACAGTGCGCTCCAACCTTAGGACAGCCTTGTTGGCCCGTCGATCACAGGTAAGAATATGCTATTTTAACTGGTGCCTTGGGCGGCCCGACTTAGCTACCGCTAGCGCAGTGATATTTCGGGCGATGCCTTTGGTTGTACAGGACAAGGATCCGACCGTTAGCCTGAGAGCATTTCCAGCTGTCATATGGTACCGGTACCGTAGCCAGAGAGTCATGCCAGCCAGCAATTTAAAGTTGATAGTCGCCGTTTGGAAGGGTGACGTTGCGTACTATGAAAGGGTGCTGCATATGCACTGCGCAGAGTAAACATTTAAGCCATACTTTCTACCGTCCGGTCTGGGGGATCTGTGTATATGTACGGAGAAGTATACAGTGGCCGAGCTTTGGAACCAGACAAGTGCTCGGTAGAAGAAGAGTATAACGCTGGGAGAAGCTTGCTCGTACACCAGGTTGACTAATAATGCCTCCTCCCCTTGGCCCGGATAGTTCGCAGTGCGTTATTAGAGCCTATGTCTGTTGCTCCAACGCTCGAAGGAAACAAGTCGGCCCGCTTGACGACGGTGAGTAAGGGCGTAAAGTAGTAGTAGTTAATCGACCAGGATGAAAACGAGGGCTCGAGAGGGAGGTCTTTTCTCTCTCTCCCTTGTCGACGAAGCTCATATATACACGTATACCTGTAAGAGTATAGACGTACCCCCGGAAGCTTCCACCGCCGTCCGACCACCTCGTCCAGCCCATGCATACACCCTGGAGAGGCTGTCCGGCCGTGATTTGTCACTGCATCCTGTCGTCTTTCCTGGAGTCAGCCTGGCGTTTTCATGCTATTCAACCGTTAGTTATCAAGACTCGAAACGAAGCTCAACCACGAACCGAACGTCTCCTGCAGACTCTCAGTAACAAGTAAAATAAACAATAACTAGATGCTAATACTAAACAAACCATGAACAAAAGACGGACGTTGATGCTCGACGTTTGAGTGATGCTACTTTAGTAAGAAGCAAAAAAAAAAAAAAAATCCACCGGAAAAGAGAAAAAAAAAGCCGCCCACTTCTCAAAAGTGTTATTTTTCTTCCCGTTTTTTCATCTTCTCCCTCAACAACCACCAACTTCGCTGCTCAAGAAGAAACTCCTCGTCTTCTTCCTCTTCCCCCTTTTTTCTCTCTCTCTTCCTCCCTCTCCCCGTTAATTCTTTCTATCCTTACCGCTCTCTCTTTTTTTTCCGTTCTGTTTTTGGTTATATTATTATTTTTTATTATTTTTTATATTTTTTTTCTGGGGGTTTTTCTTCGTCGGGGTTTCCTTATTCTTTTCTATTTGGCCTTTTTATCTTCGACTCGACCGGCAGCTCATCTATAAGGGAGGAAAAGAAGAAGAAGAAGAAGAAGAGGAAGATCCGGAGAGGACGTCCGGGATAGAATAACAGAAAGACGGACGGCATCGCTGCGTTGGACTCCTTTGCGTCGTTGAAAACGATAGCCTGAAATCCTCTATCTGGCCATGGCATCCATCCAGTCTCCCACCCCCAAACTCGACCGATACATCATCATCCACGTCGCCACTACTTGTGATGAACATGGCGTCTACGTTACAAAGGACTCTGCCGAAGTCATCGAGCTCGGATGGATACTGCTCGACACCAAGAACTGCGAGGAGGTAGGATATCCTGTGCTGTCCGTCCGGGGGTTTCACTCTCCGTTTCAAAAAGACCACCTGCTGACGATGCCAATTACCTCCAGATCCATCGAGAGAGCGTCCTGGTGAAGCCTGTCAATACTCCTATTACGCCTCTTTGCAGTACGTGTCCAGTCTGGTTCGGTTTTCTTCATAAGGGCTAACCAGACACCTAATATATATAGCGAGCTTGACCACTCTTACATGGGAACATGTTCGATCCGCGGGTACCTTCCGTGATGCAATCAATCGTTTCGATACCTTCGCCCAGGAGAATCTCTTGTCAAAAAACCTCGAGTTCGCCTTTGTGACGCTGGATTCATGGGACATGCGTGTGCAGCTGCCTAGGGAGGCCCGTGATAAAGCTGTCGTGCTACCTCCGTATCTGCAGCATTCCCGCACCTTTGACCTTCGAACGGAATATCAACGCTGGCAGCAACACCACCCAGAGTCCCTCCCCTTCGGACCAAGTGACCTGGCCAACATCTGTGCAGCCCTGGAGGTCGAGCCAGTCCAGTCCTCCGCTCCCATCAAGCACAACCTCCCATTCCACCTGCAAGCCCTCGCCCCTGCGTCTCCCCGTCGGGCCATGGAAGAAGTCATCACGCTTGCCAGAGTGCTCCGTGGGTTGATTCGCAAGTCTCAGCCTCCACACGAACACCCGGAGATTATGACCCGCCCTATGGACGCCAGAGCGGATGTTCGTGCGTTCTTGGCAGAGCGTAGTAAGGTTTTGCATATGAGTGGCCTGCCGCACGATACCACACAGTCTGAATTGGAGAGTTGGTACACGCAATTCGGTGGACGTCCCATCGCATTCTGGACGCTAAGGACGCCAGACCAGCACAAGCCTACTGGTACCGGTTTTGCTGTCTTTTCGTCCCACGAAGAAGTGAGTTTGTTAATATCATCTTGACACTGGTACTATTTCTGACCGTTGGGGATACACACATGTATTTATAGGCTGCTGAAAGTCTTTGCATGAATGGTCGTGCATTGAATGACAAGGCCATTGAAGTCTCTCCTTCTTCGAGCCGTGTCCTGGACCGTGCTGCCGAGATCCTTGCACCATTCCCACCAAGCAAGAATCGTCCCCGCCCCGGCGATTGGACTTGTCCATCGTGTGGTTTCTCAAACTTCCAGCGTCGTACTGCCTGCTTCCGCTGCTCCTACCCAGCCGTTGGCTCTGGCCCTGACCCAATGCCGTATGCTTACACTTATGGACCACCAAACATGATGCCACCACCCCACCACATGGGTCATCATGGCGGTCACGGTGGTCACGGAAGCCACGGTGGTCATGGTGGTCACGGCGGTCACGGTATGGGCCACCACTCAAGAGGAATGGGAGGAAATGGCGGGGTTGTCCCATTCCGTGCCGGAGACTGGAAGTGTGGATCCGACGGCTGTGGCTATCACAACTTCGCGAAGAACATCAACTGTCTTCGCTGTGGTGGACCACGCTCTGGTGCCGCTGTTGTCGCTGATTCTGCATTCCCAGCCCCCATGGATCCCCAGTCCGGGTTTGGCATGGGCGGCCCTGCCTCCATGGCTAACGCTCCCGGTGCCGGCCCTTTTGCTTCCACCGGAGGCAATTTTGGTGGCTTTGGCCAGCAGTTTGGCGGTCCACCAAGTACCTATTCCCTCCCATCAGGACTTGGGAATGCACCAGGCCCCTATCCGCCACCCATGGGCCAAATGAACCATGGTGGTTATGGTTCCACGAGCGCTTCTCAATCTGTAGCATCCTTCGGAAACCCTGCAACCCAGGCTGCCTTCACCGCTGCTGACCATACCCCACAGCCTGTCGGTACTTCCAATGGCGGCGGATTCTACGGGGGTGACGGAGCATCCGATCCATTTGCCTTCCTCTCGACCGGCCTTGGAGGCCTAACTGTCGGAGATGAGCCACATGGACGCAGAAACGGGGCATCCGCTAACAAATCTCCTGCCTAGACCTAATAAGCGGCAATCTCAACCGGGCATTTGTGCAGTGCTTAACCTAATTTGCATGAGCTTAGCCACATGATCCCAGCTAATTGTTAGCAGCGAACCAACTTCATATAACACCGCTTTTATACAGGTCTAAGATCCCCAAGATTGTCTGCTTGGACCTTTCCAGTGTATCTGTGAAGGACCTGGTTCTTCTTCCCGTTTCTCATTTGTCCAAGTCTCTTCCCCTCATCCACGCATTGTTTCTGTTCAATTTTGTTTTTTGACGGCCTCGGTCTCCTACCATCTCATTTTTACCCCAGCCGAGGATTCCTTCAACACTCGCCAACGATTCCGGTCAATCGCGGAAGCTATATTGCTTCAACTCCAGCCAGAGAGGACCACCGTACCAAAATGTTGTCTGGCCTCATTGTTTCGATCATCTTTTCCGGAGAAATAGAACACAGTGCAATAGACCGTCTCGATAGCACTTGATGTGTGAAATTGGATTCCCCTGGGCTTTATTCTTTCTTTTTGGTCTCTTGGAGCGGGGTGTGGAATGTTGGATGGATGCTTCTTTTCTATGGCATTTTGAGCGAAAGAGAATATACCAAGCAAACCTCTTTTTTTGGAAAAAAAAAAAAAAAAATTACACCAGCGAAACAACAAAAGCAAAAGAGTGGCATCCAAAACATCGGAAGGAAATTGAAAATGGGTTACAGAAGATGGTTTTTTCCTTTTATATCTCCACATGGAGGAAATTGGCTATTTTGTTATGTCTCCTTCCTTACGTCTGCTTTTTTTTTAAAAAAAAAGAATTTGACAGAATGGGGGGGAAAAAGGGGGGAAATACAGCGGGTTGGAAAGAACCAAAAGCAGGAGAGCCGGGAGTACTTACTTATATGTGGCATGCAGCATTTGTTCTTCGTGCCTGGAAATTTTTTTTGTCTTCTTTTCTTATAGCTTTTTTGATCGCTGTGTTGCCGCCCTTCTTACTCATTCCTACTATATTATCTCCCTACCCTTCCCCCCTCCCCCCCCCTTTTTTTTTGTGGCCTGTACTTTTCTCTCTCCCCCATCTCCATATATTTTGTTCAACCCCTTTTAATATGTTACTGTTGCTGTGTTGATTCTATCTCTCGATCTTTGGAGGGTTGCCCCATGAACGGACAATGCAAGGGTAGTTTTGGTTGCAGGATGGAGTGTTTTCCTTTGGCCATCATCAGTTGGAAATAGGTTGGCTCTTTTTTGGGATGGCATGTGGGTTGTTTTCATAGGAGTGCGGCTTGGTGGAATTTCCTTTTCTTTTTAAATTATTCTTCATTCATTCCAGGCCCTCGTCTCCCAGATTGTTTTCTGTTTCAATATTGTAAGCCTCCTATAACTGTGCTATTTTAATTCCACCTTGCCCCCTTGATCTTTATATCATTCTTCTTCTATCAGTATCTTCAGAATGCTGCTTGTTATTTCTTTAACATTGTTGTGTATGCTACCAACTGTATGTACACCGTCCGGGCAAATTATTTCTCGACCTTTGAAAACGGTTAACACGCCTGGCCTTTGGTCAATTGTATTTAGATTGTTGCGAATTTTATGAAAACACGGAGAAAATAAAGCCATATGCATGCTCTTAAAGAGGCTATATAGTGGGTGGCCATTCGTCATAGAATGAATATCATTCAACTTGGGAACTTAAGAAACGGCATGGTTAGACAAGCGTGAAAGAAGCAGAACCGAACAAGAGTATGATAGCTAGATCAAAATATCTTTCACTCGGTCTCATCACCCGTAACTGTACTTGCCACACTTTCAGACCTGCGAGCTGATGACCGCTGTCTTGCAATCACAGTGTCATCACCATCTCCTTCATCTTCCTCATCAATTCGGCTGATATTACTTACTGCTACTGAGCTGGCCCTACTGGCCTGAGATAGTGCCGTCACCTCAGTTTCATCTTCTTCCTCAATTGGTTCATCTTTAATGCGGACTCTGTCTCTTCTCTCTGGCCGCGCAGACACCGAGCTAGTGTCCATGTCCGTTGGCTTAATTATACAAGAAAGCAGTTTTAGGATGGAGTTCTTTGCCTTCACAAGAGCATTCCGGCTTGAAGCATCACTAGCAACACCAGCTGAAATGGCTTGGTCTAGCAGATCTTTGACCAACAGGGGTAATTCATCGTCATCTTCTTGAAGTTGTGAAGTCATGTTATCGGTTCTGATACTTGATCGTAGACTCTCCCGCTCGTCGGGTGCGCCCTCTGGAACACGAGAGCTGGCTCTTGAGGAAGGCATTGGAGCAGGGGTTGGCAGATGAAGCTTGCTTAGCATAGAAAGCAAGTACTTCCTCTCTTCTCGTGGAGCGGTAGCGAACCCCCCAACACCAAGGACACGCTGGAGAATATCTTTGGCGAGAGCGAGATGAAGGCTTTCACTGGGTCGTAGCATTGAATTTGTTGAAAGACTCGCTGGTGCTAATGGGTCTCCTCCTCCACCCAGGCCGATAATCCGACGGTCATCAGTCCATTCAGTTAACATCCCAACGACACCCGTCATGAGAGCTTTCGTTTCTTTCTCGCCGACACTTCCATCTATTTCGCCATCACTATCCTCCTCTGCTTCAAGAGCATAGAAATCATCGACCACTGCAAGAACAGTGCGGATTGCCGGTACCGCAATCCTCCGCATGTGCTGGGCATTGGCTATGTGCGAGTGGCAGTAAACGGGGAAGAAGTAAGTCAATGCTTGTCTGAGAGATAGGTTATCGCGTGTCCGAGGGTTGAAGAATGCGAGGACAAGGGACTGTAAGAGTGTTGTAATAGAGTTATCGTTGAATTCCTTGATAGATGGAGGAATGGATGGATTTGAAGGAGAAAGAGCATTAGTAAGGAGCATCTTGGTTAGCGCAATGACAGCCGCACTCTGGGCATGAGGTAGAGTTGATGTCTTAAGAGCCTTTGCAAACGCTTTCAGAAGAGGCTTTTGAAATGGTGGAGGTGTCACGGAGTTGGGATCATTAGGTGATGCAGTTGGTGCAAGCAGCGAGGTGTGTGTTGTAACTATATCTGACAAAATTCTCAGGGCCATCTCCTGAAGTGATTCATGGCCCTTAGTATAACAATGGATAAACAAACCCATGTTTTCCTCCGCGAGGGACTTGTTTCAAAAGTTAGCCATGCGTCTAGTAGGTTGTCGAGTAGACTGCCGTGGAATGATAATACATACCTTGTCTAGCAAGCAACACAGTCCTAAACATTCAAGGCCTCTCTCACGGATAGGGGCTTCGTGACTTCGAACAGCGGGTACAACCAAATTGTTCAACATTGTGACAAGGTGGACATTGTCCTGAAGATTGCCCTCCACATTTTGAAGCATACATTGTGCAATGTAGAGACACTTCATATTGACCACAATTTCTTTGAGAACTTTAGCCTTAGCCTCTTCCTTGTTGAACGGCACTTCGCCATCTTGTTCAGTATCATCTTCATCGCCTCGTCCTGCACCGCTTTTGCGTTTATTCTTCTGCACTGGTTTAGTGCTATCCTCACTTATCTCCGATTTAGCCGATACAAAGCTATCCTCAGAAACAATGGTATCATGAACTTCTGCCACAGCTTCGAGAACAACACTGCAGAATTCACCTTCACCAGCGGCGTTCGGGCTACACACACATCGTAAGACCTCTACTGTTAGCTTTGTAATCTCATCAGGTAGATTAGAAACGGCCAAGGTCTCTCGAAGGAGAGAAAACATCTTTCTTCGTCCAACCTCATCGCTGTAATCAAGTGTGAGGCAGATGTAAAGTAGCTGTTCAACAATAAATTCGATTTCCATAGTTTGCTCCTCCCCTCCTTCAGCCACCTCAGGATGGTTTAATCTCATAAGAAGCATGGTTGTATACTTGTGTAGATAAAACGCCATAGCGGTGACTTCTGGAATTTTCTCGTCGGCCAAATCTTCGAGCTTTCCGTTGCCCTCCTGTCTGCAAAACGCATTGAAGCTCCGAACCATGAAAGCTGATTCTGCGGTCAGAGTTTCCCAAAACTGTTGATCAAATGAGACAGCATCGCGGTAATCCGGCCTTCCTTCCCAGAAATTCTTCATGGCTTCGTGTGCGATTCCATTTTCTACCCCTGAGTTCACCACGTCAATGCGTTCCAAAAGCTCCGTAAGAGCAGCAATCGTGGGGGACAAAGACTTTTCCTCGCCTTCATCCTCGTCTGTTCTATATGAACTTGCACAATCTTCAATCCAACGATCATAAAACAGCCGCCCAGCTGCTTTTCGTACACTTTCGTCACGATCACGCATACCCCACCGTAATAGCTTCTCCCGCATAGAGAGAGAAAGATGACGAAAGTCACCAAGCGTAGGTAGTAACCGGGTATACAGAGCTCGTCGAGTTGGACCATCGACGTCTCGAGCTCGTTCAAGGAGAAATGGTAAGGTCGATGGGGTGAGAGGAAGGTTAAGGAGAAGTGTGCGTCGTACTTCGGCGCTGGTGTCATTTTGAAGCACATCAAGAAGTTTCTCTAGTAGAGCTGACGGGCTGTCCCCCTCCTCTTCCTCCTCGTCATTACCTGCCAGTCTTCCAAGGCCCATAACAGCCTGTACGCGGACGGTAGGTTCCTTATCTCTGATCCTCTTGACTAAGCCCTGCCTTATCAGGTTGTATAATTCATCATCGATGGAGTCCAATGAATTCACAATATGTGAGATGATCTGCGTAGTTCGATATCTAACCGTCTTATCCTTTGCAGCAAGTAGCGGAATAAGGGTAGACACGATGGTGAACGTCAATCGAGATGAAGGCGTTTCTGGTAGACCCCGAGTCTCGTCGGGGTCATCATCCGAATATATCTCGAGGTCTGTAGAGCAAAGGTTAGTTATCGACTTGGATGGCCCGACTCAGGTGGAAACTCTTGGGTCCTACCTTTATCAGTGGCAGCTTTCAAAAATGTTCCTAGGAATTTAATGACACGATCGGCCGCCCCCTCAGCTTTTTTCACTGGTACCACCCGAAGTAAACATCGGCATATCTCGATATTCAACTCCTTTTCTGGAAGCCCACCGCCAGCCAAATCTGGATGAATCTCGCTCAGGCGAGAGCCTTTTTTCCCGTCTACTTTCGTTGTTCGGAGCCCACAACAAACTTCTTGGATTTTTCTCAGCTTTATAGCAAGTTTTCTGTGTCCCGTAATTGTGCGTTGCGCATCAGCGAATATATCGACTACATTTGAGCGAAGGGATGCAGAGGTTGTCGGCAACGCAGGCTCCTCGGGAATATAAACACTGGGCGCAGTTGCTGGCGGTACGGACGATTTCCGTGTGGAAGCAGTCGACGAAGCGCGGGTGGAGGAGGTACGTCCGGGCATTTTAAGTCACAATCCAGGCCTGGATGTAGCCTGTAACGCGGTAGAAGGGCAGGTTGCTGTTCAAATATTCCGAGGGGAATTGCTTCGGAAGAACGAGAGAAGAAGCAGGCCAAGGTTGAGAATTAGCGTTGAAAACAAAAACTCCGTCTGATATCAGTGCGGATACTGATATCGCGATAGAAACATGCGGCTCGTTGCTTGCTTGCTCGCTCGCTTGGATTGTCGGTTTTTCCCTTTTTGGTTATCAAGTAAACAAACATTGTGATAAGATAAGCGCCATGACGCTAGTCCATGTTAGGTATGTCTATCCGAGTGCCGCGGTGTTGCCAAAACGGGAAATCCAGCGCTTCTTTCGTAGCTTTACAGCAGATGAACTCGACTTTTTGTTCTTTTTCTTCCTCATAGATATCAATATATTGCTTTACCAGTTGTCTATATTGACCTCCTTAGGCCTGACTGACATTCATCTCTCTTTACGAGCCTAATCACGCCATATATTACACTTCTGACTAATCGGACAGGCCTATTCTCCTCCACATTTCAATCCCCATATAACTATTAACTATCTTGGCTTCCCTTTCCTTTCAATTGAAGGCCTCAACTTCATTTGTGTATATATATACGACAAACGCCATGTTTAGGAAAGGAGTTCGATCTTTTACCACTACAGCCTTTAGGGCTGCCGAGACTGCAGCTCAAATGGAGGCTAGGAACACCTATGGTATTGGGGTTTCTAAAGCACAAGGTGTTGTCAAGGGCCTTACTGGAGGTAATACAATCGCGTCCTTAGTTACAAGTACAATACCACAGAAAACTGATAGGTATTACTACTAGCCATTGGAAACACTCCATTAATTCGCTTAAACCGCCTGTCCGAACAGACTGGTTGCAACATCCTCGGAAAAGCCGAGTTCCAAAACCCAGGAGGGAGTGTCAAGGACCGCGCTGCATTGTTCGTCGTTAAGGATGCTGAAGAGAGAGGCCTACTTAAGCCAGGCGGCACCGTTGTTGAAGGAACCGCAGGAAATACCGGGATTGGCTTGGCTCATGTTTGTCGGTCGAGGGGATACAAGCTCGTTATTTACATGCCAAACACTCAATCGCAGGGGAAAATCGATCTGCTAAGACTCCTTGGTGCAGAAGTCTACCCTGTACCCGCCGTCGCCTTTGACAACCCGGAGAACTACAATCACCAAGCCCGGAGACATGCCGAATCCCTCGAAAACGCCGTCTGGACGAACCAGTTCGATAATATAGCCAATCGAAGGGCCCATATTGAGACCACTGGCCCCGAAATCTGGGCCCAAACGGAAGGAAAAGTAGATGCTTTTACCTGTGCGACTGGGACGGGTGGCACATTGGCGGGAGTGACCAGGTATCTAAAGACCGTGAGTGATGGCAAAGTGAAGTCCTTCCTTGCCGATCCTCCAGGGAGCGTGCTGTACAGCTACATTACAAGTGGGGGAACCCTTATCGAGCGCACTGGTAGCAGTATAACGGAAGGAATTGGCCAGGGCCGTGTAACGGACAACTTACAGCCTGATATTGATCTTGTTGACGGAGCTCTCAATATCAGTGATGAGAAGAGTATTGAAATGGTGTACCGATGCCTCGATGAAGAAGGTTTATACTTGGGTGCAAGCTCGGCCCTTAATGTTGTTGCAGCAAAGGAGGTTGCGGAAAAGCTCGGAAAGGGACATACTGTCGTTACAATGCTCTGTGACGGAGCCTATCGATACGCGGACCGATTGTTTTCTGACGAATGGTTGAAATCCAAAAATCTTAGAGGCGCGATACCCCAGCATCTTGAGAAGTATATTGTGCTGCCTTAATATGTATATATATGACACAATAATGTTGGTTTAGTTGATAAACATGCTATAAAGCTGGCAAATATGTTATCAATATGTACGATGAGAATGGGAAAGAAGAGGAAGTGAGTATACCAATCACCACAGATGGTGACTTGACATCAACGTTGAGAGAAGTTACGTTATAAAACATCAATCCTGCTCCCAAGAAACCGCTCATAAGAATCGGGCTCGCTCGTTCAACAAGCGCAAAGAAATACTTTTTAAACCAGCCATTAAACAACATTAACATCCCACGAAGCACCATAACCGTTGTAAACCACGCCACGAATATTCCATTGAGAAAATTCCGGTTGGGTATTCCCGCCTCCATCAGTAGCACGACAATATATCGTCTTACCCTGTCCCTTTTCAGCTTTGGCCCTGACTTTCCATAGAGTCCAGCTCCACTTGGATTGTGGCTTGTCATCCTGTAGTTCAGCATCGACCCAGTTTTCTCCGCCATCTGTTGAGACTTCAACGCGAACAATCGGTCCTTGACTCCCAGCGGGGACGGCAAATCCTTTAACTTCTATACAGCCATCAGAGGATAGCTTGATGGTATCTCCATCGTCTGGACAAGCGACGACGGAGTTAACTGGCATTTCTTGGATTGACGGAACCGTTTTCCAGTAGTCCTCTGCGAGTTCCCAGGTGCTTGCCTCTGGGGGAAGAACTTTGTAATCATGCTGTTGATAGAAGTTTGGCGACTCATCCGCTTGGACTGTGATTCGATCAAGCCATTTAACCCATCGTGCGCCAGCAACTCCAGGCACGACCACCCGAACGGGGAAGCCGTACTCCGGCGGTAGAGGCTCATCATTCATCTGGCGATTGTTAATACTCAAAGTGATAAACAGGGATGGGCAAAGTATTCTTACATCAAGGGCCAAGATAACCTCTTCGCTCATCTTCATGGCTCTCCATAGCTCGATGCTCACGCCGTAATAATCATCATCCTCGCATGGAGCTTGAAAACAGGCAAAGGCAACATTTAGCAGACTCTGCTCTGGATTCTTATTCTTGAGCTGTGCTCTCATTAAAACGTCTCTAAGGCGCGGACCCTTCCACTTGCAATTCATGATAGCTCCATCGGCCCAGTCGACACCATGCACCTCTTTTAGCTTCGTTCGCATAGTATGCCGCCTATTTCCTGCGCATTGCAATGCACATACAACTTCATGTTGAGGAAATTCATTCCGGAGTTGCGATACGGATATCGAAAACGGAGCTTCGACCTCGCCATCGACGGTGATGAAATGCCGTGCCCCATTTATTTGTGGAATGATGCTATGATTTCGATAATATCCATCCTTCGTTGTCAGGAAACTGTGATGATACAAGTCAGCTTCTAAAGCCACCAATCATATCCCCAGTTGCGGCAAGAATACGAGCCAACTGCTGTGACAGGGATTGGTATGTTCTGCAGACCACCACCAGAAGAACTAAACGGATAACATCATAACATACCTAGAAACAAGTTCTTTGATGGGCGGCTCTCTGTTCAGGATCTCTGCCAAACCCAGCCGCGGTGTGTCCGCCTATGTCAACCAGTTAGCAGGTAGCACAGCAACAGCGGCTTAACCAATGGTGATGCCATACCTTGTCCATAGCTAGATATTCTTTGATGCGATTCAAAATGAAGGCAAATGGTTCCCTGATGAGGAAATCTCGGATGAGACTCAGCAAGGACCTAAAAGCTGCTTTAAAAGCTGCTCTCAAACCCGGTTGTAACATGATAGTTAGTTAAGGAAGCCTCTGTGTTTGCTACTTTTTTCTCTCTTCTCCTACTGCTCAGATTTCAGATCCAGGTGGGCATGGCAATCCATATATAAATTGTTTTACCTTCTAGTGTGCTGCCAGATGATCAAGCCGTGTAACGAGCAGAACAACTCTTCTAGGAGCATATAGACCAGCCAAGGGATTGCCCAGGTCCACAAGGGCTAGATATTATTATTGTTGGAGGGCCTGTTTTCACTCTCTAGACTACACCGTGTTGGGTGAAGCGGTCTCAGTGGCTTGCCCCTAAGCCATGCACGCTTGGACTATCGGCGGAACGGTGGGTATTAATTCTCCTCATCGAGAGAAAAGGGATAGAAGAAGGTTATTATGGCCGGGAAGAGCCTGTTCTGGCCAAGCACTTTCGTCCTTGATATCGGAGGGATTATCCCTTCTTTCTTGCAGCTTGTTTGCTGTTCCATGGTATATATCCAAGGACGAGCGGAAGTTGCGGAGGGCTCGGGAAGTGAGCGGCAACCAAGCTCGTCCCAGAGGAGAAGACTTCATCAAAAAAATTAATTGCACAGCGTTTTCTTAGCATGGAGATCTTGTGTGTCTGCTCAAGACTGCGATGCGCCACCAACTCGATATTCGAACCGGCTAGTGTGACGTATTATTTGCGTCAACAGAATCGCCAAGCGTCCAGGAAAATCTTCTTTGCCGGCCGAAAGCATGATAACTATTTATCTGCTCTTTGGTCGAGAGCCGGAAGATGGTTTTTTGTTTGTGGGCTTGTTTGTCACCGGCTGGGGGAACGGCTGTATTTGCAGGGCTGGGGTGGCCGAGATGGCAGCAGGAGAGTTGTCAAGGTATTTTTTCGGGGATTAATATAATATATATATTCATTATTCTTGGCGTCAGTTTAATAGTTGTACAGCCGCAACACTTTTGTTACATATATCTCGACTTCTCCCCGTGTCAGATCAAGTCTTTTGTTGCCTTTGTGAAGGGCCGGGACGGAAGCTGTTGGGGAGGTGTCGCCCCCCTAGTCAGTCCCTAATAAAATAGTATCGGAGCTCAGCTTTGCTGATCGTCCCGCCCATCGCCGATGGACTGGACGCCATGCGGAGTCGAACTAGAGCTCGAAGGAGAACATACCCCTTGGGCAGCCCAGAGCATCGAGCACGCTGGAGGACGACACGCCGGCCGAGTTCTATGTGCATGCCAAGGTCATAACCAACCACCTTCTATGTAATAAGGAACCCATCCGTGCAAAAAACGCCAAGTATACGCCGGTTGTAGGTGTAGTAGTATCCCGCCAAACCCCTTATAAATCGTACAATTATCAACAACGTCGAGTGGAAAAAGAGAGTCTATAGAACAAAGAGAGACTCCGCCGGGACTTCGTGGGTTATTTTTGTACTTTTATTCGACACGTCGACGGCTTTCGCGGAGCTTTATAGGGTTAGGTTGCATTAATCGGATGGCTGTCTCATGTACGCATCAATGGCAGCACTAAAGGCCGCAAAACCAGCACATCCAAGGAGGGCTGCCTGAGGACCTGCTTTGGCGCCAAGGATTCCACCAGTGATGCATCCAGCAGCGATACCGTTGGCCAGATCATTTTTGGCACGTAGCCCTTCAATGCAGCATTCAGTGCCACTAAAAAGAGCACCAACAACCATGAAGTTCTTCGCGCTGCTGTATGATCGTGAACCCATGTCTTTGAATCCGCGTCGAAGTTGCTCGCGTACCGGTAGAGAGGATATTTGCTGGCCTTGGGGCGTGAGAGGTGTATCATATGACATCTAAGCAAAAGGCACAAGGATAAGCAGTTGAATATATATGAAAAAATGCATGAACGTATGTGAGACTTACACTGCTCATGAACAAGCCGAATGCGCCTCCTAGCGCAAAGCCCATTCCTCCCGCCATTACTGTTTTAACTGGACACGACTCCATGGCACCAGTCATCTATTGGAGGTTGACATATTAGTATCCGCCTTCGCATCGTCAAGCTCATCTCCTGTTTAAAGGATTATAACTCACCATTTTGACCATAGCCTGCTCCTGTTCATTCAGCCCGCTGGTCGATGGAGGAAGTCCCGCACTTGTCAGACCGGGGGTTATCCCCGACGAACCGCTGGATCCTGTGAAGCTCATTGTTTATAGTCCTATTCTCGTCTTTTCTTGCAGTGGTGAGTTTTGGCCGTTATAGCTAGAGTTGAAGGGATGCGCACGAAAAGAGGCCGGGAACGAAAGGAAGGAAATATGAAGGCTCGACTATTAGAAATAAGTAAAATTAACAAACAGTCTGCGGCTCAGAACGAAATGTAATTAATAGTGAAACGTATTCAATGTCTCTTCAAATCTTCAAATCGAAATCTGTATAAAACCTTATTCTTCGGAACGTAAATACTATTATTCCGATATACTTTCATATTACATAATATAATGCCCAGCCTTATTTAGCGCCTCGGTATAGTCACGTGAATTAAGCTGGGTGTAATCGCTGACTAATACAAATACAGCTGTAACTTGCATAGAAGACGAAAGATGAATTATCATTAAGAATAAATAAATACAAAGGACCCCCAGAATGAAAAACAAGGAATCAAGAAAGACGCAGCAAATCAATATACAGCAGAATATAGAAAAGGGCCTCGGAGAATGTGCCCAGCAGGTAAATATGATAAATCAGAGAGATAAGAAACAGATCGTCAATATATGATCAAAGCAAACGCCGACGTATCAAGCCCATAAATTCGTTTATATATTTCCCGACACGGCAGGATTTCTCCTGTCAATGCGTGGTGAAAAGAGAGCAGATCTCTATTTTTCTTTTGTAACGGTTCAACCATGGTCGTCATTGCCGTGGACATTTCGTTGGGTGAGTATAGGAAATGGAAAAATTATATAAAGTGGTCGTGTGTATGGAATAGTCTAATCATCTTTGGACCCTTTCTTTGCACTGTCTGAGCCGGCTGGTGAGAGACTTCGTTCCCACTCAGCCATCAAGGTTGAGGCAGTGCGGGCCAGTTTTGAAGGAGTGGATTTCGTCATGGCGGGCCACGGTATGCCATCTGGATGCTCGGGGCTGCTGGCAGCCTCTATATCCAGGTCTTTGTAGTCCATCACGCTATTCGGGGCGTTAGCTACGGGAGGATAGAAGGATAGGGGGAGGACGCTGAATATATGCTGACCTTGCACTCGTCCGTGGGCTGCTGGCATTTGTTGACGGGGAGTGGTCTCTTTTCGAAGGAAACGTCGAGCTGCTCGAGGATGGGGTGTGTGTCTTCGGCTGGGGGCTGTCCCATATATCCCAGTTATCGTCGATATCTAATAAGCTGGGCTGATGGCTAGGAGTATTTGATTTGTTTTGATTTCGACTTGCAGGCTTGCTAGGCTGGGCCCTATTTGGAGCGGTGACGCCAAATTCCTCCCAGAAGTCAGCCTCCGAAGCCGTTCCACGTTTATTTTGCTTGGCAGCAGTAGCGGCCTTTGAAGGTGCTGATCTGCCGGACCTTGAAGGCGTTGCTGAATGATTTCTGGAGCCCGCAGCGCCTCCACCGGGTCTATTGATAAACTGGTCCGGGCGTTGATATGCCTGTGAAGTGCGGGATTGAGTCGCATTAATGCCCTCTTCCCCTACAGTTGCCTGACGAATATCTTCAAGGAAAGTCCATAGTCCGTCCTTGAAATCAGTAGCCATCTGCCTTCCGGTCCGTACGAGCGCTTCTGTGGTTGCATCTTGCGGTATTGGAGGAAGAGACCTCCGCCATAGTCCCTTGTCCTGCGGAGACTTCTGTTTTGCGAGGGTGAGGATGGTTTGTTTGCCACTGTTTGATTCTCGATCAATAGAGGGAAGAGTCGCCGATCTGGGGTACCCAGATGGCCGTGCACTTCTTGCATCACCCGGCTGGGGGAGTGGAGAGCCGCTACAGCCATCTCTCGCAGAGAGAAGGGAGAGGGTGCGTGTATGTCGAGAGCCTTCAAACACCGTCCTTGCCCTTGACGGCTGGCTTGTGCCTGGTGAATGTGACATAGAATTTCTGGAACTATGCCGTCTTTCGAACTCTCGGCTAAGTCTTCTCTGCCCGGATGCATCACTGTCCGCTGGTGACTGCGTAGTTCCCGTTTCTCCAGCCTGGCTCCCTTCAGTTGCCGTCTGTCTCAACGGCTTCATAGCCTCGGCGCGGTAAACGACCTGGTTTATCTTCCTGCCCTTTTCATTCTGCTCCCACTGCTTCTTCAGGGTTATAAGCTCCAGCTCAGCCCTCTGCAGCTCTTCCTTGAGCTCCAACACCTTCCGTTCCTGCGCAGCGAGGGCAGTGAGGAAACCATAGCCTTCATCCGGTGGTTCACTCAACGCAGAGATCGAAGGCGAAGCTCGATAGGGCGTGGGCATGGTGGGTGACGGCTCCGACGGTGTTTGTTTGGAAGCCGGCGAATCCTTCCCTGAGCGGGGTCCATTGGCCAACTCGGGCGGAACATTGATGGGGAAGTTGAGCGTGAGTCTCTTCGCATGCCGAGCAGCTCCATTCGGTCGTGGAGGAAGCGATGCTCGCTGTCTTTGCCTCTCGCTGTCGAAACATGGTTGCGAGGCCTGTGAAAGTTCCGGCCCTTCCATGGTTCACGGTGGACAGGTTCAAGGGGGTGGTAGCGTCTTTACAGGAGGTCATCAACATTCAGGCCTGCAGAGGAAGCCATCGCTCTTCAGTCTCGTCTTTCCTTGCTCTTGTTCTCGCTTGTTGGCTTGTTGTGTTTCTTGTTTACTCTTAAGAAAAAAAAAGCACTTCAGGGGCGAAGATTACGACTTGCGTTAATTTGATATATCACGTGATTAAGTACCTTTCCGCCTATTTTGTGCCTGAAGGTACTTTTGGCGTATTAATGTTAATGACAAGAAACTTCTTCTATAAAGAAGAAGAAGAAGAAGAGGCAGAGGCAAAAGGAAGAACAAGCCTGTCTTTTTCGATGGCATACTCCTCCGAACGGCCAGGGTCTGGCTACGCAGACGACTCGGCCAGCCAGATCGAACTGCTCCTCGGTGGCGAAGACGAGGGCTCCCCGAAGAGACCCAAGAAGACCGTCTGGACAGCCCAGCGCTGCTATCGCTGCCTACAGAACCTTCTTCACGACCTGATACTCCACCAGCGAAGACGGTTCCGCTGCCGAAACTCTTCAAGGACTCACACGCTATGGCAGTCGTTCAGGTTACTCAGTTACTTGGTTGGTGGTTTTATCCTCGTCTCGGTGGTGCAGGCCATCTGTCACCCATCCTACGAGCGGCCCCCTGAACACTACTCGCGGCTGCATCAAAAGATCCTCAGCTCGACTGAATCCGGGCGCGCGAACCCGGATAACGAGAAAATATTCATCGCGGCAAACATCATCAGGGAAGACTTGATCAGGGGGCCCTGGGGTGCTTCGCTGCTGGAACTCGTCACCCTGCTGGGAGCGAGGAATGTCTTCGTGAGCATATATGAAAACGACAGCGGAAATGCGACTAGTGAGGCGCTTATGGAGCTCCAGGATAAACTTCCATGTTCGTGTTTTTTTATTCACTTTCAACTGTGACAAAAACAAGAATTTAACCTTAAAGCTTCCAGGTAATTCATCGGTTGTTGCCGGGGACCATCTTCGCCTCTCTGATCTGCCCAAGACTACCGCGCCTGGCGGCAAGAAGCGTATAAAGAGAATTGCGTACCTGGCCGAAGTTCGAAATCGGGCGCTCAGGCCTTTGAATTCTTCCTACACCCCTGACTCGACAGAGCCATCAGAAAGAGGATTCCGCCATACGACGGAGCAATTCGATCGTGTGCTCTTTTTAAATGACATCTATTTTTCAGCCACAGATGCTGCCCAGCTATTATTCTCTACTAATGCTGAAAAGACGGGTCGTCCAGACTATCGCGCAGCATGTGCCATCGACTTTACCGCCAATGTGATGTTTTACGATACCTTTGTCGTGAGAGACATGGAGGGCTACGGCATGGGCCTAATGTTCTTCCCTTGGTTCCCGGCGGTTGGAAAGAGCGAAAGCCGGCAAGATGTCCTCGCTGAAAAAGACGCGGTCCGAGTTCGCAGTTGCTGGGGAGGCATGGTAGCATTTGACGCTCAAATTTTCCAGAGCAAAAATTCGAATAATCAGTCAGAGCTCGCCATCACCTTTCGACATGAGCCAGAGCCGTTCTGGGAAGCTGCTGAGTGCTGCCTGATTTTCGCTGATACGGAGACCGGGTCTCCAGCTGGCGTCTATATTAATCCTTTCATTCGAGTCGCATATACAGAGAACACTTGGATCTGGCTTGGTTTTTTCCGGAGGTATGAGCGGATATTTGCCAATTTACAATGGATTGTGAGTAAAATCGGTTATCCTGAATATAACCCTCGCAGGCTGCACAACCCCGGCCAAGTGGTCAAAGAGAAAGTATGGGTTAACGGTGAGGATGAGAGCCAACCTGGCTCATTCCAAATGCTGGAACGAAGAGCAGGAGCAGGCGGTTTTTGCGGCCAAAGGCGAATGTTTGTCATGAAAGAAGACATCAACGCTGCGAACAAGAAGGGCGAAAAGAACTGGGAGAAATTACCGGTTCCTTCCCGGTAGAACGGAGAATTGAAAAATAGACGCATTCACAAGTTATAAACACCAATCACCCAAAGACAGTAAGTCGAGATGCCCAGTTACCTTTTGTTCACTAATGACTCCCCTATTGTAATTAACACTTTTCTTTCCCTTTATCTCATATATTTCCTGTCCATTAATAAAAATAGGACCTTGACTTGTCCATTTATTGATATACAACAAGCCACAAGTTCTTGTGGAAGTATCATAGTTCTTCGGGAATAATAAATCCATGGCGATTGTCCCCATACCAATGACTTCCAGTTTGGAAAAGTTATATTCTCTAGGATTGCCACATTCGCGAGATTCGTCTTAGCCACCCTTTTTATTTAAAGGACTTATCCAATTTTAAGGTGACATTTCGATTTGGCAACTTAACATAATATATTGACTTACAAACAGGGGATTAATCTGATCACTCCGCGTGCTAAACCGAGGCCCCATTATGCAACAACCAACCAGTCATGGCAGGACTTTTAACTACAGACTACCGTAGGTTTACATATGGAGCGTACCGAAAACAATATCATTATTCGGAGATTTCCGTTTGCCACTTCACCATCTTTATACAATGCGTCTCTCGTACCCTATGAGCCCTACAACAACTTTTCCGCTTCATAACTAACCAGCATTCCGGTGATTCCGCATACTCTTGCGTAAGGCGGAAGCGCTGGGCCTCGCTACGTGTATATGGGCGTAAGCTGATGACCATATTATTCTGGCCAGGGCCAGCCTTGTTCTTCCCTCGGCCATCTAGGCAAGCTTCTGGACTGGGGTGTCAGATTCGAGAGCAAGAATCTAGGACGTTTCTCCTTCCTTTTCAACTCTGAATAAAGATGGGCTTTGTCCCTGATCAGAATTCAGGATATCGGAAATAGACATATGATCGTGATACCATAATTAACCCAATCATTGATGCCGCCGGCAGTTTGATAACGGTCCAGAATCGACAAGGACTATCCGGCCCGAACTCGATACCGTTCGTGCCATTGAGAGTGACGTTTAGTCCATTCTGAATGTTAGAGATAACCGTGTAATATCGGTCAGCAGAAACGCATGCGACGTGCATATTTGTAGCCGAGATTCAAAACACGTATGTATGGAGAGGAACGTGGTTTTGAAGAGCAGTGCTTTGAACTTTGGCTTTTGCCAATAGAACCCAAGACAAGGGAGAGATGGGCCTTTATGTAAAACTCTCTGGCACAGAATGCTGACTATTTTAAGCAAGGGCGAAGTTTTCATTTCTCCAAGGGCTGTACACGACGAGTATTTCTCTTGCCGTGTTTACCCAGGAAGAGAGTTCCTATTCATCCACATCAGACGATTTGACTGGGGTGGATAGATAACAATTGTCTAAAACCACGCTCATAGGAATCGTATTACCGAGCTCGTCAATGCCCAAAATACAATGCTGCTAAATCCAGGTAGCTGTTCTATTTCGGTAGACACGGCTCTCCCATGGCCAGGATTAAACGGGTACTACTTCAGATCCAATATCTATACGACCTTGCTCGATGACCCGTCATCAACGGGGCTGGAAGAAAACGTCAGCTACTTCGGAGAGGAAACGTTGGCGATGGCTAATTTTAATTCCTGAGGAATCCGAAGCTTTGACCTACCCGAGACGATTCCAATTATCTACTGTGGAATGTAGTCTAAGAATGCTGTTATATTCAGGTATCTGTCAGTCAACTACTCCTTAGCACGAAACGGTATACTGTGTGAACGACGTCAGAACTATTAAACAGGTGACGATGCATGGCTTCTCTGATGGCACCTTTGTTATCCCGATGAGGTCTATCTATACATATTTATTGCAAGCATGTCTGGGATGCCCAAGGCCAGCACTAATTTCATGGGTTGCCTAGTTAATGCAGGCATGAGTGATATTATTTCTCGAGTGTCCCGTTGCGACTGCAGTGAGATTTTAGTATCTTCTTGTTCCTGCAAGAGGGTAGTAGGCCGAGATACCTCACCAGAAAGTGAACGTCAACGTTATTCTTCCCATTGCAAATATACTTTTACAAGAACTAATATACCGGGGAGATAATCCGTTTTTATCCAGGGAAATAACGTTGATAATACTCGGTCTTATGCCAGTAATCATAATAACCATTTTAACTACTTGGCACCGGTCAAAACCATCATCAATGCCTCATGCATTGGAAAGACTTCTCCTCTCAAGCCATGCCAGTCTGGAGGAACGAATAATCTCGGCAAACGGGGCTTGAAGATTTATTATTCTTAAGAATCATCGTTTCCCCTCGTTTCCTTACCACCTACTCTTCTTTCTTACAAGGAGTATACAAAATTTCCACAACTACCCTTTGAGCCTTCAATCTGATCAGACTGCACGGCATATTTACGAAAATGCATTTCACCTTTACACTTCTACTATGCCTTTTAGTTTCTGGGGGAAGCGCCCAGAACCACGTTGATTCGAAAAACACAGCCTCCACGACGGGCAACGAGTATTACTATGATTATAAAATGATACCTTTGACTGCCAATTTCACCATCTTGGATGATTTTGACCATAGTGTTCTCGCTATTGGTGCCGGTCCAACTGGTGAAGTTGTTGAGGTCAAGCCTAATAATAGCCACGACTGGTTCATTGAGCAACTTACGAAATATACGCACATTGTACGCGATAAGAACAGCTCCAAATTTATACGTTTCCCGGAATTGAAGGACGGCGCAGTCGCTACACTTAGTGAAACCGCCGCAACGCTGTTTGAGGCCACGATAGGCCCCAATGTCGTGTACAAGTTCAAAGCAACCGATGCAAAACCTGAGGATGGTCCTCTTATGTGGACAATGGAAGCATACAGCGCAATGGACCAACGCCTAGTTCTTAAGCTACGCAAACCGTCAGGAATGGCGCGACAGGATTTCGTTGTGAAGAAGACCCCAATACAGGGTAACTAGGTGCACGCAAGCCTTAATGGAGACTTATCCTGCAGCAATTGCCGTCTCCGTACACAAAATCGTCATATAAAGGGTTGTCATTTCCTCGTATTTAGTTAGCTCAACTTCTCTTTATTCAATGACTAGCGTTCTTACCTTACCAGTTACTATAAGGTCTGGGTATTTGCACTAGCTGTTTGCATCAGAGCTGCTCATTATATGACTGTGATATACCAAATTAGAAATTGCCTTTGGTATTTTTCTACTAAGTTGCTGTTATTGCTATCCTGCCACCTTTTCTATAACTACCCCTGCCACAACACTAGCCATCCCTCCATCTCTGGCCTCGGGAATCTCCTACATCTGTTGCTCAGTTACCAGACGCTCCATCTGTTCAAGCTTGAGAGAATCCATCCGATTGGTGGGCAGTAGCCTATCTTTACAGTCTTCCGATCGGAAGAATCCTCTCCAGCTCTCGAAGAGGAAGCATTAAGTATTATTCAACTGGCTCATCCACCATCTTGAGGGGCCCTGGATGCCAGTGAGGGATAACATGCTCAGAAGAAGTTGATTCTCACTCATGGCTGGTTATATGCTATATCATATATACACCATATATTTAGTCCTGTTGAATTTGCAAAATTGCTAGGACAAGGCTTTAAACTCTTCAAATTAGAGAAACGCTCATCACACACATATTTTGGTGTTTATGTTCACAGAGAATATGGGCGATATGGAGAATAGGGCGGTTCAGAAAACCAAAATAAACTAACTGCTAGTTATTATAGTTAGGCTTAACCATTAGTTCTTCAATTTACCTAACTAATCAATCAGGAATTATAGGGAAGGGTACGGTCTAAACATCCGGGCCCTCATCTTGAAGAAAGGCCTGCTGTACGCTTTTACCTTTCTGAGCTATGAGGCTGGAATAAAGTGATGACTAATAAAATTTACTAACATACATATATAGTTACACTTAGCGAGTACACAGTATGTAACTCGTAGATCCACTTTAGAGTAGGGGTCATATACTAGTCCTCTTTAAGAAAACCTAATGCTACTTTAACTTAGTGCCCCTGTTAATGCAGGGATACCTGATGTATCCTCTTTTGATATCACTTTGGCCCGTCACCCCGTACTACATACATACATATATAGAACCAAGCCCCAGCTCAAAGGAGATTGATAAACAGAATAACTCAAATCTCACTTGCAGCAACCTCTAGACTATAGCTATCAAAGGAGATTATTTCAACGTTTACTCTGCACAGTAACTGCTTACTGTCTAACAATCATCTCCTAGCGCATCAGTAAACCCAGCAGAGGACCTCCACATATACGGGTTTTGTCCAACCCAAGCAATATATCTGTCCTTGTCCATGCTATTACAATCTGGAGGGCAGAAACTAGTTGCAATTATAGGAACGATAGTGAGGCATCATTGCCAAGTTGTATATGCACCGGCAATCTAATGCAGTCAGCCGACATTTTCAACCTGAGAAAGCAATGGAAAGCTGATGGAGCCGTGAAAACGTCTGTAGACACGGAAACTAGGTAATATCATGGCTTTCGATGCTACTTAAACGTATAAAGACACATATATATCCTCTGATTTCTATGCATACTCCGGTCATAATCACCATTTTCAACTTAATTCACCAGTTTTCTGAGAACCCACCAAAATGCATTTTTCATCGTTGGTGATGGTCACCCTTTGCGCCTTTGCGGCAGGAATCTCGGCGACTCCCCAAAAACTATACACCATCATTACCAGTAAACAATATGGATTAAATCTCACACTCAATTCCGACAGAGGGATTATTGGGTTTGAGAAGGACAGCCCTTTCCGCTATTGGGTTGATTATCCAGTTTCCCAGGGGGCACATAACTGGCACTGTTTCAGGGCAAAGCAAAAATACACGTTCAACGTCGTCTGGTGGATTCGTTTCCAAGACTACGTATCCGGCAAATCTGCAACAGCACCTCTAAATTACGCCTACCCCCCCATCACTATTCGAGGTCGAAACCGTGGGAGATACCTCCTATTTCATTGCTATAGAGTCTCTGGGCCGAGCGGAGAAACTGGCCTGCACAATCGAGCAGGACAATAATACCGCGGTTTTCTCTTTGAAATTGCGGCCTTACAAGCGTTTGCCCAGCCAGGAGTTCAGAATAACACAGGAACTAGGAGAGGGCGAATGACTGCAGATTTGCCAACCGAGGATGGCCGTATAACTCCAGTTGCCATTCTGCCCTGTGCAAATGTTTCGAGGTGCTATAGCCCGTGGGGTATTTTCTTTATATGTGTGTCCCAAGGACCGTTTGATAGTTTTCTGTACCTGACAATGTGCTTTGAACCAAATATTATTCCATATATAAAGCTAAACAAGAAGCTCCTCTAGCGTAATCAGTATAAACACTATTATGACGGGCTGAAAAAGGGCTGGATCGTACCTTTCGTGATTATTTTGTTGTTTAGACTCGCAGCTCATATTATTATTCTGTAATAATACTAGCCATGTGCAAAGGCTTCTTCCCAATATCAGAATAGACAAATAATCTTTCAAATTTGCGAATATTCTCAACATCTAATATGGTACAAGATTTTGATGGAGCATAGTGACGTCAAGCCTCGAAATGATAGACAGTGAAGGGAACTGGAGAATTAAAGTGATAGATATGGAAGACAGTTAGGTCTTCCGAGGCAATCTGTGCACAAGAATCAATGTAGGGAGAGACCCAAAAATCCAGAAAAGGAGGGAAAGAATGGTGGGCCGCCGAAATGCCAATGCAGGCGAAGTAAATATCGAAAAGGAGCGACAGGTTCCGGTTCCTGCAGGAGAGCTTGAAGCCCCTTTATAAACAGCAAGAAAAATGCCACCAACAATTGACAGAGAAGGAGAAAGACCTCAAAGGAAACCGCCGATAGATGATTTGAACAAGATCACAAGGAATGCAAGCCGAAACATAATTCAGACAATAAGCACGAAATATCTGGTAATGTACAGTTAATGTACACGGAAGCTGAAGACAGGATGACGAAATTCACTGTCGCGAAGGATTATACGGCTGGCCATCTGTTTCGGAGCCCGTCGGTCCAGCGAGTATATAGAACATCGGCAAGTTGTTTTGTGTGCTCCATTCCAATTGGGTGTTGGCCAGGTATGTTGCCTGTAGGGTTCCAGCCTTGGTCTGACTGAACTTGAGCGGATTGCCGTCGTCTATGACTTTTCAGATGTGGATTGTTCTGAGCAAGAACCAGCTTTGGTTTTTGTGGTGTCTCTGGGGCTGGCTTTGGGAAAACCGTCGACAGTTTGGGATCCCTAAGATTAATTAGGTTTATAGTAATTTAAGTTGAGCAGGAGAGTACTTACGCTTGCAATTTCTCAAACGAGGATTTGACGATGTGGTATAGCCCTTCAGGGTCAATCATCTCCAGATCGCTAAATGCTTCTGCGAGCCGTGATATCGCCTCTCGCTTCTCTTGGTCGCAGGTATTCGCTAGGACTTCCTGGCAAGTAAGTCCAACCCCCGAGTTATACATTCTCCGACCTAAGATTGCCTCCTTGCTGTTGGGCTCACTAAAGAGCGTTTTGGGTACAGAGTTCTCACTCATACCAGGAACAAACCCGGCATTGCTGCCCAAAGAGCTTTGTCTGTCGGAAACTCGACGAAATTGTCTAACAGTCGAGGGTGAATTTCCAAATGTCATATCCAAAGCTAGAGGTTGCTTGACACTACTTGATCGTCGTCGAGTAGAGCGTTTAGATGACGTTCTAGTTACAGTGCCCCGGGTACGGCGAACAGTCGAGTTCGCAACAGGCTTTGGACCAGAGCCTTCGTTTTCGAGAGTTAGATTGCGCATAGATTCTGATGGTTCATCGATATCTTCTGCAAAAGGTGCCGAGGGTTGCTGCTTAATATGTAAACCCTTAGATGGAGTTGCAGCACCGGGTTTAATCGTATCGAACACCCAAGCATCATCATCAACGTTTTTATTCGTGAGTGTATCCCTAATTTGACATTAGCATTCCAGACATAGCGATAACAAAAGAATTCTTCTTTTTCACCATACATTGGCTCAGCATAATATTTAATATTAGCTGCGAGGCCTTTAGTAGCCTCCCATTCTTGACGTCGTTGAATAAGTTCTTGGAGGGCCTCGGTTTTGCCTGCGCCGCGGATGAACTTATGCTTTAGGAGTTCCTTTGCCGTGGGACGCTTGTCGGGATCCTTCTCCAAGCACTGTGCAATGAAATCTTTGAGCTGCCAGCTGTATGCAGCGCCTTCCAGGCGTGGGGCAGAGGCCTTTGGTATCAAAAATAGCACCTTCATTGGATGTGTACTCGCGTGAGGTGGCTCGCCGTTTATCATCTCCATTGCTGTGATGCCAAGGGACCAAATATCTGCTTTAAAGTCATACCCAGCTTGTTGAATAACTTCCGGCGCCATCCAGAACGGGGTTCCCACGAAAGTGTTCCGTTGCGACTTGATGTTGGTGAGCTGGGCTGCGACACCAAAGTCTGCCAGCTTTACCTTTCCGGTATGCGAGAGAAGAACGTTCGCTGCCTTAATATCACGGTGGATTTTACCCTCTTGATGGAGGTAGTCTAAACCAAGCAGAAGCTGCTGGCATATGATTGCGATATGCGCCTCGTTGAATACCCCCGGTTTAAGCTACATACGTTAGAGCAACGAAGGTGCCATAGACCAGGAGGGTGAACATGTCCTCACCAGGTCTAAGCAAGAACCTCCTCCTAAGTATTCCATCACAATCCATAGCTTATATCCTCGAAGGAAACTAGTCTTATACTGCGTGACATACGGACTGGCGCATGTCGACAGAACCGTAATCTCCTGTTGAATTTCTTGTATATCATCGTCGCTGGACTCGAGGTCAATCTAAAGTGAACATTAACTGGTTAGCTACTCCTTCGTAAAACTACCCTTATCCAACCAAAACATACGTGTTTGATGGCGACAATCTCTCCGGTAGCTCTATCAATTGCTTTGTAGACAGTACCGAAACTTCCACCTATATTCACGTTGTTAGCAAAAGTCATAGCATATCCCAATGCGTATTGACACGTACTCCCGAGCTCCTCGAGCATCTGGTACTTTGCTGCCATCCCACTTTCGTCCGCCATTGCTGCGAAAAGCAAGGTCTCTGAACCCCTTTACTGTAGGAGCCAGAGGAAGGAGAAACGTAGCTAACAGACACTTGGGATCGCAAAACCCCTCTCAAAGAAGAGTGATGTCTTATCGGCGCCGATGTCGTCTTGTCCCTCAAGAGCTGCAGCTTGACATGTCCTTGATCAAAGCAAAATCAATTTTTCGCGTCTTTTCCAAGGTTGTCAACATCGTCGTCCATGGCAACAGCCGCAACTATAAAATATGCAGAGTTCACTCACGTGACACGTACCCTGAGGGTGCATTATTGGCTTTATTACAATGTAAGGGGAAAGATGTTATTTAGATGGATCGTTGATGTATATTATATTTGAGTAGCTGATGGGTTGTCGATTAAATATATTTATATGGGTTCATGATTCCATTCTTCGATAACATCGTCAGTCCACGTAAATGTAAAATAGATGAAGAGAAGGATAAAAAAGACATACCGGATCATAGAGCTTCTTCAGTTGCTGCATTAATTTTACCATCGATTCATTCTTACTATATCCAATATATTCCTTCTTTGCAATTCCCAAGCCGTGTTCTGCGCTTATGCTGCCGTTACGTTTTGATATCCATTCGTACACCCAAGGCTCAATCATCTTCTCGACTTCCTTGCTATACTGGCGCACAGCAACATTCAGGTGAAGGTTGGAATCACCCATGTGTCCATAACCAACAACTTCACGGACCGGGAAACTGTCGCCATCTCCAACAAGGCCAGCTTTGGTGAGTCGATCTCGCGTATCTTCAACAAGTTGGTAGAGCTCTGTTAGTGGTATCGACACGTCGTACTTGTACGTGCCACCTAGATGGCTGAGAGATTCTGTGATTCCTTCCCTCCAGCGCCAGAGAGCTTGTGCTTGTGTTTCATCCTGGGCCAACACACCATCCGCCACAATAGACTCTCCCATAACGTGCTCCAAGAATGCCTCGAGCTTTTCATTGTCGTGTTCGCCATTGGAGCCACTCGTCTCAATTAAGCAGTAAAATGGATATGAACCTTCAAGCGGGTGTTTTAGACCTGTAACCAGGCGAACGATATCTTGGCTTTGCCCGTCCATCAGTTCAAATGCAGACAGAATTTCTGATAGCTGGCCCTTGGCCTCCAAGAAGGCTTTCCGAACGTGTTCAAAGCTTTCCAGCCCGAAGAAGGCAACATTTGTCGCCTCTGGCCGTTGAGGACAAATAACTGATACTCCAGTTATAATTCCAATCGTTCCTTCTCCCCCAATGAACAATTGTTTAAGATCATAGCCAGTGTTATTCTTTCGCAGCAGCGACATGTCCTCCATTATCGTACCATCAGGCAATACCGCCTCAATCCCGAGAACGTTTCCGTGTAAGCTCCCGTACCGGAGCAAACGTAGTCCACCGGCATTTGTTGCAACATTACCGCCAATTTGGCATGAACCCTTTGCACCCAAATCCAGAGGGAATATGTGTTTTCTCTCCGCCAGATAGGTATCCGCAACCTCCAGTATCACTCCGGCATCCACAGCCAAAACTCCTGAGTTCTCGTCGAAAGACCGAATTTTGTTCATACGAGAGAGGTTGACAACAATCTCGTCGAACACAGGGACTGATCCGCCCACCAGACCCGTATTTCCACCCTGAGGTACAACAGCCAGCTTCTGCGAATTGCAGTACCGTAATATTTTGCTCACTTCCTCAGTCGTTTTCGGCTTTAGCACCAGCTTCGCGTGTCCTCGGTACTTTTTCATCCAGTCACGGTTGAACGGTTCGATATCATCGGTTGCATTGGTTGTAACTCCATCCACCACGGCCGAGCCTTCTCCAAGCAGCTCCTTGAAATACTGAACATGTTCCCCGGTCAATTGCGCAAAATTCGGATTTCGTTTCAGCTTAGGATATGCATCAGTAGTATATTTTACTTGTTTGGAGTTCGGTGCGCTGGCGGCCTCGGGAAAACGCTGGCTCGTCGAGGATGAGAAATGCGCGATGCCCGGGCGAAGAAGTGGGTAATTAGTGAAAGAGGTTCGGCCCCCTGCCACCCCAGCACGACGGAGAGCGTACGATATCCTCCTTGAACACAACATTATCAGGATCCCTTCTGCGACCCGGAGATGAATCTAATTGAACGCTTCGGAAGTGTTGAGAGTGTTGAAGGAGAGAAAATACCGACCTCGGAGTTAAATCCCGTGATCGGACCAGAGATTTTCTATTTTCTACATAAAAAAAGCCATCTACAAATTGATATTTAGTACCAAAGACACTATAGACGATATATACAGGCTCGGTGGTGCTTGTATATTAGGTATAGAGGATTATATCCTATGCTTACACTCTACTTGGGCTGTTCGCGCCCCTTCAGACACCCCCTGAGTATCTTCCCACGGCTGCCTCTTGGGAACTCCGGGTGGTCTACAATTGATGTGAAAGAAGCACATACTATGTTGAACGAAAATACGAATCACTTAATGCCATTCAGGCCCTTCGCTCGAATGCCATCCTAATTCCTGAGAGAGTTCCCTTGCAAGATACTCTACTTGGTCGCGAACTTTCACTGCGGTATCATGAGATCCAAAGAACGGGCGTTTAGATTCTGCAAAGGGTGCTCACCCATGTTTCCCATCAAGGACAAATTCACAGATGGGTATGGAACCTAGTACTAAGATATGATCACCCAAGCTAGGAGAACGGGACACCATGGTTTATATCAGGGATTATATCAGGGGTTAAACCGGTCAAGTTGGGCCTTTTCCTACTTGCACAGATAAATCTTCATATGTAAAGCTATGGCGGGGTGTAAGAGTGGAAATTGCAAAGCCGTGGTCGGAAATAGAAACAATATTCTGATTTGCTGTTAATTTAAATTGGCCTCTGAACGTTTTAATCTTATCCTACCGTGATAAATCAGATTTGTCGAATACTACGTGCAGGGTATATTTTACTAAATGCCTCCATGGGCGATTCTATGACTTTCATATTGAGCAAGGATGTAAAGGTCTAACGCCATAATATCTTACAATCTACCATATGAATACTCCAGGGCCTCAATCGACTTCTTCATGATCCTGGAATGGCCAGTTCTGCAGAAGATCCTCTCTATCTTCTTTCGTTTTGGCAATGTCTAGCATCTGTGCTTTCACATCAGCCATTCGCCGACTCGCTTCCTCATACATCTCATTTGGGACCCAGCCGTCAATATTGATGCCAAAACTATCTCTGAGGTTTTGCATCTGAGTATTTGCGGCCTTCTGCTGTGAATCGATGTCGAGACATTCTTTGATCTCTTCGGGTGGATACTGTAAAGGGTAACTGGCCTCTTTCATTTCAGGAGTCGCAATACCTGGCCAATAGGAGGACATGTTGGTAAGAGTTGCTTTAAGCGTTGTATTGTCTCCTTCCCATGGGCGATTAACGACATCATATAAGCGGCTTCGCATAACACCGTTATAGCTTCCCATTGCACGGAAATGATTCTCATTATCGCGGCTGGTAAAGCCAAGATAATAATAATGGGTTTGTCTTCTCCGATATAATTCCAGCTCCAGCTCTTTCTTATCATCAGACAGGGAGTCAAAGCCTTTTGGTAACTCTGGGTATTTAAAATTTTCCGAATCTTCATCTCCGTAGTTTTGAAAGTATTTTGGAATATTTGCTTGGATAAAGAGTGGAAGGATCGAAGTACGCTCCCAATCAATGATGGCACTGATTTCTCCTGATTCATTTATGAAAATGTTGTTCGGTGAGAAATCAGGGTGGCGGATGGTTGGCTGGTTCAGATATTCTTGAGTTGGAATGATATAAGGGGCTACCGAAAGGTAATTTTCCAAGCTACGGATTTGAACCCCAGGGTCAACCTTCTTTTTACCGTAGAATTCCCGGTAAAGGGGTTCTCGGGGGTATCTCGGCTCCCCGTATGTCCGAAGCCATTCAATTTCTCGAAGTCCAACCGAATTGAGCAACTCAACAGACGAATTCCCTATATTCCGTCAGCTTCAAAATACCCTCATTAATCTAGATAGGAACAATCATACAAGGGCCCCTATTAGCTTTCAGTCCTCCTCGCTTATGATACCACCATAAAATTTCTGCTGACGGTCCGACACAAAAGGCGTTGTCATCAGGAAGAACGGCAATATCAGTACCATTTGGTAATGAATCTGTGTAGTAAAGACTGCCATAGGCAGGCAGCTTAATTTTAAAAAGCAAGCTCTCAATGGCAACAATTCTTTCCATGACCGATTTCCTTTCATCGATCCCCATCGTATACCAAGTCGCTTCTAGCTCTTTCCCTTTGGCTTTCTCCGTTATGATATACTCAGTTCCCAGTGGATTATTGGTAACAGAATTATTCCAGGCCAGGACCTTTGGTATCGGGATTCCCTGGAGGCGAAGGTAGTCAATAGTTGCAGCTTCACTTGCAATGCCATATGTACCAGGAAGTGTACACAGGTATGGTAGGCGAGCAATAACTTCTTCACCATTTTTGAAGGTGGCCTCAAACACACGATAAGAGCCGCCCTCAGCGATTTTGGTGAACAGAATCACATTTTCGCTTGGCTGGTCCACTGAGCTGGCGATGATGTTCAGGAGTTTCTTGACATTGAAGACTAAATGTCGCTCACGGAGTCGCTTGGTTTCATTATATCTGAATAAATCCATTAATATTATCAACTATGGGCGCCTGAAGCCAACTTCTGAACTCACAGCCATCTCCCTGACGTATAGTTATAGAAACTGTGATTAACATCATGGACGTCTGGAAGACTTGGGTTACTCTGGCGAGCTGAGTGAAAAGAAGGGTTTCGAGAAAATGTAGCAGCCGCCCGTGTAAAGAGAGAAGGACGCCGATATATGAGATACTGCATCGTAACCAAACAAGAAGATCTCTGGGCACACTCGGAAGGTTAACTATTGAAAAGAATTTAACGGAGCTTTAGTTATGTATAAACGCCGCTAAGGTTATTAGTTAATTATCACTTAGTTAAGTAAATAGTTAAATATGTTGTTTCATATCGTGTTAAAATGTCGAGGCCATTTGGTCTCTTGCTAGATATTGGTCACTCGTGGTCATCATTCTCAATGTCAAGAGTTCTAGAAGGCAGGTAATGCCGTCCAAGAAACAACTACTAGTTATCTCTCCAAGGGCGATACCTGTTAATTCGAAAGATTTCTACCTCTCCATATTTATAACAACCCTTAGCTAGGCATAAAGCCAAGCTAGGACGCCCTAATACACCTCAGGAGCCCTCGAAAGATCTCAAGGGAATTTTGTCCCAAATTTCAATAAATATAGACTTATCCTTATATTGTTATAAAAAACGCGGCATACGGTAGTTAGGGGAAAGTTTTATGAGATTGAAGTAACTGGGGCTCTTGAAGAATGTTCTTAGGTTAAGGAAGCATATATTTCACCCTTTCAAACTGGCAATATATTCAAGTCCTCTCTTCTTTGCCACCTCGCGGACATACTCTTCTCCCTTTTCGCCAAATATATCCACACCCCAGAAAAGAGGCTGGCTGGCTCGAGCATTACGATCAAGGGCATTAATCTCCTCCATCGCGGACTGAGAGAGTTCAAAGTCTGTATTTTTGTAGGTTAGGAGATGTTACAGCGTCTATAAGGAAATAGAATATCCACCTTACCTTTAAAATTATCGATGATTCTCTCAGCTGTCACACTTTTGGGCAGGACCACAGTACCTCTCTGGACATGCCATGCGATCAGAACTCGAGCCGGGCTTACTCCATTCTCCTTTGCAATTTTATGAATCTTCTCATCGTCCATTGCTCTGTAAAGCTTTAGTATCTTCCAATAAAAAGACCATTTCATCACCAATACGCAATGGTATCGTACCTAGGCATGTTGTGGAGATTGTTCCCCAGAGGGCTATATGCTTCCAAGAGTATGTTTTTCTCGGATAGATATTTTTTCAATTCTTCCTGTTGGAAGTATGGATGCGCCTCTACTTGGTTCACTGCCGGTGGGATTTCTGCACTGTTATTCTCATAAGTTTGGTATAAATGAGAATGACCGTAGGTCATGAATTTAATAAAGGGCGGCACATACTATGACAGCAGGTCCTCGATTCTCTCCTTGCTGAAGTTGCTGACACCAATGCTCCTTACTTTACCTTTCTTAACCAAGGACTCCATTGCCTTCCAGGTATCCTTCATTGTAACTGTAGTATCAAGAAGGAGCTGACCCGTTTCTGCATCTTTTGGAAGCGCTGCATCTCCCGGGATGAAGGACACAGGCCAGTGAACCAAGTACAGGTCCAAATAGTCAACTCCAAGGTCTCGGAGAGTCTTGTCACACGCCGGCTCAACATGTTCAGGTCGGTGATGGGTATTCCATAATTTAGAAGTCAAGAAGACCTCTTCGCGGGGAACTCCGGAGTTTTTCAATCCCAGACCAACTTCTGATTCATTTTTATAGGCAAATGCACCATCGATGTGTCTGTAGCCTGCCTTCAATGCTACCTCAACTGCTTTCTCGACTTCATGTGGCTTGGATTGCTGTCGGATTAATTTTAGTACTCGTCAATCGAAGCACTAGATAGGAATTCATCTGCATGTATACTAACCCAGGTTCCTAGTCCTACTGCCGGGATTTTATATCCGGAGTTGAGGGTGAAAGTAACCTTGCTCGCCATTATATGTTGTAAAGTTAAAAGTGCCCCTTTGTATGTGATTTGCTGTTAATTGAAAAGGCGGGCATTCCGTGGCAGAGGAGACGTTGCTTTTATAGACAATATAAATCTCCTGAAGCCCCTCCATGAAATTACCCCTCATTCATATACCTTGCCCATGTAGAACTTGCGATTGTTTGCCGAAGCCAATAAGCTTGTTTGTTTAAGAAGTTGGACGTAAATAAAACGGCTTGGTAGTTCCGCTGTCCATATATGCCTGCGTCTTCAATCTCCACTTGTTGCCGGCTCCGTAGTAATTCCTTTACCCCTAGTTAGTGGCCAATTCACATCGACTGTGGAGTTATATTTAGCATTTCATAATTTTTGGGATGTCTCCGCAGTGTTTGATATGCACAGAGGCGATCTTAAATTGCTAGAAGACGAGGAAGTTTGCTGTTATAATATGCTGCCAAGAAGTCGACAGTAACAAGTATTCATTAAATGGTCAAGGTTGAGGAGGAGCCTCTGTAAACATGCCGATACATGCCCTATTACCACAGTATCACAAGCGATGTCTTTCAGACTGTCAAAATGTAAGAAGCCCGGGATTCCGCACCATACACTTGTCCTCTAGTATATTTGAGCAGCAAAATCCGAAGCCCTGTTCTGGTCTGCCTTTCTACACTGATTGTAGAGTAACTTGTCGATATTTTGGAGCAACCAAACAGATATAAGTTGGTATAACATTATATAGACACGCTCTTAATATAAGTAGTCGGTATATTGTGGACCGTTGCGGTCTTCTCGTCTCCATGGGAAGTGGGAAGGCAAGTGTAGTTAATTCTCTGTGATATGCATCCTAAACCCAGAATACTATATTATGTTAAGAAGCAAGGCCTGAGTAAGAGCAATCAAACGGCTCTCGGAACATGTAGACAAGTTAGAGATGTTAGTGAAGGAAGACAATTCGAAGTTGTGTTAATATGTCAAATATGAGCAAGAGCAGCGAATGATGATTGGCTGAATGAGTTTGAACGTATATATAGGTGTAAATGTACGTATATTGGTGAGCTTGAAGAGCTTAGGTGCAGGGTGTAAGTTTCTGCCGGATATAATAGGGGCAGTGTACGTGATCTAACTACGTTACTAACTAAGTACAATATTTAATATACCCCCCTAGCTCGAACGAGCTAAAATAGATATATTAAACGATTTGGACGTATAAAAATAGGAAATAAAGCTATATAGTTACTAGATTAGGAAGATACTACTAGTAGGAAGGTATTATAAAAGGTAAAAAAGAAAAGACACCTATATAGGTACTAGTGTCTACCTTTATATCCCTATAGAGAATCTAGGCGACGTTAGATTATAATCTAACGAATTTTGTATATTATACTAGGTTCGAACTTAGAATCCTCCTTTTTTAGATATACCGCTTAGACTGGGGCCGAGTCCGGGTTTTTTACCCGGACCGGCCCGGTCCGACCCGGCCGGGTCGAGTCGGTATTAGGCTTTTTTTAGACTCGGTCCGACCCGGCGAGCCGGGTTAAGCCTTAGAACCCGGCCCGTCGAGTCGGGTTGAGGCTTAAAATATTCTAACTCTCTGAATAGAGAAGCTAAGTAAATAAAAATAGAATCTTTAGAAAGCTCTATTAATTCTCTATTAAATAAGGTTATTAGTAGTTTAATACTATTTAAATTAAGCTCTCTAGCTAAATTTTAAAGAAAGTATACTATTTTTAGAACTATATCTTAATATAAAGCTAGAGCCTCTAATACTAATAATTTTAAAATATAAATAGCCTTATTTTATAGAGAATTACTAGAGCTTTTAAATAATAATATTTTTATTCGCCTAGCCTTCCTATTTAGGAAGATATTACTATTAGTAATAGAAAGTTAAAAACCCGGGTTTTTTACCCGACTCGACGCGGTCCGGCCCGGCCCGACCCGTGCTAAGAATTTATTAGTACCGACCCGATCGGGTCGGTAGTTTAAAGGCCAAAACCCGGCCCGACCCGGTACCGACCCCAGTCTAATTATAGTAAATCTCATACGTTTGGCTAATATCGAGTTTTACCTAGTTAAATAGGCGCTACTACCAGATTATCTGGGCTATAGTATATAATAGTGAGGTAAGTTTAACTTTCGTTATTAATATTATAATGTAAGGGGTTGGACCCCTATTCCCTTCTCGGGTCACCGCGCGCTCCGTAATCGACGAGGCAGCAAGGCCTGTCTGGAGATGCCATCACCAGACTCCCCCTTTTTACTCTCGCGCACGTGACCCTCAACACGGTCACATGACCTCAACGCCTGAAGCTATAGCTCCATCCCCCATCACCGACTTCCTTCCTTTTCCCCTTTCTTCTTCTTCCCCATGTGTTTTGTCTTCGACTTACGGATACCCTTAGTTAGTTGAATAGAACTCTCTTCGGCCGTTAACATTACAAAACACATCCTTATATTGGTCTTATTGGTTATATTGGTTACATTGGACAGCGCGCTCCGTAATCGACGAGCAGCAAGCCTGTCTGAGATGCCATCACCAGACTCCCCCTTTTACTCTCGCGCACGTGACCCTCAACACGGTCACATGACCTCAACGCCTGAAGCTATAGCTCCATCCCCCATCACCGACTTCCTTCCTTTTCCCCTTTCTTCTTCTTCCCCATGTGTTTTGTCTTCGACTTACGGATACCCTTAGTTAGTTGAATAGAACTCTCTTCGGCCGTTAACATTACAAAACACATCCACACATCCTTATATTGGTCTTATTGGTTATATTGGTTACATTGGACACATTGGTCATATTGGATACATTGGTTATATTGGACACATTGGTTACATTGGACACATTGGTTACATTGGACACATTGGGTACATCGAGTACACAGAAGATATTGGAAACATTGGTATAGGAACATTGGAATGGAAGATTGGAACGCAATGGATACAGCGGAAGGCCAACGTCAGGGCCAGGAGAACAATGGAAATGGACAGCAGAATAGTAACCAGCCACCGAGTTGGTTAGGAGCTTTTCTAGAGCAGCAGAGTACCCTTATGGAGAGGCAGACGGAGCAGATCAGAACCTTAACAGCGCAGCTAGCCACGCTGAGAGAGAGGGTACAGGAGCAGGGGACACCCCTAGTAGCACATCTCACCCCCCAAGCCTCACCGGCCCCCTCGATACAGACACCACCACACCCTGATCGGCCAAAACCCGCCTTACCAAACGCGGAGAAGTTCAGTGGAGAAAGACTATTGGACTATCCATCATGGAGGATGGAAGTCAACGCTAAACTTACAGTGGATGGGGAGTCAATTGGGGGCCCTAGCCAGCGAGTATGGTATATTTTCTCCCGACTAGAAGGAGTAGCAGCGAGGAGAGTCCTTCCCTGGGTAGAGCGCAACCAGTACGACCCAAGCCAGTTTACACCAGCACATTTCTGTGCTTACCTGGACCACCTTTTCGTCGACCCAGCTCGGCAGGAGAAGGCCAGGCGGCGGGTGTACACTATACGCCAAGGGAAGCGAGCACTGGCTGAGTTTCTTGCAGAATTTGATCAAGTTATTATGGAAGTAGG